TGCCAGCCAAATAACTGGCAAAAGCACATCAATAAGACAGTCAATGCCAGTATGGCAGCATATCTTTGCCTGTGTTCTTAGAACAGACTCTGACGAGCTTCTCCTGTGTAGACGATGATCTTGTCTACACAGGCTCTAAATGGTGCATTGTAACTCATATCAGCCAATCTGAGGCAAGTCAAAGCACTCAGAGCTGTTTCACAATATCAGCTTGATCCTGGGAATATGGAGAGGCACTCCATCCAGGTTAATTCGTACCGTACAGCTGTCCCAAGTGAGATTTTCTCCATATGTAAGAGCAATGCCTTTGGTTACCAGAAAAAGGACGGCTCACGCGGCTCCAAGTCATGAGTCTCAGGTCAATGTCCTTTCAAGGACTATCGTTGGGCAGTCTGAGGGTTCCGCGCAGGAGCCATCTTGACTCGGGACAACAACTGGGGATCTTGTGCCCATTGACAAGTTATAGGCTTCTTCCTCTCATTCAACCTGGTAGCAGCCCACCCCCATCTCAGTAGAGTTTACCATTGATAAGCCATGGCTAGTTCTCGCTCCATTCTGTTTCAATCATGATCAGTGGGGATTAGAAAAGACCCAACCCAAACCTATCCCAAGACAGGGCATTCAAGTCAATATTCTTTCAAATATCGTTGTCGGGAAACGGTGCCACGACACGTTTAGACAAAGTCACTAATACATGCGTCAGGCTCATTTCTGGCGAATGTTTAGCCCAGGGTAATTAAACCCAATATTAGCTCCAGAGATGCTTGCATGCACGCTATTGGTATAAATCAGTTGTTTTGATGATACTCTCGTGATCGTCGTGTTTGGTATCTGTCGCGAGGACCATAACGCAATGGACCGGATCGGTTGGGTCTTTTATGAGCAAAGTGCCCCATTGCTTTCTTGCAAATAGGACACTTTGAAGTGTGTCCCGTATATATTCACGAGTGACGGCTTTTTGGTCGAGACAGTCGATTTCAGACGGTTGTCATCATTTGCGTGACTATGTATGCGTGGTCGACCAAGACGCCATCATTCATGGATTCAAGCTGGGAATGGAGGAGATGCACAAATAACGAAGCATGATGGTAGAATTCTATTCAGACCGCTGGAGGAAAGCGTGGAGAGATATGTGGTAGCGGTTCTGAAGTTGTGTAACAGTCTTGTTCGAGAAAGAGTAGGGTTGACATCTTTTGACAGTGAAGAAATGCTTCTGATGGGATATCTATCATCATAGTGAATCACCCCTACATCTAATCCCAATAACATTGCAATCCTTTATATGGCATTCACTACCTAACTACTAGAATACAAAAAGGAACAACAGTGTCCAAACCCATATGTCCACCCACTCAATCGACTAGCATAGTATCATTCGAGGAATCCGTATAACTCTTGCTCTCCCCATGCTCTCAACACGCCACGTCGTACGATAACAGAAATCTGCACTGCAAAAGAATAAAAGAACTCGTAAAAGCAACCTAACATGGTTTTACACGTGGACAAACCACTCAATGGGAAACGTAGGTGAAACGAAAAAGGGGGATTAAAACAACCTGGTATGTATGTAGTTCAAGAGGTGAGAGGCCATTAGGCGCCCATGCCACCGTTGACTGGAGCCTGTTGGTAATAAGCATATGCGTTTGCTTGTGCTGCGGCAGCCGGGTCAGGCACAGGCACAACGGGCGTGACCGGTGTAACGGGTGCGACAGGGGTTGGTGCCGCGGGGGTTACTTGGCTACCGTTCTGAGGGGCTGGCTGTGCTGCACCACCGGTCCTCGTCGTAGCCACAGAGGCAGGGCCGTGGACTTCACGGTCAAGAGTCATGTACTCCTTGGCCGCGTCAGTAGTGCCTCGCTCGAGCAGGTAAGTCATGTAGATCTGGACAAGTTCCTTCACCACCTCGGTCGAAAGAGCACTCTTGGACCGGACATCCTCAACAACCTGCTTGATACGTTCATATTGGGTCGACTCGGTATCAGCACTCGTCGGTTGGTCCAGTTCAAATGTGAGGTAGCTGGACCAGAATGCTCGGCTGTCCAGGTAGTACTGTTGATTTCCTTGGAAAACTTGCCTAGCCTCTTCGGGCGAACCCTTGATCTTCCAGAGGAGTCGGGCCCATTCGGCAACAAGAGCAGCCTTGGTGGCCATGTCGCACTGCGGCGAGTCAAGTTCGGTCTTGTATACGTCGATTGCTGCGTTGAGACCTCCGTGGCGACGGCTGGTGTTGGCCAATGAAACGATGGTCTCGATGTGGTTCGGGAGATGAATGAGGATGGCTTCGTGGATGTCCTTGGCCACATCCACGCGGCCTGCCATCTCCTCGAAATATGCGTACTGAAGACGGGTAGCGGGGTTCGCGATGGGGACATACAGGCAACTTGCGCGCTGATAAATGATTCGCACTTCTTCCTCCTTGCTAGGTTGAGCGGCCATCCATCGAGCGTACCGTTGCCAGAATTCGTCATAGTGGGCACATGTCACTAGACACCGTTCGTACAAGAACTGGATGCGAGGGTACTGCCCTTCGCTCTCTTCGAAGTCGAGGTACTTCTTCCAGTTCGACAACTGTCCCTCATCCAGCTCAGTCACATGGAAGTATGGCCGCTTGATCTCCGATTCGTAGGTCCACCGTTTCGTCGTCTCGGTCTGTGTCTTGGAGAAGATTTCAAGGTGATAACCGTCAACACGCAGGCGGATGTCTCGTTCAATCTCAGCTTCGGCCTTGGCACCTGGGGGGATATGCGCGGAAGCTGCTTCGATTTCGGCGCGGTACTGGGACAGTAACTCGGGAGATGTAAGCTCTGCCACAGGCCGGGTTTGAGCCATCTGGCGGTACCGTTCAAAGTACCGAGCATACTGGTGCATGGGAATATGGATGGCACGACCAAGGATCTCAAAGATCTTATCGAAGGCTTCCACGCGCTCCTCGTACTCGATATACTTATCCCAGAACGGATGGGCAAGGAAATCTAGACCAACACATTTCGCCCCTCTCTCAAAAAGCCTGTTTCGTGTCCGCATTAGCATATTTAGAGCCGACCATAAAACAAGGGGAGGGACCATGGGGGCAGTGGAGGGGGAAAACGGGGGGAGGATTGGACAAGGACAGCAAACATGAGCGTCAAATCTCCAGTGCACGAGTCCAAGCAATGAACAAACTAAATCTGTGGGAGGCAGGATTTCTTTGCATCGTGCGCAGGTATATTGGTGCTGTGGTGGTAGTCTTCTTCTTTTCTTTGGGCATCAAGGTAAAAGAAAACAGCCTGAAAAGCCATGGGTGAGAAAGTAAGATCCAGTTGAATCCGGGTAAGGTAACCATCTCACCCATCATCAGAGGGAACTGTTGCCAAAGGCGCTTTGCATCGTGCGAATCCGACACAACAAGAGCGTGGGCGCTGCGTTGAATCACGGTTACAAGGGAGGGCAAGGGGAAGGAAAAGGAGAAAGAAACCAGCCCCAGTTATACACAACTTACTCTCGGATAATGTCAGGGTCGTGGGAGGTCTCGGCTTTGAAGGAACAGTAGTTGGTCCAGAGATCGACTGATGGCGAGATACTAGCGACACCTCGTTCGTAGACCTAGTCGTGGAGAGCAAACAAGTCAGCCGGCGGAACTTTTTTCGAATGTCGCAAATAAGAAACCTACCATATCTGCTGCTTCGGTTCCCGTGATGGAGAATTCCAGATCCGCATATTTCTTCCAGTATCCAAAGAGCAACGGGAACTTGGCGAGGAATCGATCGTACACGTTTCGTGCGGTTGTGATGGCCTGGGGGTTGGAGTTGCGGTTGATGCCTCCTTCAAGCGCCTCTCCGGCGCGAACCAGCTTTTCCCAGGTCTCGAAGTTATCGGGGTCATCGGTCTATCACAGTCATGTTAGCAGGCGCGTTATATTCTGAGAGTATCCATGGAAGACTCAGTAATCCTTACCAGGTCAATCTCGAGCTTTTTCAATTCCGCGTTCTCCTCCTCGGAGCCTCCGTAGGTGTAATCCGCCATGACGGGCAGTGTTTTGCACTCAAGATAGAATATTCAAACAAATATAAGCGGTTCGATTAAGCCAGAAATCAACCGAGAATATAAACAAAGCGCAGGGAGAGAATATGGAGGAGGTTAAGTTGAAGGTCAGAAAGGTCGCAGCCGAGCCGGAAGAGAAGAAACACGTGCCCAGCCACACCCCATCAAGCCTCATTCCCCCCAAAACGGCTTAGCGCCGGACTCGGAATTTCTACCTCTATCAAAAAACCATACGGAACTCCGGACTCTTCAACCACCACCCCCCCAAACAACCACCGGCCAACACCTCCAATCGCATTCATCATGGCTACCACCGGCCTGGTGAGCAACCTCCCCCAACGCCTCCGCAACTTCTTTGCCCGCTACCCACCCCAAATCTACTCCGCAGCGGTAGCACCACCACGCCCAACAACACAACCACCCACCGGTACCACCGCAGACCAACAAACCACCGCAATCGCAACCACCCCCTCCCAACTCGAACAACTCCAATCCCAATCCCCCGAAACAACATCCCCCTACACCCCCAACCGCGACGCCAAGGGCCACAAACGCCCCGACCCAAAACTCTTCTCCCCCTCCCGCGCCCTCCTCAACAACAACGACACCTCGCACCCGAACCCGTTCCTGCCGCAGAAGAACATCCGCACGGGGAAATGGATCGGGCCTAAGATTGGCCTGCGGAGGCAGGCGGAGCTCGTCAAGATGGCGGCGAAGTATGAGGTGGAAGGACTGTTGCCGGTGGGGAGGAAGGCGACGGAGTTTAAGGAGACGAGGAGGGCGGAGAGGGGTGGGTTGGCGGTTAAGGGTACGGGTGTTGGGCAGAAGGTTAAGGGTCATAAGTGGGAGAGGACTATGGAGGCGAGGTTGGAGGATCGCAGGAAGGCTATGATGGAGATGCCGGAGATGATTCGGTTGTGGAAGCAGGTGAGTTTCCTTTTCTACGTCTGGCTTGAGGGTTGCTGGCTAATATATGGTTACAGAGAGGACACGGTCGTGGCTGGAAGCAGTGGCCCAGACGGTAAAGGCATTGGCCTTGGGTTTCTATCGGAGTGTCAGTCTGGATGGAGGTTTTCTCTAGGTTTCGACTCGTTTAAACGGGTTGGGGAGCTTTGTACGAATCTGTATGGTCTGGGATAGGAGTTATTCGTTTACTTTTTTTCATCTCACATATTGTACAAATAGATATGACAGAAAAATGCGCGCACGTTCATGCTATGTCCTGGTATTGAGAAACGCTATGTCCAATTCATATATATGACCCATTCAAAAATGAGAGAAGAAAAGAAATCACTCATGCCTATCATACACAGGAACAACCCTATCCCCAACCATAACCGTCCTCCTCCCCTCCCCATCCCCACCCCCCTCACCCATATCACCCATCTCCCCAGAAGACAAACAAACATGTCTCCCAAAATAAGTCTTCCCACCAACCTTCCTCGTCTTCGCCAGCGTCGACAACGGCTCATCCCCCTTCACCCCCGTCATCTGATCAATGCACACCATCTGACACCGCTGACAAGAACCCATAACATCGAAACGGAGCTGACCCGGTCCGATTCTCAGAGAGGACCAGTTATCCTCGATGTACGGCTGTTCGGCATTGCGGGGTTGAGAAACGTCTTCGGCGACGACGATGTTACTGCGGAAGACGTCTGCTGCAACTACTTTTCGGGGTTTGTTGGTTGGTGTTATGGGGTTTCCGTGGGCGTCTTTTATGGCGTTTGCTTTGATGGTTTCGTTAAGGCGGTTTACGGAGGAGCGGGAGATGAGGAGGATGGGGCTTTCGTTGGAGAGGAGGATCGGGTTGTTGTTTTCTGGTGCTGATAGGCTGTCTGGGGGGAAAGAGCCTGGCATGATGAATTTCTTAAACGCTTGTTTCAAGCTGGTGCTAGAGAAACGACTCGATCTGGGGTATCGGTGGTTCGACGATTGAGGCGGGAAACGGGCGAGTGTGCATGGGGCACCTAGGAAGTCGGAGAAGAAGGAGGATACTTCTGGCGAGGAATAGGCCTGCACGACTACCTGGTCTCCGCAGACGGTGGAGGATTTCTTTGAGCTTTGGCATAATGATGTGCAGACTAGATTCGTGTCGTCGCGGAAGAGAGACACCTCTAGGGTCTTTCGGCCTGGTGAGGCCATGCCGCCGCAGGTTATTTGAAGGACGCCACGCTCAAGATCGATGAAGGGTCGGATGAGGGCCATGCGCGGGTATTTCTTCTGGCTGAGCGTTGCGCCTGTGCCTTGGTGTACGAGACACCATTCTCGATCCCATGCAAGACCTTCACGTCTGATTTCCCAACGTTTTCCATCTGGGATTTTGAAAGCACCGCAGCTCTTGATGGGGTATACTGAGAGGCTCTCGACGTAGAAACCGGTCTGCTGTGGCGGGCTAACACCAGGAATAGGGAACGGGACGCTGATGTCGATAGCCTTGTCGACATAAAACTCCTCAATGAACCCAGCGATCGTGTCAATATCTCCCATATTCGTCATCGCGCCGAGACTAACCCTCAGCATCCCCGTCGGTCGTCCATCCATCACGTCGTGATCATCACCACAGCGCAGACCAGAGGAATACTGGCGCCGCAAATCCGTCCCGGTCCAGCCGAGACTATGTGCCGTGCCTCCAGGGTTACAAAGCGATCCAGATCGAATCTGGATATCCTTCACGGTAGCCAGTCGTTCTACTTCGGTCTTGCCAACCCATCGGCCCTGACTGTTGCGCAGATTGAAAGAAACGATTGGGCCTTGCGTGGATGGATCGTCGTAGGTCGATGCAGGCGATTTGTAGAACCGACAAACCCTCACGCCGTTCGGGTGCGCTAACGAGAACAAGCGGTCATACAACTGTTTTGCCAGGAAGCGAGTATGAGAGGAGACGTTGGTCATAGTACCATAGAGCCGGCTATGGATGTCGAATGCAGAGTCCAATGCGATGATGGAATGGAACGGGAGAGTCCCATCTTCCAAACGGTCATGAATCGAAGATTCCTTCTCCGCATGCCACTGAATCCCCGCTGTCAGGACCATATCCACCGTGCCGCCTCCAAAAAACCTGCGATGTGAAAAGACATGGCCAGCACTCTTCCGAACAACCAACGCCCCGAGATCAGGGAATCCAAAGATCTTGTAGAAGCTGAGTGCCGTGAAGTCCGGCGCATTGGTCGAATCACTTAGATCAAGCGGAGCGGTCGAGACGAATGATGCAGCATCGAGAAGGGTGTATACATTTGCATCGCCTCCACTAGCCCTCCGTATCTCCTCACACCATCGAAAAGGTAACCGCCGGCCATTCCCATTCGACTGCGCCGGATACGCAAACAGTTTTGGCGTCTTCGCCTGGAAAGTATTCAACTCCGAAATCCACGTATCGACCTCCCCATCCGTGATAAAACATCTATTCCCCATATCCGCCAACTCGCGCACACCCACCAAACTCGTATGCGCATCGAGATGATATCCATACCAGAAACCCTGAGGCGTCGAATCCCTCAGCGAATCAGCAACAAGCTTAATAGCAGCCGTAGCATTCGCCACAAACACCAAGTCAAACTCCTCCGGATCCGCGTTAAAAAACCGCAGCGCACGCAGACGAATGTCATCAATACGGTGCGTAGAAAGCTGAGACGAGGGCGACATCGAATGAGGATTCCCGAAGAGATTCGCCGTAAGATCGTGGGAGAAGGACTCGATCAACGACTTGGGATATAACGTAGTACCCGCATGGTCCAGATAGGTCGTATCTACAGAGTCCGGGGTAAGCTAAGCATGCACCGGGGTACAAAGAGATAAGGATAAGAGGCATACCTTTGAGCAAAGGATACTCCCGGTCCCGAATGACGTCGATATCCTCCGAATAGCCATGGCTGTATTCTGCTGGGACGTAGGCCCCTTTACCTCGTCCTTGGTCCTCCATTATATATATCTCGTGATAACTCCGTGCTCTGTTTGTATACTATAGAGTTCTGCTCGGAACTGACGTGTCAGTTCTCAGTCATATATATGCCCGAGGCCGAGGGAGCAAAGGGATGCATAGATGCATATAACCTACATATGTAATCTTGGCAAGAAGTTAGCAACATCCTAGGTCAAAGTAAAGCGCATAAAAAAGCGACTCAATAGATAGTAGACAGAAACTGATAAGACAAAAGTGGGAGAAATAAAGTAGAGATCGGAGCTCACCGATAGTATCAACCAAGCTCGGTCAATAGTAATAGCCTAGATCTTCTGGACATGGAGACTTGAGGACCAAACATGGCCTTTAAATGATTGTCCATAATACTCTGTCTGACTGTGATCGTGACAATGGGGTTTGGTTAGTTGGTAAGAGGCGAACTTCGAGGATGTTGGTTGGATTCGAGAGTGGTGGACCGAGGGATCTCCGCATGCCCAACCAATATTTCCACTTTTGGATGCGGGGAGATCATTTAGCCTCGACATCGATCAATAGTATATACAGAGGATCAATTGATTGAAGACAGCCTCACCAGAAAGAATTACAAAAACTCGATTAGCTTTAGGATCAAGATCGATGTCACTCGCAGTAAGATCTATAGAACCAGAGGGGTTTCATCCCGGGAATCCGTACAGAATTGCTTTTTCTACAGCAATCACTAGTCAACGATAGCATGCTTGTATCCTCTCATTTCAGGATTTCTATTGGATTACTAGACGCCGTGGATTCCTCAGGGCTATTCCTGTCTGAACTGGTGGTGTGTTGGACGAGGCTGAAAACCATGTTTGCTGACAATGACCATAGCCATTGTGTATGGTTGTTTTTCTTCGATTCCTACAGCAATATCACATCCATCACACTCAGCGCGCATGGCGCATACCCTGGGATCTTCCATAGGACCGAGTTGGCGATGTAACCATGCTGCACCTGCATACGCAGCTGACCAGAAGAGTCAGCGCCAGATCAAGCAGGAACAATCCGTCATGCACAATAGGAACATTCATTGTAACCTTGGGAAAATATATTTCTCAACTCAGCCGCAGCGACATAATCAATCATTGCTTCATTAGGATATTGGTGCGTGAACCCTGGTTCCCTCCGGTCTTTGTTCTCGTGTTCTCATGATCTCATGTCACACATACCATCAAAAACATTACCAATTAGCTTCATATCATAGATCCCTATTTGACCAGATAGAAGGATATCACAGCCTAGACAACGTAATGCGGTCTCCGACTCGAGCTCCTCGCCCGACTCCCATGTCCCCGCCGGCTACTATGACTCCTGCGCCTCGACGACGACGAAGTCCTCACTTCCTTCCTCGCCACCGGCCTAGGCTGACCCCTCCAGATCCACAGCGCCCACAGCGCAGACCAGAAGAAGAAAATCACCTCCATAATCCCCATCGCAAAACTCGCCTTCAGCATCGCACAGGTCTTGTTCAGATCATTCGCTAGCGGGTTCCCTGTCTGCGCGCCGTAGAGCCCGAACGGACCCAGGGAGACGTATTCGCCGTCGCCGTGCCAGTTGCCGCAGTTGGCGTTTGCGATGAAGCGCAGTTCGTAGACGCCGGCGATGAAGGCGCCGAAGAAGAGGAGGTCGACGAAGGAGACGAAGATGGCGGAGCGCTTTGTGGTGGCGTGGCGGATCATCGTGTCGACGCACCAGAAGACGGCGATGACGCTGACGATGAAGAGGACGAGGATGTAGACTGGGGTGATTATGTTGGCTTTGAGGAAGCCGTCAATGAAGTAGGCCTGGGTGGGTGTTAGTATGCAGTTCGGGATGGCAGGGATTGCTCTAGGGAACGTACCAGCATTCCAATGATCGGGATCAAAAAGACGATCTCGACCAGACGGTCGAAGATGAAAAACAAGGTTCCAATCATTTTGCTTATGTGTGGTCCGTTGTCGAGTACCGTTTACCAGAAGAAGGGATGTCGATTGTGCCAGGAATGCAGTGAGAATATTCTATCGAAACTTCACCTCATCACGCGGTATGCAACATGCAAGATGCAGATTCGACAGGAATGTTGATGTCAAGATACTCTGCAGTTGTACGGAGCGCTCTGTATAGTGACGGTGGTTGTTTATCTTATTCACTGTACAACCAAAACAATACAACCACAATTGCACCGTGCAGACGACAGGGACGAAAGGTACAGAGTAGGAAGAAGAAAATGGAGTGATAGGCAGGTACCCCAGAGAGAAAAATCATTCACCGATTAACACCATCGTGCTGTTCTTTTTTCGATCAATTGAGGAGGCTGGGCGAGTGTCAGCTTGGCCGGTGGCTGGGCAACAAAACAACTGCTCCGGACAAAGGGCAGCGAGACCCTGCCAATTATTGTGAGGTAATTGATGCATGACATTTTGTCTTTTTAATTAATGTTGCCTGGTCGATTGAACTGTTAATTGATTCGAGGCGTGGACCGATTAGAACGGTGAGACCGTTGGAGGTTGAAGGATTGCCCCAGACTACTCCGCATACGCCCGGAGGAAAAGATGGGATCCTATTATACAAGAAACAAATCGCTGCCGGGCAAATAGCAAATAGATTCCGCTCAGCCATAAAAAACCGTGACAAAAAAGAATTGAAAAAATGGCACTATAACCACCCAACATAATCATCGACATCGTAAAATGGGCATGTTCATAACCAGTGAGCCCCCTCAAAAAAAAAAAAAAAAAACAACAACAACAACAACAAACTAAGACCAGCACTGATTTTTCGCATTCCTGTCTTCACCGTCTCGGCACACTCAAACCCGTCCATGCCCAGAAGTCACAACACCCGGAGGCGAATGCAAGGCGCTAACACCCGGCACCATAGACGGCTCCGTCGCACGATGATATGAAGTGTCGACCTCATACTGCGGCAGCGGAGTGGTGCTCAAGCCCGGGTTTTGCGTCCGCGTGTAGCCATGCTGCATCTCGTATCCATCCGCGAGATCCTCGCTGCTTGACGACCAATCCCCATCATGTTCATGCGGGCGACGCTGATAGAATGTATTGTGGGTGTAAGGATTAACCGGGGTCGGAGTCGAGTATGCGGATGGCGTAGGGTAGCGAAGAGGCTCTTGCGCAGGAGGCACGGTAAGGGACGCGTCGAGTCTCTCTTCAGCCGGGTTTCGAAGAGCGGCGGTGCTCTCGCGATATTCGGAAGGAGGACGATTCGAGTCGTCGAATGGGTTAGCCGGCTCATTGCCCCACGTGCGAATCGGATACGCTCGTCCCTTCTTCCAAGGCTCGCCGAGCGAAGGGAAGTACTGGCGGTAGGAAACAGAGGCACAGACAATGCCCAGCACCGACCCCGTAATCACATCAAACGGATGATGCCTGGCGTCCATAATCCGCGTGACCGCGATAAGCATCGCACCCAAGGTGGGAACCATCACCATCAGCGACTTCCAAGCCTCCCCGCGATTATCCATAATATGCAACTTCCCCGACAGCCACAGCGACAAGTAAAACAACCCCGCAAACGACGAGCTGCTGTGTCCTGACGGCCACGACTTGAATCCATCCTTCAGAATCTCCGGATCGCCCGTGCAGATTGTATAGTTCGACAGGCCAAACGGCTGAGGATCCTGCGTCACGTTCGGCTGGCACCGATCGATGATATCCGGTCGCGGTTTACCGCAGGCGTTTTTCAGCACCTGGGTAATCACAAACGCCAGACCTTGCGAGAGCAACAGACCCAGAAAGCCGCAATTAAACTCCCACAGTCGGTCCTTCAATCGGTATGGTCCGGTCAGCTTTCTCTTCCCGGACACGGCGTTCCGCGGCTTATTGTGCGAGAACAGTCCATCGATGAACAGCGTGTAGACGGCGATGGTAATGAGGGGAATAATTCCGGCCAGGCACAGGGCCACGGGCATCGGAATCGTCTCGTGAACGGCATAGGGGTATTTCAGGGAGATGTTTTCGAGGGAGAACGGTTGGTGGAAGGGTTCGATGGAATCGAGAATGTAGAAGCCGGCGATACAGGCGCTATGGTTTTATCTAGTCAGCTAGTCGGATCTCTCCAGTTTTAGTATAACAAGAACACTAACACCAAAATCACATAATCGAGAATATATGAAATGATAACGCGAGGTCGTAACCGCCGCTTGGAAAAGGGCAGCTTGGAGGGAAGGCGGTCCATCGTATCTTATCCCCACCGATCGGAGAATAATCACCAGGAACAAGAATGCAGAATATATCTGTGCACAAATAGTGACATTGGTATACCCCGTACTCCGGAGTAGAAATAAAATAAAGATAGCGATAGTCTGTCGATGAAAAGAGAGCATTAAATAAAAGACCCTGAGGAATACTAAGATTTGCCGGGGGTGGCTGAGTGAGGCCAAGAAACTGTGCCCTGAAGCCACGGCGGCTTATTATAGAAGGTTTATACTTGTTCTATGCACCAAGCAAGCCAGGCAGCATATTTTATACAAGGCTGGCCTGTCATGGCTGAAAGAATACTACTGGATAAGAGTGTACACGGAAGACAAAGAAGTGAATTAAGGAAAGACAAATAAGAAAATAACATTATCGATGAACCGGGTACTATACATTCATACAGGTATGTCTCTGGAAAGCCATCCGTAGGCTTTCCCTGCTGTCTGCTAATTTTTCTTTTTCTTTTTTTTCAGTCGACATTAAAAAAGCGTATGTCCAAAACCAATTTTTAACCACATCCCATAATCAAGAAGGAAAGTCATGGAATTATCATAAGATCATCAATCAATACCCGGAAAAGTAGTGGGATCGATACCCATGAAGGTTCGCCTTAATAGATGGCGATCACTTTAGCAGGTGGTGATGTAGAGACCGAGAGGAGAGGGGTTGTAGTCCTCGAAGAAGTCGAGGTAGGTGCTGCCAGAGTTCTTCATCTCGTAGCTGACGGCCTCACCAGCGGGGCACGAGAAGGTCGAGATGACGTAGGAGTTGTCGGGAGCGACAGTGGTGACACCGTAGTCCTCCTTGACGCTGGGCATGTTGCTGTAGCTGGTGTCGGTGGTCACAGCCGACTCGAGAGAAGCGAAGTCGATCTTGCCGTCACCGCTGAAGGTGAAGGCAGAGGTCTCGAGGTCCTCCTGCTTGGGGAAGAGGAAGACAAGGCTGCAGGTCTTGTCGGCGTAAGACTGGGGGACGTCGAAGTTGTACAGAGTGGTCTTGTCCGACGAGATGGTGCCGTTGTAGGAGGTGCCGGGGGCGTTGTCGGGCGACGAAGAGTCAACGGGGATGATCAGGTGAGGAGCGGTGTATTCGCCGTCGAGGTTAGTAGGGCAGCTGCCAGAGGCACTTCCGGAAGGCTGAGATCCAGTGGAGGTTCCCGAGGGCTGAGAGCTGGAGGCAGTACCAGAGGGCTGAGAACCGCCAGGAACACTAGCAGTGCCAGAGGGCTGAGATCCACCGGGGACACTAGCGGTGCCAGAGGGCTGGGAGCCGCCAGGAACACTAGCAGTGCCAGAGGGCTGAGATCCACCGGGGACACTAGCGGTACCAGAGGGCTGGGAGCCGCCAGGAACACCAGGGGTAGTACCAGCGGGGCCAGAGGGCTGGGCAGACTCAGAAGGCTGAGAGCCGCCAGGAACACCGGGAGTAGTACCAGCGGGGCCAGAGGGCTGGGCAGACTCAGAAGGCTGAGAGCCACCAGGAACACCGGGAGTAGTACCAGAGGGCTGAGAGCCGCCAGGAACACCGGGAGTAGTACCAGCGGGGCCAGAGGGCTGAGCGGACTCAGAAGGCTGAGATCCACCAGGGACAACGGGAGTAGTGCCAGAGGGCTGAGAACCGCCAGGAACACCAGGAGTGCCAGAGGGCTGAGATCCACCGGGGACACCAGGGGTACCAGAAACGGTCTGAGATTGAGGGCCAGAAGGAGTCTCAACGGGAACACCGGGAGTGGTGCTGCAGTCGTAGGAAGTTACAGTGGCCCAGACAGTGGTCTTGGGCTTGGAAGAGCCAGGAGCCGAGGAGACGGGAACAATGACCTGGGAGCTGCTGCCAGAAGCAGAGGCAGACTCGCTGGGGGCAGAAGCCGAGCCACTGGGGGCAGAAGCCGAGCCGCTGGGGGCAGAATCCGAGCCACTGGGGGCAGGGGCCTCGCCGCTAGGCGAAGAACCAGAAGGCGAAGAACCAGCGGGAGTCGAGGCAGAGACAACCGGAACCGAGCTGGTAGGTTTGGGAGCAGGCGAAGAGGGAGAGGCCGAAGAGCTGGAGCCAGAGCCCGAGCCAGATCCCGAGCAGGAGTCCGCAGCAAGGGTGACGTCCTGGCACTGGGTGACAGCGTCGCTCTCCTCAGTGTAGACGTTCAGACCACCGTTCTGACCAGTCTCACAAGCGACGAATTTGGTGTTGCCCTGGTATTCGAGCTGGCCCGCAGAGTTAATGGAGAAGCCGGGAGTAGGGGTGGCACCCTCGTCACACTGAAGCTGAGTGGTAGGAGCTGGATAAGTCAGTAAAAGCCCATAATGGGGACAGAGAGAGAATACTCACGAGTCAGGATGCAGCCACGGCCGTTACCATCAGTGATGGCACCGTTGGAGTCGATGCAGTACTGAGCAGGGCCCAGGCTGTCATCACCAATACGGTTCTGACCGTCAGAAAGCTGACCAAGGGTACCAGAAGCACCGCCAGAAGCGTTCAGGCTGAAGCAGCAGCTGTTGCTCCTGCCAACGAGGGCATTGGCACCGGCAGCGAAAGCCGCGACGGTAACGAAGTTCTTCATGATCGGTAAGCGAATGAAATCAACACGTCCAGAGAGCGAATGAACTCTAGTAGAAGTGATGAACGAGAGATCAGTGTTGATTTGTTGTATTTAAACGTTTGTATGAAGACAAAGAGTAAAAGGTGAAAAAGAGGAGAGTGCAAGTATATTTATAATGCCGCGTGGATACAATCAAGGACGTCATCCTGGGGCTACGGATACAAGCATAAAAAATAGAAACCACCGACAACACCAGGCACTCAATAATGTTCATGTTGAATATAAGTCGACCATGGGAAGGAACAGTGGGTCAATTCACCAATCCACTATTCCTTTTCCTTTTCCCTTAAATCTCTTCGTCCACCGTGCATCTGGACTTTTGAACTCTGTGCTTGAACAAGTCAGAAGGCCTGTCAAATTCTCTTCCGGGTCTGGGTGCCGTCGGAGGTGCGCGTTACTAGAAGAGGTAAAAAACCCATGAGGACGACGTCATTTCAAACGATCCATCCCGGTGCTCTATATAGTAACAGTCGGGTTCATCGTGGAGTCAGCTCCACCACTGCAGGGTCGAGACAATCGCAATTGGCTAGGGATCAACTGGGAAAGCAATAAATAATGCATATGTGGACCGGAGAAAAGCAAACATAATAAGACATGGCTTCGCCAGTGTGGGTTCTGGCAGGCCGATGGATCGTAAGCAGACGATCATTGGGTGCCCAGAGAGCGAGCCCTGTGGCAAGTTTATTTTCCATGGAACCGACACTCATTGTACAGGCATTGTTCGTTCGTTGTCTTTGAGAATAGAAAGCTGCCCATGGAACCGGCGTTGCTATCCATAGTTTTTAAGGTACTTCGTGGAATCGGCTAGACGGAGGCCGTATGTGCGTACGGAGTATGTCCTGTTTTCTGCAACAGACACCGGAAGGCATTCGGTGTTCGTACTCGTACGCCGTGGACCGTAGCGAGACGGGCAATCGGTAGAGATCGGTAAATGGATTACACATCGTGGTGGCCTACTCTGTACAGTAACTATTTTGAAGGTTCTTATTTAGTATCACCCGGTCAATTGAGTGTGAAGAAAAAAAAAATAATAAAAAGGTACCTCGTCATCACACCATCAATCCGTTCACCCTCAATAATCATGATGAGCTCAATCAAGCCTTAGGCAAGGAACCAAATCCCTTCCAATGCGTAGATAATACCACACGATTCATCTTCCACATCGACGATTTCATCCGCGGAGGAATGCATGGTGCCGTATATCCAGCCACTAGGCAATCGGAATTCCAACAACAACTGGAACCTTTTTCATCATCGTCATCATCATGACTTCTCGGAATAATGTTGAGGCTGTGTGTGCCAAGAAGGAATAACAGAAAGGGCAATTCGGTGGCAAAGGATTCGGACAGAGAGAATGAATAGACGAAGAGAGAGACAAATGAGAAGAAGCAGAGAACGTTCGACGTGGATCACTGACGCAGGTCATGCGGGTTGCATAACTAGCATAAAGCTTAGTCATTTACTTTGCATAAGTACAGCCACCTCACAAAACACAGAGAATCCCGATTCCGCGTACAAAAAAAAATGCACAAGTACTTTGCGTTCAGTGCAGCGTCCGTAGAAATCCCTCGTACTCCTGCATTGCTTTTTTTTTTTTTTTTTTTTTTTTTTTTTTTTTTTTTCTCTCCCGTCTGCATAGAATTGAGGGCTTTTCTCGGCTACATAATACTACGGAGTACGATTCGTACGGTCGTACGTACCCATGGCCCTCGGTTTATGATCGATCCGATCTCGATCAAGTCTTTTTTTCGCTTTCCTTGGGTAGCCCTCGTGCTCGGTCCGATTCCTCGTTTACTGAAGGACTGGAACATGGCCGCAACCAAAGTCCGGCTCGCGTGTCCGGGACAGGAACCAGGCAATGACATTGAGCGTTGTTCTCTTATTCCTGCTTAATCAATAATAGTCCTCACAGTCAGCTATGATAACCCACACCCTCTGTTTTGAACCAGGAAACTATCCAGGTACAGGGTGAACAGATATAGAAAATACAGGCACAACGTTTCCACCCGAGTATATTCCGGTGCCAGTTGAACGCTGGTGCAACCAGCTTCTTGTGTAGCCCTGTTTAAGCTTGGAATTCTGTGCTCTGTACCAGGAACCATTTGTCCGTGCAGAGTCATGATGACATACTGTACAGACGGTCAAGCATAGGATGAGAGGCATAATTCTATGAATTTAGAGCACACTTGAAAGCCACTGCATAAATTCTCCTATGTAGATACGCATTCTGAGATGTCTAGCACAGTTCATTACATTGGATACTACGGAGTATTTACTAAAGACTGGGTTTATAGAGTTGATTACGGCGGATACATATACACATGTTTAAACGCCTGTCTATGGGACGATTTGTGAGAGCTCTACGAAGTACTGATGAAAGTTAATTGACAAGGTATACCCATGTGCCAATCAAATACATAATATGCACTTTGAAACATTCTAATCGTGCTGACATTCACTTAAAACCTAACTACCTTAAACCAACTGTCTATTAGATACTTTGTAACTTCGTGCAATTCGACAAGCAATGCATAGAGGAGTAATGCTCCCAGGCTGTTCTATGATTTGAATTTGAGCGTGCTCGACCGGCCTCCCGACTAAACCTTGCTCTCTATCTAAACATTCGGTGAACTCGGCTACGACTTTCCATTGTCGACGGATTAGCCTTTTGGCCAGTTCATCTGCACCAGCCATCATATGATGTCCATTGAAGATCAGGCGACTTTTGACCTGACCCAGAACATCTAAATGTCTTTTTCAGTGGCTTGAAGATCTTCAAGAGTATACAGAACATACGTGTACAAGTATTGTGCATATAGATATATATTTTTCACCCGACAGCCTGTCGATTTTCGGTGAAAGCTGCAAGGCCCAATGTGTCTATTTTGCATATCCACACAGATACCCGGGGCTTATTTTTGCCACTGGATATATAATGCAGAGCGTAGAGATAAGCGTACAGAGTATATGGGATGAATCAGGTACCCAAAAGTCCTGTTCGATGGGACGGGGCGTGATCGGGGAATTGGTTGAATGTCCGCTGTATGTATGTCTCATTTAGTGTCAATGGATGCAGAGTACGGTGTACTTGTCCGGAGTACAGAGTAGAATCCAACGACCCGCAGAATCCAGATACGATGTCATGAAATCAGCAGGACGGAGAAGACGTTGCACGTATTCGACTCCAACTTGTATGTTTACTTCCGTTGTTGAAATTCCATAACAGAGCGCATTGTCTCCATGAATCCATCAGTACAAATCACAGGGAAATAGAATTGTAGTTGCTATAATACATAATACATTGACCATAACTCTCTTTACAGCTTTCCTCCAGTAAGCTCCTCGCCAAGCTTCTTGACTCGGTCCTGAATGGTATCCCAGCGGGTAACTTCGTTCCTCCGGGAATCGTTAACAATGGACTGCACAGAGGTTGGTGATCCCTTGTTCCAAATGTTCTCTCCTTGGAACGTGTCGTTGGTGAACTCCGGGTTGTACCCGTCTGGGAACACCCGCTCAATCTCCGCAGCCAGCTGTTCTTCCGTCGTGATGAAGTTCCGGGCGTTCATGTACAGCGTCTGAAGTGCATCCTCTCGTTCCATTCTCTTTTGCGCGTTCAAAGCCTCCACCCGTGCTCGAGATCCCGCAAGACGCACCTCCCGATCCGGGTCCGGCAGCACCGCTGTCCGGCTAGGTTGCATATCCTGCACCACGGACGGACGAGTCAAACTCTCATCCAGTCGTTCCGGCTGTTGGAAGATTTCTTCTCGTCGTCTCTGCTTCTCCAGACTGCGCTCCATCATGCTGTTGTCGGTCCGTCTCTTACGCCCGTGTAGTTCCTGGAGACCTTCCCGGAGGTTCTTTCTTCTCAATTCGGCCATGCGCCGCTTCGATTCGATGTACTCCGCATGGGGGTCGTTCGGGTCGATTGGGGTTTGGTGGGTGGGCAAGGGTGTTGCATCCAACATGTATTCCTTGGATGGCTTGTCCGTTCGGCGAGCTGGGAAGAGTTCTCGAGGCACCGGCAGCGTACCCTTCACACGGGGTTTCGAAGGCAATTCAGGCTGGATAGTCCGCGGGACGTCAATGAAATTGGGAGACTCGGGCCCGACTCGCATCGAAGCGGACGAGGCAAAACCACGGACTTGCGCACCGGCAGTCCGGCAGTTGCGGAGGAAAGTCATGATGTACAAGATGAAGCTGAGCGTAGACACAACCAGTAGAAAGACAATTCAACAACTAATGACCCCGCCCTCGCAATAGGGACGATGAGAATGCGGGCTCTTGTTGTCCACCGTCGGAAAAGCTCGAAGCGATTTTCTTGATGGTCCGTGCATCACCGCCCGCGTGGCAGAAAAAAAAAATTTAGTTTTCCCTAAAACCTCACTGCAATTTTTCTCTTTCTTCTCTCTCTTTCGCTTTTCGCCAATTCTTTCTGGCCATTTGCCTTTTAATAATTATTTTGATAGAGAGTGTTTTCTTGTCGGTGACAAGAGCATAACACAGTCACCATGGGTACAGGAAAGAAAGAAGCCACTCGTAAAGAGCGGCAGGGGAAGGTCGGAGATGGCATGGGAAATGTCAAGACCAAGGGTGAAAACTTCTACAGGTATGTTATACTCTTTAGATGTGTGTTATAAGAAGCTCTGACTGACTCGCTGCGCCATACAGAGATGCGAAGAAGGTGCGGACATTGAACATGTTCAACGATGGAAAGGCGAAACATGACAAGTACGGAAATGTCACCCAAGCTGCTTCGTATCAATCGAAAGACGCCCCCACGGCACGGATCGAGCCCAACCGTAAATGGTTCGGGAACACCAGAGTCATCTCACAGGAGGCTTTGTCCTCTTTTCGTGAAGCGGTTGCGGAGCGTGCTTCCGATCCCTACCAAGTTCTGCTGAAAACCAACAAGCTTCCTATGAGCTTGATCCGGGACAGCCAAGGTGTCAATGGGCTGAAGCAGCATGAGGCCAAGATGGCCATCGAGAGTGCGCCCTTCAACGACACTTTTGGTCCCAAGGCTCAGCGGAAGCGTGTTAAGTTGGGTGTGTCGTCTCTCGAAGACCTTGCTGGTGAGACTGCAAAGGTGCAGGATGCCTACATCGAGAAGCAAGATCAATCGACGCACGAAGATGGTAGTGCTGCTGTTTCTGGTGATGTTCCGGTGGTTGAAGACGATGGAACTGCGAGCACTGCACCAACCGCTCGGGAGTCTGTCTTCTCCAAGGGACAGAGCAAGCGTATTTGGAACGAACTTTACAAGGTCATTGATTCCTCGGATGTTGTTCTTCATGTGCTCGATGCTCGTGATCCCGAAGGCACCCGTTGCAGAAGTATTGAGAAGTACATCCGCGAGGAAGCTCCCCACAAGCATTTGATCTTTGTACTCAACAAATGTGACCTCGTACCCACAGGTGTTGCTGTAAGTATTGCTACCCGTTTATCTTTGCTTCTACGTTCTCGCGTTATGCCTTTCCTCCATTGGCTCGTTGAGCCATGCCACCGCTAAGTCAGGACTTCTTCCAGCGACTACTTGTCGCGCTTTCGCACAATGGAGGCTTGTCTGTTACAGCTTTGGCAGATCGACACTGGTCCGCGCCGAACCTCTTTCTGAGGCTAGGCTGATTTGGCTTTCGTTTTGAAAGCTGGTTGTTAAGGACCAGGTAGTGCTTTGTTTTTGAGTTGAGATCTGCTTCTGCCTTTCTTTGGCGGTTTACCGTAGCAGATCTCTTAGTAACATCTCACACATTCTTATCGTTCTTTTCTTTTTTGTTTCTTTCTTTTCTCATATTTCTTTTGACCATGTTTCTTGACATTTGCTGGTGGCTCAGTCGCTAACTTGATGCACCAGGCTGCTTGGGTACGGAATCTCTCGAAAGATCATCCTACGCTTGCGTTCCATGCCTCGATCAACAACTCCTTCGGTAAAGGATCTTTGATCCAACTTCTCCGACAATTCTCGTCTTTGCACTCCGATCGCAAGCAAGTTTCTGTAGGATTCATTGGATATCCGAACAGCGGAAAGTCTTCCATTATCAACACTCTGCGGAAGAAGAAGGTGTGCACGGTTGCTCCTATTCCTGGTGAAACCAAGGTTTGGCAGTATATCACCTTGATGAGAAGGATTTACCTCATCGATTGCCCTGGTGTGGTCCCGCCCAACCAGAATGACACTGAAACAGATATTTTGCTTCGTGGTGTTGTTCGTGTGGAAAACGTCGAGAACCCCGAACAGTACATCCCGGCCGTTCTCAAAAAGGTTCAGCCTAGGCATCTGGAGCGTACTTACGGTGTGAAGAACGTTGAGGATCCGATCGAATTCTTGAGCATACTTGCCCGCAAGGGAGGCAGGCTTCTCAAGGGAGGCGAACCTGACCTTGACGGTGTCGCCAAGATGATCATTAATGACTTCCTCCGCGGAAAGATCCCTTGGTTCACTCCGCCGCCGCATGGATCTGGCCAAGAAAACGATGGTATCGATGGTCGCCAAGGCAAGCTCGGAGAGATGGGCCGGAAGCGAAAGCTTGATGAGGCCGGTGCTGAGCCTGCCGATGCCCCTGAGAAGCCCTCTAAAGAGTCCAAGTCTGCGGAGGGTGAGGACGACTTCGAAGGTTTCAGTGATGACAACTCCAACGACTCCATCGCAAACCTCGAAATTAGCGACGAAGAAAGCGGAGAGGAGAACGACTGAGGTGTTTTCACTACTTCTTCTCCCCACTTTCGGAAATCGAAACTATCTCGCCCGTCTCGTAGGGCCGACTTCCTGTCCCGTGATAGGGTTGCTTACGCCGCTCGTCAGAGCGTATTCGTCCACCGAACAAGCTTCGTTCTACAATTCATAGCGGAATTGAAAGCTGCTTCGACACTAGCGCCGAAACGAATCAATTCGGCCTCCGGAGTACCAATTGCCATTATGAATTGGCCGGACACTGGTCGACCATAGACCGACACTTTGCCCACAGCAGAGTCTGAACAATGACTCGGTCTGTGCAAGATACTTGAATATCCATATTAGATACCCACAATCCAGAATATTAAAGAAGATTCGTCTCTGATCTGTATGAGTTGTACCTGTATTTTCCGTCTTTGCCACATTCCATGCTCTGTAGTTGCCGCATTGGCGGGGTATCATTGGTCGTAGCTCACGTGGGCCGCATCCCAGCCTCCTCTCGACATCTCCACAGCTTCTCAAGACGTACTCGAAAACGCCTTGTTGACAGTTGTTTGTTAACAAGTCAATCCTATAATAATTGCCTGTGCGGCACAATGTGTCTGAGAGATGCGCATACTTAGCCAATAATGGCGGAAGACGGCATGTCTATCGTTCCTTACGGGTCCAATCTTGACGTTGTGCTGTATGTCCTTCCACCTACAAACAGGCTTGTTTTCGTCTGATCTCTAACAATAGCTTCTCAACAGCCGTCACAATGATTCCGTCGTATGTCTCGACCGCGATTCCCAGGAGCTGGTTCTCCGAAACGCAGCCCACGGTAATGGCGGCCTGGAGCTAGCCGACCCCGACTGTCCCTACTGTCACCGACCCATGCGAGAAGACCAGCCAGGCCAGAACAATCACCGTGCAAGCCCAGGTGGCCAGCCGGAATTCGTCAATCCGGATTACTTCCGCATGCTCCATAACAGTCTACCCAATTCCGTCAATTCCTCGGGTTCCTCCCCACCCCGTCGACGTCTCCACCAGCCGGCGCTTCCAGGCGTACCGACCGATCCGAATTACTCGGGAAGGGCATCACAGTCGCAGGGGATCTCGTCGGGTGCATTTACGCAGGGTTATTTTAAGAAATTCTTCGTTGAGGAGTCCATACTGGGAAGAGGAGGGAAGGGTGTGGTGTTGTTGGTCAAACATATGCTGGATGGTGTGTCGCTGGGATACTATGCGTGCAAACGGGTGCCCGTGGGAGATGACCACGAATGGCTTGAGAAGGTGCTGGGTGAGGTGCAGCTGTTGCAGCATCTGTCGCATCAAAACCTTGTATCGTACCGGCATGTTTGGCTTGAGGATGCCAAGATGAGTACGTTTGGGCCCAGTGTACCGTGTGCGTTCATTTTGCAACAGTACTGCGATGGTGGAGACCTGCATAACTACATCTGCGGTTCTGTGCAGACTTCTTCCACTACTCAACAATTGAAGGAACATATTAGGAGGAAAAGCAAGGGTGAACATGATGACTCGGCAGGTCTTGTAGGGCCTCGAAAACTCCAATTCGATGAAATCTATTCCTTCTTTAAAGATATCACATCTGGAATCCGCTTCCTTCATGTGAACGGCTACATTCATCGTGACCTGAAGCCAAATAATTGTCTGCTCACTCAGACGACCGACGGCTTACGGGTTCTGGTGAGCGATTTCGGCGAGGTGCAATCCCAGGATGCAATGCGCAGGTCGACTGGGACGACAGGAACCATTTCGTATTGTGCTCCTGAGGTTCTGCGACGCGAGTATCCGGATGGCCCGTTTGGGAACTTTACGTTCAAATCCGACATCTTTTCTCTGGGCATGATCCTTTACTTCTTGTGCTTTGCGGAATTACCCTATACCAACGCGGATATCATCAACGAGGAACTGGAAGATCTCGACCAACTTCGCGAGGAGATTAGCGGATGGACTGGGTTCGGCAGCGCGCAGAGAGTGAGACCTGATCTACCGGACAGACTTTATACCTTCCTCGAGCGTTTGCTGTCTGTGGATCCCAACCGAAGGCCTACTGCGGATGAGGTTTTGAGTGGCATTCAAGCCGGCGATAACTTTCGGTATAGAAGAGGCACCCCAGCAGGTCCGGATACTAATTCGAATTCTCGAGTCCGACCTGTCGACAGTTCGAGCGACATCCCATATCCGCGCTCACCTCGCTCCCATAAGAAAACTCTCTCTCGGAGCAATCCACTCACACTGCGTCCGAGTACCCCTTATGACCCTCATGATTTCGATTCTAGCCCGGTGCCTATGGCTGAGAACGTCAGGCCTGAAAGAAGGATCGAACTCAGTCCTGAACGAAACTTGATCGTCCGCCCAAGATACCGAAGTCCTACAGCATCCGGATCACCTACCCGGAAAAGACATGACTCCCATCACCAAGAAGCACCAGCGAACGTGAAACCAGTCTCAAGCATGGAGCCAGTCCCCCAAACACCACAACTCCTCCCTCCTCCTAACCGGTCTGTTCTCTTTTCGCTTGTCGAGCGCCTCGGCCTCCGGTTTGACTGGAAGCTCCCATTACCGTTCCTTCAGCTATCTTTCTTTCTATTGAAGCTGGTATCGGCCTTTCAACCTTGCATGCCCCTAGCCGTCAATCCCTGGGTATTCTACCCGTTGCTTGTCCTGGCTGCCGTGGGTCTACGGTCGCGGAGTATGATGCTTCAGATGATTATCCTTGGTGTCCACCTTCTCATTGTCGGTCTTAGTACACGGACGAGGGTGCTGTGCGTGTGGCATCATCCGGGTGAGGGGATCTTCGGTGATTGATCTACCCTTCTATTCCTTCTCTTCTGCTTTTGTACAGGGAGACTTGTTGTATATGACATACGCAGCTGTAGAAAGCACGGGAAGGTTGTATTTTATGCGCAAATTGTTTCTTCGAGGTTATGGTTATCGGCGTTTCATCATGTTTTTGCATCCGCTTATGCGCAACGAGTATGAATATACGGGAAATGATGTACATTTATCCAATTCAATGATTTATTTTACCATTCAGCCCATATGTTAGGTGAAAGTTGTGTATCTATACAAAGGAACCTTGAGTTCGCCCGGCGAACTGCCACTGTAGTCACCAGGAGCAACCCCAAAAGACCGTTCTCTTACTCCCAAGATCAGCCATGAAGACCACACGTTCGTTGACGCATAAAATATTTCCCCTGCTTGTCCTTTTCCGCAATGAACTCATGCAGCCCACACCCAGCCGGGACCATTGGCAGCACAGGGACCTTTCTCTCAGTACTAACCTCCAGCAAAGCGGGACCGTCTGTGTTAATAAGCCATTCCAGGGAATCAACCATTTCTTCTGGCTTACTGACTCGACAATGGTGTACACGCATTGCTTTTGCCAATTCTATAAAGTCTGGGTTCTGTTGGTGGGTGTGTGCATATCGATCCTTGTAGAAAAGATTCTACCATTATGTAACCATTCCCTGTTCCTCATTATTCAAGAAAATGACCTTTACACTGATATTGAACTGTGCAGCTGTGGATAGCTCCGTCAGGGTCATTGTGAAAGATGTATCACCATCAATATAAATAACTAGGGCCTCTGGTTGAGCGACTTTGGCCCCAATCGCGGCAGGAAGTCCAAACCCCATGGTGCCTAATCCACCTGAAGTTATCATTGTGCATGGATACTGCCACTGGAAGTGTTGTGCTGTCCACATTTGATGCTGGCCAACTCCTGTGGTGATCACTGTTTTGTGTTTGCGATTGGCTGTTAGGTTGCTGAACTCTTGAATCAGGTATTGGGGTTGGATCAAGTGCGGTCATTCTTCCTCTGGAGATCTATACGGGTTGAGTGGCCAGCGCGTCTTCCGTCCTTTGATTTTGTCCATTTGTGCCGATCTGCCATTGTGATGTTCTTCATAAGGGGCAAGATCTGGGCAAGATTGTCAGAGACACCCCCAACCACGGCCTCTGTCACTTGGACAACCTTAATGGTATTCTTTGGTGAAATTTCAAAATGAACAATACCACCATGGCCTTCCGCTGCCGCTTTCTTCGCAGTGGGGGCGAATTTCTGGATATTCAGGGTCACTCTGTCATCGAACCGCGCACCAAGGGCGAGAATGAGGTCGGCTTCTTGCATTGACGTGTTGGAGTAAGCTGACCCGTGCATCCCTAGCATGTGCAGAGACTTTTCATCAAGCTCGTCAAAAGCACTAAGGCCCTGCAGGGTAGTGGTGTCTGGAATGGAGGCTTTGTCGGCGAGCTCTTTGAGTGATTAAGGGCCATTCTTGGAGTTGATCAATTCAACCACGCGAGCAATAGACTTCGTAGGTACCGCTCAATCCAATTCTGACAAAAGGCAAACTGGATACCGCCGAAGCCGTGGGAATCGCCCTCCTAAGCACCCCAGCCGTAACATAGGCAAACCCACAAGAACAGGCTCCGGCCTCCCACTCGTTGCAATCAGAAACGCCTCCTCAATCCTTCTTGACAACTCAGAAACATGCCTAATCATAACATTCCACTTCGTACAAGCCCTTGAAATACTAAGAATATCAGCCTCCTGGAGCCCATCACTCCCAATAGATCAGACATATCCAATACAACTATATCGTCTCCACGCCGTAACATCAATGCTATACAAGTGGAGGGGCAGTCGGGGCCAGCCTGGGCGCAGAGTTGAAGTAGTTTGAGAGCCTCAGGCCTCAATATGCCCCGCTCCTGATTGACAGCATATGCTAGGTAGAGCAATATCCATGCTTTACCCATCCGTACAGCTAGATAGCTACCAAATACGACTACAGCGATATCACTAGCATTTTCCTTTTGGCCATAACCTGACTTACAGATAACGATGGATAAAGCCGCGAAGGATTCGGCCACGGTGCGGGGCTCCATTGATTTGACTCACACGTACGGCGCCAGTGATGCAGCGGTGTGACACCTGCTAAAAAAAAAAATAAGTCGGCCAAAACTGGGGTAGTGCACCGCCTGCGATGTGCTATCTTACTCAACGGCTCATAGCAAGTCTGGCGGTAGAAAACCTTTGACGAGGTTGGCACAGTACATAGTACAGTAGCATGTCTAGGCTGACGGTTGTGCAAGACCAACCACAAGTCGACGATAATGAGTATTTTCCCTCCCAAATGCTACTTTCCTTTTAAACAGGAGCTAATGGTACAGGGCTATCGTGGTCCATGGTTTGTGTGGCGACGGGAAGAACACCTGGGAATCTTCAAACCAGAGATCATGGGGGTATGTCGACTGGCATAAGATTCTCTGTCAACGAGTCTCAGTATATGAGTACGCTTCTCTCGATCAACACTCCAATGTTTCAATCCGACAAGGAATTCGCAAAGAAGCCCTGCGACTTCTCGAAGCCATTCTCCAGAACCCCTGAGGAGACAATTGTAAGATCGTCTTCGTTGGTCATGATATTGGAGGCATCGTGATCAAAGAGGTTAGTCCAATCCAATGCAGAATATTCAAAACCGACACTTACTGACTGTACCAAGGCACTTCTTCTGGCAGCCTTCGGTGATCCTCGCTTTCGACCCATCTACCGATGTACACGAGTTATGGTGCGTCTCGAACCGCGTTATTCCACCGCAGCTCCGGATCTAACGTTAATACATACTGGAATAGATCTTTCTAGGGTGCCCTCACAACTTGAATTCCTCACCGAGTCTGGACGACTCGCTTTTCCGACTATGTCAATCGAGTCAGAATGAAAGTCTGCGGTCGATTACTCAGGCCAAGGGCCTCTCGCGCAGTATACAAGCAATAAATCAAGACTTCATGCAAACAGGACTTATGCTGTCTGCCACTATATGTAATATGTTTTCCGTAAACGAGGAAGCTATTACAAGAGTTGGTTCCTCTTTTTTCTAATTTTTCTTTTTATCTCTCAACGTGGATATCCTCCTGATGATTCAACAGGTGTTTGATCCCGGGGATACTAGCATGGTCTTTCCATCTAGTATAAATCGATACCAAGAAGGCGTCAAAGTATCTCACAGTGACCTGACACGACAAATCTCAGATGAGCTGAAGAGTCGAATGCGGGACCTGGACGACGATGGTAGGTGCAGGGGCTTCTTCATATTATTTATGTCTTTCTGACAGCCACTAGACGAGTTACTGCCTCAAATATCCAACCTGATCCGCAAAGCTACACCAAAGGCTTTTCCCACGACATCCTTCATCAATAATGCTATGACTGAGAGAGAGACCTCAGACTGCTAAATAATGAAGAGTTTCAAACGTGGATCTCGACGGAAAGAACTTCTTTTCTTGCAGTCAAAAGCCTATCTGCTCCACTCCAGATGGGGATCGCAATATGGAATCATTTTACAAATTACCCAGCCGTCAGGGACGAGGCTAGAGGTTTTGTGCAATACTTTGAGTTTTCCAAGTGGGACTACAGATTCCAGAGTGTGGGATCGATGATGTCCAATCTGCTTGCCGAAATTGGCTACGACGTTAGCAAACGGATCAAAGAGTATGGCGACACAGACAACATCGAAGAAAGCCAGGAGGTCTGGCACTTAGAAGATCAGTTCTTGCTTCTGCAACAGATGCTTCTGAGTCCTAGATGCCCGTCTATTGTCTGGGTCCTCATCAACTTAGGAGACTATGTTTCACATCACCAGTGGCTGCTGGACAAATTACAATCGTTGTCCACTATGCAGGAAACTAGGTTCAAAGCGATCTTCCTCAATAGCAGTGACATTACTCTTCCACCATTCAATCCGGAACATTCTCACTTCATCGACATCAATCTTGTTCAAGACCCCAAAATACATCCGGAGAATTCAGAAGCGAGCTCGAGCGAAGTTCCGGATGCTCAAAACCAAACAGTCCCATTGAATAAACAAGCTCTTGAGGTCGTGATGGAACATCCGCAGCTTTTCAGTTTGATGTCACACATAAATGGACTTTTTAATGACTCCAGCGTGGATCCTGAGCTGCGTCAGATGCTGGTTTCCTGGCTTCCAACAGTCTCCAAAAATCCTGATATGCTCGATAGAACACTTGCAGACATTCTGCCTTTGTCAACTGAAACCCTCTTTCCGCGCGTGCTGAAGTCAGCGATTGACAACTCTCCCGGGCTGGCACTTCGAGTGCTCAAGCTGATCACCCTTTCATTCCGCCCATCCACCATCCACGAGCTGACAGACCTGGCAGAGTCATTCAACGAGGGGAAAGTATGCCAGTCACCAGATTAAATTGACCCGGACAAGATAATTCCACTGCTTCCCGGGCTCCTAAAGTTCCAGGGAAATGAGATTCATTTTTGTCATCGGGATCTGCGAGCTTTCTTTCTCTCCGATCACGAGATCGGGTTCCATTTCAATGACACGCAACTGTCCAAATCGCACGGCAAAATCGCATATCTTTGTCTCGAATACATGATCTCACCGCATGGCCGAAGAATCCTCGAGCAGACCAACAATTCCTTTGCGAGTGATGCGCCTCGTCCTCACTCCCATCTTGACTTCTGTTCCTACGCTGTTCGACACTGGCCCAGGCATGCCGAAGTTGCCGGAGAGCATTTTGATGTTGATGGTGCGCCATTGAAAGCATTTTTATCGGACAGTGCACTACTCCATATGTGGGCTCATTGTTACTGGAAGCAATCAAACACTTATAATAAAATCCAATTCAAGCCCCGAGGGCCCTTGGCAATATTTGCTGAGCACGGATCAAGGAGGATACTTGATTTTGTACTTTCGAATAGAGAGTGTCAGCAGTGGATTGAGGCGTCCTCCGATGCGTTGGCTACCTTTGCTCACAACGAGACACTTCACTGTATCGAATCGGTTGCAGAGAGCCTATCTCTAAACGCTGAAACCATCGAGAAAGCTATGCTGGCCTCCGTACACACTGGAAAAGAGAAAGACTTTATGTACCTCTGGACAAAGCGGCTGGAAACGCCACCCGAGTTTGATGATGTCTCAAACATCCTGTATCACGCTGCATGGCTTCGCCGAGACGGTTTCGCGCGGCAGATCTTAGAATCAACCACAGGGACATCCGATAAGACATTCAACAAGACTACATTGCTCGAGTTTTGTGGTAAAGGTGGAAGCCGGCAGACCGCTATCAAGATTTTGGAGGGTTTGGGGGCGAGGTTTGATTACAATGATCTTCTCCCGGCTATGCTCCAGGCCGTCAGATACGGACACTCTGATCTCCTTGTGTTCCTTATGGAAAGATATCTGTCTTTCATCAGACCGCAAAGACAAGGCGGCGACGGGAACATTGAGAATTCAGATGAACAAGACGAGATGATTGAGAAATTGTTCGAGCGGGCAATTCACACTGGCCAACAAAAGCCTCTCATCTCGTTGCTAGGCGTGATGCAACAGCACAGTATTGAATATTCCAAGGCGGAACCTTCCATTTGCCTTGCAATTAAAAAGGGTAGGACTGGATGCTTCAACCCTCTACTTAACGCGTTCGTTGGGTTGGAGCCTGACACTCAGAAAAGTTGCGTTGACCTTCAAGATATCATGAAAATAGCCATGCAAAATGGGAATGCTTCTACTCTGCGGGAACTACTTCAGAGAGGTATTATGCTTGACGAGGACGAGTACGAACCCGCCATTTGCCGTGCTGTGGAAGAAGGCCTTCCAGATCTCATGCAACTTTTGGTTGATGAAGGGCATCGGACCCTAGATCATGACCTATACGTCAACGTAATCACAAGAGGTCTCGCAGAGGCTGTGTGTGACAACAACCCGGTCATAGTGAGGATCCTCGTTGGGGGTAAGCCCGACCTGAATAGGCGGGGTGTGGGTTCACTCCTAAGCAGCCTAACCCCACTATACCACGCTTCCTATCGGGGATATGTGGAAATCGTGGCGATTCTTATTGAAGCGGGTGCCGATTGTAGGGCGAAAGATGAAGAGGGCCTATCTTCAATGGAGCCAATTCACGCAGGATTTGACAATGTCGATGTGCTTCGATTGTTTCTAACGAAAGATTCCAAGGCCGACATCAACGCCCCAACCGCAGATGGGTCAACTCCCCTGATTCTAGCCGCGAGACACGGCTACGAGTCATGTATCGACGCCCTGTTGCAACATGGAGCCGATGTATGGCGTAAGACAAAATATGGAAACACAGCTATCGCCATAGCAATTGCAAACGGCTATCACAACATAGCTACTAAGCTTCTAGAAAGAGCTTTGGAATCTTTGCCTCCCTCGACGGTTGTAAACAGCCAACTACTCCTCCATGAATGCGTCTGCGCCAACAATATCGAACTGCTTAAGCAGCTCCTGCGGTATAACGTTTCCCTAGATGCAGTGGACAATGACGGGAGAACAGCTCTCAATCGTATTGATTTTGGAACCGACACCGAAGTCCTCCGGCTTCTTGTCTATCGCGGTATGTGTGTGAACACCAAGGATAAGCACAGTCTCACGCCTCTGGCAAAAGTTGTTGGCTTCGATGATTTACCGAAAGCCGAGTTCCTCATCTCGTGCGGAGCCGATACAAATGATTGGATCGGTGCACCTGGGACACTAATACATCTCGCATGTGCTGAAAGCTCACTGGATATGATCCGGCTGTTGGTGGACAACAATGCCAATCTAAACGCCACTGATGAAAGTATGAATGGAACTGTTTTCCAATCAGCTTGTCAGAGATACGAGAGCAATGGCAGCAAATCGGAAGTTCTCAACTATCTGTTATCCACAGGTAGGATCGACCTCCAGCAGAGTAGCGCGTGGTGGGGTAGTAATATCAACACCGCTTGCTTGATGGCCGATCATGAAATCGTTCAGAGACTGGTTGATGGTGGAGCGAACGTCGAGGCATCGGATAAGATTGGCCGTAGACCAATTCACTTCGCGCTCTATAAATCATTGGATTTCGTCCGGTGTCTGCAGGAAAAGGGAGCTAGTCTTGACGCCACGGATAAGATTGGTAGAAATGCCCTGCATTTTGCCGTCCTCAGTGGCCGCCTAGATGTTGTGCAGCATGTTCTTTCTCACAAACGCGATATGATCAATATGCCAGACCGTGATGGCTGGACACCGCTATTTTGGGCTCTTCGAAACGCTGCACATTGGACCACTGGGCGACGCCAACAGGGAGAGATAGTCCGCCATCTCATAGCCGAGGGGGCACGGATTCTGGTCCGCGACAATGATCGAAAATGGTCGCCCCTACAGGTGGCCCAGTACCATGGACACAAGGAGGATATCCTCAGTCAGGTCAGGCCAACCGAGGAGCAAATCAATGCTATCGAAGATGGAGGAGAAAAGAGTGTGTGGGAATTGACAGTGGCACGTCAACCCAAGCCAGCCGGCAAATATGATAGGGCATATTGCGATGTCTGTCTCGTTGTAAGTTGCACCACCTTCCTTCAGTACTCACCACAGGTGGTATTCACTAACGCATATATCTTTCATTTTAGGATAGCATGGGAACTTATTACATATGCGACGAATGCGAAGGATTTCTTTTGTGTTTTAAATGTTTTCAATCCAAAAATATGGTACATCCACATGAGTTTTCTAACTACACGGATGATGCGGATAGGCAAATCAATATCGATGAAGAGGCCGAGGATCCAGATGATGTCAAGTCTCAATCGAGTGTTGAGAGTGCGTCTGTTGCCAGTCAATCTGATGCCGACGCCGACGCCGACGGCGCCGAGTCCGATCGCTGCAGTGATGGGAGTGATTAAAATGTCAACTGGACTTCTTTTGGCCTCTGGAATTGTACCTTACCTATGCGTTGAATCAGATTGATGATGGATTTCTAATTCGAATGCAGGTGTGAACTTTTAACTAAAACATAAAAAACCCTGACCAAACTATCAACAGTCCCAACTTGAACGCGATTGTGTTCGACCAACTCCCCATAGGATGCGTAACTATTGCGATTTCTTCTTCCCTATATTCCCCACCTTCCTGAGCCCCAGGGCCCCAATTATCAAACTGAGAATGTTCATCGCGAAAAGAAGCCAAAAGGCTGCCCGGTATCCAACCATCAACCCCTCCGGCCTGTTTCTCTCCTCCGGACTCGCCTTATTATCACTGACAACATTGGCGATCAGCTCCACAAAAGTAAGCCCAAAGCTCTTCCCGATCTGCGAGACTGTGTTGAATACACCGGCTGCTAGACCGTGCGTTTCAGGAGGAAACACCCCTGCGATCAGGATGTTGGAGACAGTGAACAAGGAGTCCGCGGCGATAGAGTTGAGACTGATAGCCACGAACGCACATCGCCAATAGGTCCAGTTCGAGTCCACGAGAGCCATTATCAGCGGGGAGATGCAGGAGATAATAGTGGTGATGTTCATGATGCCATCCGCGCGGACGCGATGGAGGATCAAACCGGTAACGAGGGCGCTTAAGAGACCGGTAACTGGGGTGGGGATAAAGCGAATAGCTGTTTGGATTACAGAAAGCTCCTGGACATTCTGGAAAAAGAAATTGATGATTTGCTCGAATCCATTGAAGGCACCCCAGATAATGAAGACATTAGCACAAATAGAACTAAAGGCGACATTCTTCCATAGAGAGTTACGGATTAGAGTCGGCTTGTCTCGCCGCTCCTGGAACTCTTGCCAGAGGACAAAGCAGACCAGCAGTACCCCGGAGACAACAAAATATGCTATGGTGGATGCCTGGCGGATGCTGTTCACGTCTCCAGAAATGATCCTATATCCTGTCAGCAAGATCGTCCCAAGATTTGGTCACTAAGAAGACTCTACATACGCTAGCGCCAATGACAGAAGCGCCAAAGCTGTGCTTATGATAATCGCACCTAACCAGTCAATGCCAAAAATGAGAGAGTGCCATTTGACTCCGCCTTTCTTTGTGTGCGGTAACTGCCACCAAGACAACAAGAAAGCCGCTGTATTGGCAATCGCTGCAGTATGAAAGCCCCAGCGCCAGCCGATAGTGTCAGTAAGAACACCCCCAACTAGAATCCCGACACCAAATCCAATAGGCTGTCCACCACCCATGAAAGAGAAGGCGAGGTTGCGGAGCTTTCCTGGCGAAAAGTTCTCGGAGATGATACTCGTGGCGGATGGCAAGCACATGGCGGTAGCTAAACCAGAAATGACACGGAAAACAATCAATTGAGAACCATTTTCTGCAAGACCACACGCCATGCAGAAAATGCTCTGAAAGAAGCAGCCGAGTAGGAAAATCAACCTGCTACCCACGGCGTCTGACACCGCACCGAAGATGAGCAGCGTACAGCCGGTGGACAAGGCATACATAGAAACAGGCCTGGGTGTTGGTCAGCTTCAAAACCCTGCTTTTGCTAATAGTAGCCTGACAGTATCGGGAACACAATACCATAATTCCATTCCCGGGTCTAGATTCAGGTCTCTGGCTACTTGGGGAACAGAGACCGTAACAAGGCCACCCAGGTAGCAGCTGATGAATGTGATGCAGGAGATGCAGAAAATCACCAACGGAGCGTGCTTGGGCTTCTTTTCCTGCTCTTCACCGTCACTACCAGAGAGACTCTCCGGCTTTTCTCTGACATGTTTCTCGTCGTCACAGGTGATACCGTCAACGACATGGTCTCGTGGGAAGCCATTGGCTGTCTCCAACGATACCCGATCTCGTTGCACCTCAAACGGTAGATGCGAGAGTCGAGTCGAGTCGAGAAATTAAGAGCAGTGGTGGTATGTTTTTGTTCTTGTTTTGAGGGGTTCAGGAAGGTTAATCAGTCCTCAATGATGAATCATTGAGTCAGTGATACTGAGGGACCACTTTGTCCCGTTATTTGGCCCATTGGGGCTATGTCCGCTTTTTCTTTTTCTTTGTTCTATTCGGTTCTGACTCAGATTGGCCGAATCCGGCCTTATATTCCTCTCGGAGCGGTTCATTCTTTGTCTTTATGATCTAGATTGTGATAACGCTATTTATAATCAAGTATTATCATAGGGTTCTCGTGTTATCCTGTCATCGGCCAATAAGAATGAAATCCTGCTGCAGGCCCTTTAGGGTATATCTCTAGCGCTTACCCCTGCCGACAACAGTCAAATTATTCGGTATTTTGTACAGAGTATACCGGCCGGTATCTGTGCTTTATGGTCCAAAATACCATGAGACAAACAGCGATGTGCGTGCATTAAGCATGCAGATGACCAGTCGAACCCGCAACCACCGCTGGGGTATTAGAAGGGCTTTGGAACCGTCGACCTATATTGACGCATCCCCAGACGATGTCGGCGACACGGTTGATCTCCACGCGAGAGGTCGTCCGGCATAATACCCCGGGCGACTGCTGGGTTGTCATTGGCGATCAGATCTGGGATGTCACTTCTTTTTCCCCTCATCACCCCGGTGGCACTGATGGTAAGTCTTATTGGAACTTCCCACCTACTACGACATCATTCTCATATGCTACTTTCATCCTTCTCTAGCAAAGCAGGCGTATTTAACAAGCAGCGAAGAGTCGCAACCGAACTAGAACGCTGTATATTTACGGTGCACGGTACATTGCATGTTGACTTATATTTTTAATAATTCACCGAGAAGGTTCCTCCCAAAAGCGTATTGGAGATAAAGTTACTAGATAGTCTTTAGACCCTACTTCTTGTCCGCTTAGAACCAGATAATGGATACATTTGCTAACGTTGCATCAAGTTTACAAGTTGCCCCGAAGAGCCTGCTCGCGCTCAAACGCCTCAAACAAACTCTTAAAGTTCCCCACCCCAAAACCATCAAAGTTCTCGCGCTGGATAATCTCAAGGAACACAGTCGGCCGGTCTACAACATGCTTCGTAAAGATTTGTAGCAGGTACCCGCCTTCGTCGAAATCGATCAGGATGTTGTACTTTTGCAGCGTGTCGATGTCCTCGGCCACCTTGACGCCTAGTTGTGCCAGCCTCTTCTGCACACCAACATAATAGCTGTCCGGCACCGAGAGGAAGCTGACACCCCTCTTCGAGAGGCTGTCGACGGCGTCGATGATGTTGTTAGTCCGGAAGGCAATGTGCTGGCATCCGGCGCCGTTGTAGTAGTTGATGAATCTGTTTCATGCGGTTAGTTTTTTTGAAGGCAGTGGGAGGTTGGGGTGGAGGCGGGGAAGGGCATACTCTTCAATCTGCGACTTCTTCTTCCCAGCCGCAGGTTCATTCATGGGTATCTTAATCACCTCGTTCGGCGAGGCAATCACCACAGACCGCATGGCCGAGTAATCGGAGCACATATCCTTGTCATCCACACTCCAGTAGCGGTGAAAGTTCAGCGCTTTCTCATAGTACTCGACAGCACCATCGAGGCCATCCCATGGCTGATTCCCAACACAATGGTCGATCTCAACGACATCAACCTTAGGCAAACTCCCCTGGAGGCTGCTGGCACCACCAACCACAGTCTTGAACCCAGGCAAAAAAGCTCCCGTATACTCAGAGCGGTTGATCAGCGTATGGATCGTATCCCCAAAGGTACGAATCGCCGCGCACAAAACCTCCCCGTCCTTCTCACCACCTTCACTCCGCAGAACACGCGGAGCCTGCACTGGCTCAGCCCCATTCTGAACGGCATGTTCCCACACACCCCGGACATCATCCACTTGGAACGCGATATCCTTGACGCCGTCCCCGTGCTTGGTGAGGTGCGCGTGAATCTCCGCGCAGAGCGTGCGGTCCTTGGCCGTCGCGCGCGTATCCCACGTACAGTCGGGGGAGCTGAGCGGCGCCGTGAACATGAACCACGCGGCTCCGTTGCCTATCACATACGAGGTGGTCAGGTAGGACCCTGTTTCTGGGCCGCTGTACGCGAGGACTTCGAAGCCGAAGTGGTTCACGAAGTATGAGACGCTTTGACGCGCGTTGCCGACGTACCACCCGATGTAGTCGAAGCCGATGTAGTTGGGGTTTATGCTGCGGATGACCGCGCGGTTGGGTGGGACTTGTCTGGCATCGCCCATTTTGTGTTGTTTTATGATTGAGATGAGAAAGTAGTGATGAGTTTGCAGAAAGAAGGCTCTTGGAGGTGGAAATAGATTGAGCTTGTAAGTTGGTTGGTCAATGGGGTTCTCGCTCCGCTGCTTTTATAGATAACAGGTATGAGGAGATATCAGGTAACCTTAGAGATGAGTGGCTGGATCAAAGGACGAATTAGGGTATGGTAGTACACCAACATCTGGTAGAACATAAACGCATAGATGGTGTGTTCTACTTCGCCCCCTCCACATATTTGTTGGAAAAAGCAAGACGAATCTTGGAGTTCGGGATCTTGTTCTGGTGGCAAGCTGACTCGCAGAGCATGGGCCCTGAGGCTTTCGTACGCGTGGGCCTGGCATAAGTCAACGCTAGATGTGAATGTTGGGGCTCTGCAGTTAGGGGTGCTATGTCGGAGGCCCCGAAAGTACTGGATACACCAGGACGATCGATAATAAATAAGATCAGACGATAATTCTATATACAAAAGAACACAATACGTCACGAGGAGACTCCGAGAACCAATCCAACACCTCCAGCGGCGGTACAATGACTCTTCTCAAAGATGCCCAAGATTGGTCAGGTAAGATACACTTACTTTGTAGTAGATATTACTCTGTCAGTTGCACAAGGCTAAGCCTATTCTGAGAACAACAGGCCTATTCAGCCCAGGAAGCGCATCGCGAAAGGTGGAATATCCCTGAACCCAACACTAGGAACAACCCTCTGACTTCATGGCAGAAATCCGTAATGCAAGCAATGCACGGCATCCTCGCTCAGCCAGGTTAGCCCTTGAATCCTGATGAGCAAAAGAGAAGATGATCTGGGGCTGACGATATAGGAATGCGATCTCTGGGTCCCGGAGCACCCTCCACCGAGTACTTCCCGTTCTACGCTATGAACTTGGAAGTGGGCTCAACGAATGCCTTCGCGACCGTGGGTAAGGAAGCCCCTGCTTCGACGACAACAATATACGCAGGGAAACACGACAGTTCCTCGGGACTCAGTACCTATGACCTTGCCATCGCGCTGCAATACGGCCAGGGCACTGGTTCGGCACAATTAGTAAAATTTATGAGTGATCATGTCAATATATGTACTTGTCGAGAGGAAACCTCATTACAACAAAAAGCTAACCCCTGGAAGGTGGTCCACAACACCCTCCCTACAGGAACTGGAAATGTATTCTTAGCGTGGGTACCACCTCGGCCTTTGAAATAGTTCCCAAAATGCTTGCAAAACCCGGTGACTACCTATTGGTCGAGCAGCACACATACACAACCGTCTTTGAGACAAGTCTTCCTCTCGGCATCAAATTCGCCCAAGTACGCATAGACAAAGACGGCCTCACGCCCAACGATTTGGACGACATTCTCACAAACTGGGACGAAACCGTCCGTGGAAGCAAAAAGCCCTCTCTTCTTTACACCGTCCCGACAGGCCAGAACCCCTGCGAGATAACCCAGCCACTCCCTCGAAGGCAGGAGATCTACCGCGTCGCTCAAAAGCACAACCTGTTCATTGTGGAAGATGACCCTTATTATTTTATCCAGCCGTGGTTGTACAAGACGGTTAATCAGGCCACTGAGCATCCCACATCAGTGGACGATTACGTCAAGGCACTAGTCCCTAGCTACCTCAGCATCGACGTCGACGGTCGCGTACTGCGTATGGACCCGTTCTCGAAGATCATCGCACCGGGCGCCCGCATGGGCAGGGTGACGGCGAGTGAGCAGGTCATTGAGCGGATGGTGCGCGCGCATGAGGTATCGGTGCAGAATCCCAGTGGGTTCTCGCAGATTGCGGTATTCAAGCTACTGCATGATAGCTGGGGCCATTTGGGGTTTGTGCAGTGGTTGGCACATCTACGAGGGGAGTATATCAAGAGGCGGGATGTGCTTTTTGAGGCTTGTGAGCTCTTCTTGCCGAGGGAGATTTGCGGATGGGTTCCGTCTACGGCAGGATTTTTTGTAAGTTTCATCACGATCTGCTTAAACGGGGCTTTTCTAATCAGATTCGGCTTTAGGCGTGAATATCCGTTGACTGGACGAAGCATAATAAGGCTGGGCTAATATCTTCGCTGCAGATCGAAAAGGAGATACATAGTGCAGCAATTGATGCTGGCACGCTTGTTGTTCCTGGGAGCTGGTTCCTTCCTGATGAGGGACGGAGTGGGATGGATGAGGTGTTCTTTCGGATAACCTATGCTGCTGCTTCTACGGATGATATAAGGGAGGCAATTAAGAGGTTTGGGGCTGCTCTACGGAGGGTGTTTTATTTGCAGAGCCAGGGTAAGCTCGGGCAGACTGATTCGGGTCATCAGTTACAGAAGCTCTCAGGAAAAATAAGTCCCCGTAGCGCCATAAGGTCTGTTAGCAATTAGGCTGCATTATTCCCATATAGCAATTGATGAGGGAGTTATGTGTTTAGTAAATATTACTTGTTAAAAGCTTGCGGTCCCGAGTTTTCTTCATATTGCCTGCCATGGCCGTTTCTCATGTTTTGTCCTGCTTTGAGGAATAGTCCAATGCCCACGTCTAAAGTATCCTAGACCTAGAAGAAGATCTTGATGAAAACTACAAACTCCACTATTATCATCTCAGGATAGAATTTCACTTTGCAAAGACCTTCACTCGGAAACATCTCGTACTTGTAGTCAACTTGGCATCAACTCAGTGAAAGAGACGCCCTGCAAATATGTCCCAAACTCCCCAATTTCCCAACATCCCACGACGCTGATCAAACTCAGATCGACGAAATCAGGTTACGCGAGCCTCTTTCTTGACATGCCCGTCCGCCGTCGCCAGAACCTTGGTGATACTTCCCCTCTTCCGATCCAACGTCTCACACTCAGGCCGAAGCCGGAATCTCTGCATATCAAGCGGCACCGGAGGTCCCAACCACGTCGTCATTAGCAGATGATCGCGCAGCTCGTCGTCCGTATTCGGGTGCACCAGGGCACTCAGCGGCCCGCGGTGCACGACCAGCCAGCTCACAAAGGCCCCGAATTGGTGCGGAGTGAAAAGCGCCACTTCGAACATCCCGGGGGCATGGGGACCGTTGGGTGCTGTGTGGATGGGGTAGACTCGGAGTTCGGGGACTATTTAAATTGTGAGCTTTGTATGATCTCTCGTACTCCTGGAATAATGGGGTGTATGATGTGTACATTCTAGGCGGATGCGCGTCCAGAGGTCCCTGGCGTACCGGGTTTGGTAGTCGTCATCCTAATTTTCTAGTTAAGATTATCTTCCCTTGGGGGGCTATTGAGCTAAACTTGGATGGATGGAGTTCAATTACTGTGTTGAAGTAGACATGGACATCGAAACCAGGCAACTGCGTATCCTGTCTTCCGCCATTGGATATGGGTGGCGTGAAGTTCTCATAGGCATCGCTGAGGATTCCCCTCTCGGGGTTGTCGAAACTTTTCCCATCGATTGACTTGGTTCTTTATTTGTTTTCGTGTCAGTGGTACTATTTTGTTTGAAAGATGCGTGGATCAATGGAAGTATACTCCGGCAGAGGCGCGTGGTGTTCCCAGCCCTTGAGAGGCGAGTCGAACGTGTACTGCGCCGGGTCGAGATTGTAGGGAGAGAGGCACTGCACATTGTTCGCTCAGATGATTTCATTACGTGGAACAGGTATATTCACAAGTCTGAGATCAAAAATGTAAAGTAGGAATTGTAGTAGCTATATGATGTGGCTTTTGAGGCTAATGTGGCATGCCTGTGTATATGTTAACTACTATCAGCATGTTCATTGATCTCTCAAAATTCGATTAAATATTTTCACAATCTCTAGGCAATTTGAAATACATTCAAAATTACACATGTAATATATTTGTTTTTATAGATACATAGCTCGATGGGATCTCCGTTTTCAATGCAGAGTACTAGTGCTTACTCTGTACCATGCTATGTGATGTAGATCGGGTACGAGATCGAGATCTTTCTGCTGTCTGTGCCCCGTGCTTGATACGCCATACTGCAGATATGAAGGAGGCAATTTCAGGATCACAAGTGCATTGCAGTATACCTGCCAACTTGCATCGGGATACGTCTTCTACTCACCGTCTCGTTTTGTTCTTTTCTTTTCCCGGCCCAGTGCCATCCATACGCATTGCATGAAGGCTGAGCACTACTCGGTAGCCATTACCAAAAAGAAACCAGCGTAGGGACCCAGCTGGCGTCATCCAAAGACGCATACATCGATTACTGATGCATGCATAGCTTACTGGCAACCACGTTTCAGGTTCATTTCCGCATTGGATTGGGGCGAGGTGGCCCACAAGGGACATTCATTGGATACGAGCCCGTGAGGGCCGCGTCTGCACAATCATGGGCGATTTACTGGAAATCCAAATATTGTATGGAGGGACCGTTTGACCAAAAAAATGGGAAGGACAAAAAGAGGGAGAGAAAGAGAGGGAGGGCGGGATATGATACGTGATGCAAGTCCTGTCAACCGTGTATATATTGCTAGTATTAAACCTACAGGGGGCAGTAACCTGGTACAGTCCACGGTGCGTACTTAGCGCAAGTGATTCGTTCAAGAGCCCAATAAATTAATAAAAGAGAAGACACTGCAAAAGCTGGCGGCGCTAAATATCTCATCTTTTTATCCTCGCCTCCCACTCTCAATACCATACATTAAAAGCAACATTGAGAATTAGGATGCTAGAAAAATACGATATCGTAATCGTTGGCGCCGGTCCCGTCGGTCTTATGCTCTCAGCCTGCCTATCCCGACTAGGCAGTTACAAGATCAAACATATCGACAACCGTGCCGAGCCCACAGCAATCGGCCGCGCAGACGGCATTCAGGCGCGTACATTGGATGTGCTACAAAGCATGGGATTGAAGCGACCCATCTGGGCCTTCAATCCGGGCCTTATCTACGAGGTGGCCTTCTGGGGTGCAACACCGGATGGCAATGGCATCCAGTGCACAGGTACCTCGAAGAGTTATCCTGATCACATCGACACAAGGTATCCGTTTACTACTATCCTACATCAGGGTCGCATCGAGGGTATCTTTCTTGAGGATCTCCGTTCGCGCGGGGTTGAGGTACAGCGGCCGTGGACGATTAAGGCTTATAGGTATCATGGACAGGACCCTGAGTACCCTGTTGACATCGATCTCGAGAGATTAGATAGCTTTGAGACGGAGACGGTTAGAACTAAATACCTGTTTGGCGCCGACGGGGCTCGGAGTGCAGTGCGGGAGCTTTTGAAGATTCCCATGATCTATAAGGATCCGACGGTGCACGTATAGAGTGTTATAGATGGTGTTGTCAAGACGGAATTTCCGGATATGCAGGTACTGCCATAATTTCCTACATGTTTCCTTTACATCTGTTGCAGTTCTAAATGAGGGTCAGATCAAGTGCACAATTCGCTCTCCTCGTGGCTCTTCTATGGTCATTCCCAGTTCTCGATTGTGTTCAATTTGCAGCGGGCTGGGGTTGAACTTGCCAGTCTGCCAGAAACCTTTGTGCCTTATCGGTACCATGTGTACTCTGATGAATCTCGCGGCAGGAAGTCCCATACTGGGGGCCAGGGGATGGCGCACGCGAAGATGGGGTTCGATTCGCGAGAAGGGGGCGTGGTTGTCGTTCGTCCGGATGGATATGTGAGATGTATTGTAAAGTTGATTGAGGGCAGAAAGGTCGCAAAGGCGCTCGATCGATATTTCTCTGGATTTGTGCCTAGCATTCTTATCAATGAGCCGATTCAGAGTATGTTGTAAATCGACATTGGGTTCGCTTAGACTTAATCCATCATGTCCTCAAAAGTGTATCCTTTTGAGTGGGAATGTTAAATTGCTGTTATCCTTTCACAATACATGAGGACCACGGGCCATTCAGTCCTATATACATGAACACCAGCCAGGTAGCACAGATTAGGTACATGTTAACTCTGGTCATATACGGAAGTTAACAGGATCATACTTGGGAAACTTCCGTGGTTGGCTGCCACCATAGACTTTCTCAACGATGGCTACTATGACTCGGACATCCTTGACTGAACCCTTCAGGAACTAAGCATGGCAGATAGAGAGTATATATTGGTTTGTTTATATATTACAATTAGTTACATTTTTAAACTCCACAACATTGACATCCTCGAGATCTCAGAGTTGTTCATACTAAAAGAATGCAGAATTATATCGAAAACTTTGATGGCCCTTCCAGACGGAGAGAAAGAGCAACTTACGTAGGTGGGGGGCATTGTACTAAGCTAGCTTTGGCACCGGAACCTACATATCCACGACACAAACATTTGTGCCCGATCAATCACGACTAAGCTTGGCTCGGAGCTTCCCTCCAAAAACATAGAAAATATATGGAATCAAAACCATCCCCACGCCAATAAAAGCAAGCAGCCAAGAAGCCCATTGCAGTCCCAATCTGTGATACATCTGAGTGGTGAACAGAGGGAAGGCAGCACCACCCCCCGATCGCAAGAAAACTTTAGCTGCCAAAGCCGACGCTGTGTATTTATGGTATGCGTCGATAATGTAGTTGTTGACGGCATAGTAGCACAGGACCATTCCGAAGCCGAATGCGATCCCGGAAGACGACGGTCCCACCCAGATGATATGCTTGAAGGAAGTGGCACCGAGGAGGAAAAAGGCGATCGGAATGAAAGGGGCCCCAAGAAGTGCAGCAATGAGTCGGTCCTCGGGTGTAGGATCCCGGGCGTTGCAGACTTTTTTGAACTGCTTCTCGATCAACGGGGTGACTAGCAAGGCAAAGCCAGCGCCGATTAAGATTGGGATGAACATTAGACCGATTTGACCGTCGTTGTAGCTGTACAGGTCCCCGAATATAACTGGATAAGCGAAGAAGAAGGCGTATAGCATGGAGTAAATGAGCACAATGTACATGCACATGAGATCCAGGACCGGCTCGGTCATGATCATAGTGATCGGCCGGATCAAACTCGTTTGAGCAATCTCACGCAGTGTAAGTCGATACTTTTCCTGCTCAGTGACAATGTTGGGGTTTCCTGTCTCCTTCCGAAGCTTTGCAGCGCGTCGCTTGAGGATTACTGGGGTGTAGGTCTCAGGGATCGAGCCCATGAGGATCAACATGGCGCCGGAAAAAGCCATGTTCACCCAGAAGAAAAGATCAAGACGCTGGGAGCCGACGTTGATCCAACCAGTGACTATAGGCCCGAGAACAGGGCCACAATAGGGAGCTGCCGCAAAATAGGCAATGGCCATACCGCGATCCTCAATGTTCCAGATATCAGCGATAGTGCCACCTGCCAGCGAAAGGCCTGAGCTAGAGAAGACACCGCACAAAAAGCGGGAGACCAATAGACCACCGATATTGGGTGACAGAGCACAGGGTATATTGAAGATGGTGTAAAGGCCCAGCGAAATTATATAGACCCATTGTCGACCGATAATTTCTGACAGGGGTGACCAGAGTAGCGGCCCGACTGCAAAACCACAAACCATGATAGAGCAAGTGAGAATAGCCACCTCGAGGGAAACATCATATTTCTCTTCAATTAGACCCAGACCACCAGTGACAATGGACGAGCCGAAGGCGACACAGACCACGACAGCCGATGCAACCATAGTGATGTACCATCGGAACAACCGAGACCAATTATGCGGATGGTCAGGGTCATCTATCTTGAAGGTCACAAACTCAGTTGACTCGGTAGGGACTCCTTCTTCCAGCTCACGTTGACTTGGACGTTGTCTTCGCGAAGTTCGGGTTTGGATTTGCTCCAATGCTCGTTCGGGAATGAGGCCAGTCTCGGTCTTGAGAGCATATTCTTCGGGGAACACGGGGTCTGTTTGGCGTCCATAGTCCGGATAGTTGTCTTCAGTTGTTTTGGGGGCTCCGGGAAGTGATTCTCGTGCCGTCTTGCCAGAATCCTGGCTTCGTGGTACCTTAGGGTTGTCTTGAGGCTTCTCGGATGTTGATTCGCGCATCTTGAGGGCTAAGTGATTGCGGTAAAGAATTAAGTACGGTTTTGGGGGATTGGCAGCCAAAGTGAAAAGAAACGGGGTAAAAATAATTCAACAGAGAAAGAAAAAAGAGTTAGTTCTCCCCTTCTCCTTCTCCTTCTTCTTCTTCTTCTTTTTTATAGTATGCCTGGCGTCACATATTGATTGCCGACATATTTCCGAGGATGACCGAGAAAATCCCCCAAGTTGCAATCGTCATGACCTCGTCAAAGAAGCCGTATTTCCCTCATCCTATGATCTGAATAGGGGACCAGAGAGCAAGCCAATTTATTGTATAGACTTTGTAGCTTTGGTACAGGGTATAAAATTGCTGGTTAAGGGGATAGTTTCTCATCAGTGTGGTCTCCTGCATAATCAGTGACACCGGGAAGTTGCCCTTACGGAAAGAATATTTTACAGGTTTCGGGCCGATAGCAACACTCGAACATTCGGAATAGACGATGCCGAGAAAGATACTTACACATCCTCTTTGCGAAATAAATCAAATATTTCCATATTGCACGCTCCTCGTCGGGTCCGAGTTACTCCAACGGTAGAATTAAACGATAGGTCCAATATTATACTCATACTATTAATGAATGACGGGCTGCAGCCCCTGTCGGGCATTCATGAGCCCCAAAACACGATTCCGACTTTGGCCAAATGGTAGCCAATAGTTAACGGGATCTGGGCTTGAGATGTTGCTGGAGTTCAGGCCCTCTGAATGCAGATTGAGAGAAGCCGGTTCCAGCCGTTAATAGTAGAAATATATGCCTGGCTCATGGGGCTAAGTAATGACGTGGCCGGCCTGATTTGATCTTGACCAGGAATGACAAAACAAGCCTTAATAGGTCAGGGCAGAGCAAGCGGAGCTAAACCCAAATAGGCAAATACTGATGCCAAGACATCGTGTTGGTTGTCAAATGGAGCCAAAAAAAAATAGCCTCAGTATTGACGCATTGCGATTGACAAGTATGTCTGCCGGGCTATAACAGACTCTGAGTTGAGATCCTTCGAAAGCTTGGCGATATGATTGACTACATGAGGGAAAGTGAATAAAAGCATGGCTAAATCCATCATGGACCATCTGGTGTAAAGAAATTAATATATATCTCAGTCAATTCAACCATCATTTTATGTCTGCATCGGCTCACTCATCGAAGATGCTTCTCACAAGCCTCCTGCTCCTCGCCGGGGCGCAGTCTGCCCTTGCCAAGTGCAAATGTGTATGTCACCCATTCGGATATTCAATTTACCCTAAATTTTAACTTGACGAAACAGACCCCAACCGACGATTGTTGGCCCTCACCTTCAAAATGGAACACTCTTAACGCCTCTGTAGACGGACAGCTCATCTACAACCAGCCCATCGCCAAACCATGCTATCCCGGCCCGGGCTACAACGCCCAGCTCTGCCAGGAAATAAGCAAAGAATGGACAGAGTCTCCATTTCAAGAGCTTTCTCCGATTGGCTACACCTATCCGCTTGTTGATACCTGTCCCCCGGTCAATGCCTCGGTAGCTGCGTATCCATTGTGCGAACTGGGTAATGCGCCGGTGTATACAATCAACGCGACAAAAGCGGATGATGTGGCGGCTGGGGTAATATTTGCCAAGGAGAATAATGTCCGGCTTGTGATAAAGAACACCGGTCATGATATTGTGGGCAGGTAGGTTCTTTTTCTCCTCGACATATATCGATAAGATAGCTAATGAGGTCTGACAGATCGCAAGGATACGGCAGTTTGATGATCTGGATCAAGTATATACGGGATGGACTTGATTATCAAGAACGGTACACTCCATCTGATGGTTTTTGTCAGTCTAATTGGACCGCAAGCGCAATAGCTGTTGGCGGTGGGTATATCTGGGAGGAAGTATATGCCTTTTCAGCCAACCATGGGCGTATCGTTGTTGGTGGTGATGACAAAGTACGTCCACGAATCTCTTTTGAGTTACAGCAGGCTAATACCATTATAGACTGTCGGATCTATTGGAGGCTACCTGCAAGGTGGTGGCCACGGCGCAGCAAGCCACACCTTCGGGTTGGCAACCGACCAGGTTCTCGAATACAGAGTTGTGCTCGCATCGGGTGAAGTCGTCACAGCCAACGAGTGTCAATATACGGATCTCTTCACTGCTCTCCGTGGAGGGGGCGGTGGCACCTATGGCGTTGTGGTATCGGCTACGATCAAAGCACACCATACACATCCGGTCCTTTCACACAGTCTCCAAATTGTTCCGCTAAATGGCAGTTTAACTCAGCTGCTAAATGCCACTGCGGGAATTATGTCGAGATATTCCATTCTGTCTGATGAAGGGTTCGCAGGGTATGCAACTGTATTGCGCGCCGACGGACAAGCGCTATACGAGCATACTTTCATGAATATGATTGAGAGCAATGTTTCCGCCACCATCGAGCGCGCCAAACAAGTCATAAACCAGCAGGTTGTGGACAACCTGCTTCGGCTCAACACGACCACGTTCTACATCAAATCAAGCTTCCAACACTTCCCCTCATTTCAAGAGTACTTCCTGGGCAGTGGAGATCACCAAGCACAATCCGCAAACACACCCATTATGGTATCGCGGTTCTTCGATAAAAGATCACTCCTCTTCCAGCAAAAGAATCTATCGGGCATGCTTCAGACCCTGTTCTCCGAGGAAGGCCCTGGAGTACACGCCACGACATCTGTCCTTGAGCTATGCCTCGTCGGAGGTGGTCAAGTCTTACAACCAGCGCCGCATACCTCCGTCCACCCAGCATGGCGGAGAACCTATCTGCTTGCGGAGCAAGTCGACTTCTGGCCCGAGAATGCGGGTTCCCAAGGAATCCAGCAGGTCAAGAACGAGGCCACTTTCAAGAAGCTGAAAGCGATGAAGGCGTTGACTCCTGGCATGGGAACCTACCTGAATGAGGCTGATGGGTATGATCCGGAGTGGAAGGAAGATTGGTTTGGGAGCAGGTATAACTCGCTCAAGTCAGTTAAGCAGAAGTATGACCCGGAAGAAGTGTTCTGGTGCTGGCGGTGTGTTGGAAGTGAGGGTTGGGAAGAGGTGAAGGGTGGAACGATATACGGGCCGTTGTGCAAGAAGGACTAGTCTTGTTGGTCTTGGTTGATTTGACGCTCATTTTATGCCCTGCCTTTTCCTTATTCCTGTCGTTCATACATTTCCACTGTAGCTAGTGATATTTATTTTGCTTCATGATCTACGACATACCAATGTAACCACGGGAAATCAGAGCTAGAACTTATTAGACCTGTGCCTTATCCATTGAGTCTTATGCCTGCAGTGCTTTTTGAGTGGCAGATGTTCATATGACAACGCTGCTCGAAAGGCGTATTGTTGATGATTAACTTCGCAATGTTTTGGGTAATCCTAGGTTTCCGTAAAGCTTTAAAGATCGAGTGCAAGGTGTACTGGAGATTTGGTAAGTGTGTACTACGAAACCCCAATTTATGAAGACTCTTTACTCCAACTGAGAAGAGGAAGTAGGAAATCGTCAGCCACTAGTCGCTTTGCAAGCTAAGCAATACAAGGAATGATCAGGGCTGAAGCAACGGGGAGGGAAACCAAGCCAGGGAGCAAGATCTGGAAAGGATCGATAGATCATTCGAACACAGACTGAGTGGCTGTATCTCAGTGCCCGGTGGCTTCTGCCAAATCAGCCCTAGAGTGACTCCTTCCCAAATTAGGAAGTAATATCTGCCAAGACGCTAATTTCGGCAACACACGTTCCCCCGGGATTAAGCTATGCTGCCAACCATGGTTAAAGAAGATAGTCTCCGCGTCTGCATCCACGTCAGATCAAGAGGCTGTAACTTCTTACTTCCTAAAAAAGGACTAATACGATGCTTTGTTGCCTCACTTCTGACAGTATGTATGTATTGTGTGATGTGGCGAGGGCTACCCTCGAAGACATAAATTGTGCCGTTCATCCTCACTTTAGATGCTCCTCATTCAGTTTCAACCTGACTTTCAAACAATCCCCACCTCTGATTTATTTTCTTTCTCTCATCTTTGAACGTATCCCGATATATCTCCAACATGTCGAACTACGGCGGTGAATACAATGGCCAACATGCCCAAGGTTCCTATCCACTTCATCAAGCCCACTCTCAAGACCCATACTCCTGCGGTCCTGGATGCAGACCAGCAGTACCTATGGCCCAAGGCCATAAACCGTCACCCTACCAGTCCCACCAGAGCCAGAGTTATGGCGAGAATTACTCCTATTACCATGACGCCCCACCTCCGGGTGCAGAGGGCGCTGCTCCTGGGACCGAGGCACCCGATGGTGAGAAGGGTCTTGGTTCAACCATTGCAGGCGGTGCGGCCGGGGGATATGCAGCCCATAAGATGGGCGGTGGAAAGCTGGCGACCGCAGGGGGCGCGGTTGTTGGGGCTGTGGGTATGAACATGGTTAGCCACAAGCTGTAAGCTTTTTTGTCCATTGTGTGGTATTAAGAAAAAGGCTAAAAGTGTACAAGGAAACAGAACAACAGCCAGCAACCTGCCCAGACCATTGCAGCTGTTCCCGTCGCAGCAACCCCTGCTTTTGGCACTACTACCATCTTGACGAACGACGGTCTCGGTGGAAGCCTCGGTCTGGGCTCAGGTCTGGGTGTAGGTGGCGGCCTCGGTCTGGGTCGAGCTCATCGGAGGATTGCCCGTCGGCGACTTGGCTTGTAATGAATGTTATTTTGCCGTTTAAATGGTTGTGTTGAAATATGTGTGGTCATGGAATCATTGAAAGGCTACATGGGAGATTGTATCTTTGTGATTTATCAGTGTTTGTACGGAATGATTTCTCGTTCTTCGTTAATGTATTTCCTGGGTTAGTGATATTTCTTCCAGTTCTAATTATGCTCAGGAATTTATTTCGTTTACATTATCCAGGCCCCAATCTTCGAGATCAATTTGGCGTGACATCACTGTGCATAGTTATACGAGGCTTAGCCCCCACGCGACATGCTAGTGCCATATTCTTACCCCCTCCCCCTCCCCTACACTGGGTAGTCGTGCATTTTTCGAACAAACCAATTTTTGCTTGCATTAGGCGCAAAGTCGTGTCGTTGCCAGATGGAGTCGGATCGGAAGCGCCACTGCTGGGAATGCCTCCGACGCAGCTTGGTCTGTGACTTTACGCGTCCCGCATGTAAACGGTGCATTGCGTCCGGAATTGCTTGTCCTGGGTACGAAGAGACACAACCTCCAAGACTCAAGTGGCTCCAGCCTGGGAAGGTCAAATCTCGAAAGGCGAGGCGCACAAGGAAGCTTGATGAGAAGGTTATAACGACGACAGAGAACACAATAATAAGTTTTGCGAAACCCCATTACGAACTAAAAACGGACGTTCATACGTTCTTTCAAGCCTCAGAATACTGTAAGTAAAAGGCTACAATAACCTTGTCACGGACATACAAACAAACCAATGCTTCGTGACAGTCAATGCCCGCATATTTCCCGGTATACTTCCTATCTTGGGGCTTGGTTCAAATAGTGCGGTCTACCAGATCTCGCCTCGAATGTTTCAGAATGGAATGACCCGGCCCGATTATGTCCGACTTGGTCTAGTTTGTGCATCCCTCAGCCACCGGATAAACCAGACAAGAGAGGACCCTCAGTCAAATTCGCTGGCCACGACCTTTTTTCACTACCGTGGTCTTATCATTCGCTCTCTCAATGAAGATATTGGCGTGGATCATAAGCGTATGAGCAATCTTGTTGTTGCGGGGATTTTGACACTTGTAATTGTTGATGTGAGTTGGTTCTGCTCAAAGGGAAATGTGATTGTACTAAAAGATGCTGTAATACACAAGTCTCAGCAAGGCGCATCGTCGTTCTGGCGATACCACCTCCAGGGAGCCCGGAGAATAATTGCTCTACGCGGCGGGATGCGTTCATTTGCCAAATCAACCGGCGCAATACCTTTACTTCTTCTCTTTGTGCGGTAAGCCATCATGAACACAGTCACAAATAAGCACAAGCGCTGAAGGTCAGATAGAATAGCAGTTATGGGCGACACATCATCACCTGCATCAGACCTAGCTTTGGCCCCTGCACATCTTGAAGAGCTTGGTTTTGTGATCGAACATTATGGCAATAGGCTTTTCGCCTTTCAGGGACTTCCTACCTCTCTTTTTGCCGAGACTATTAAAATCAATCACCTCCGCATGCGAGCCGCAAAACATATTCCCGTGGGAGAAGAGGACCTCACCTATGAGGCATATGAAATACTAAATCGCATTGAAAGTTTCTCTCCAGAGCAATGGACAGAGTCAAAGCCATCATCGAAAAGAGAAGAGTGGATGCTTCTAGGAAAGGTGCATCGGGCTGCTGTGGCTCTATACTGCATCCACTCGCTGCAGAGCGTATCGGTCCTCCCTCATATTCCTCTTTACAGAGAAATTTGTGGTGCACACGGTCGAAATTTACACAATCTTCTCAAACAGGCAATGTCATCGCCATCCACAAAGTTATTCATGCTTTGGCCACTAATCATGCTAGGTGTGGAGGCTGTGAAAGGGGGCGTAGCTATGCGTTCCTTCGTCCAATGGCAACTGCCAGAGCTAAGCAGGGGCACCGGGATGCTTGCACCATTGACAGCGAAGGATGTTCTTAAGAGGTTCTGGGATTCCGGTGAGACAGATTGGGATTCTTGCTTTGATAGACCATATGCGTTCATGATGGAACCTGCTGTGGAGGTTAGTAAACTGTCCTAGATGATGTTGCTGGCCCTGTTTGAGCAGGGCCTTGTTGTCTTCTTTTTCATGTATGTAAATATGTTGAGTGAACTTCCAGAGAAGCCAAGATGATGCCAAGACGCTGTCAGCCCTAATATTGGGGAGTTTTTGATAGATCTTCACCCCCGTTCAGTATTCCTATACTCCCCTCTTTCCCTTTTAGACTTAGTGCTTTCTTCTTATAGTCTGGCATCACTGACACGTGATGCGGTGGTTTAGAAAACCCATCGCTTTTGCCATCACTGGATTGCGTTAAACATTAGCTTGTAAACCTCTACTCCATATCAAAAGACTATTTTCTTACCCAATCAAGATAATACGGCCGCCAACTATGAAGATCCTGATGTCATTGGGCTATACCAAAAGTACGGAGTAGGCTGATTCGAGCCGATCTGGGGCTGTGCGGGTTGGTTTAACATACTCTTGTCATATTTACTCTCCGTGTCCTATCATCTTTATTTTCCGTATCAAGTAAGAAGTTCAATCCTTTCGGTGACTTTTGACATATATAGTGTCTTGTCTTTGGCTTCCAGTTTGAGCTTGCAAATAACAATTCCAAAATTGCAAGATTTATCTTTTCCAAGTCCAAAGACCTTGGAAGCTCTCATTGATCCGGTAAGCTTTAACCCACTAATATTAGCTTTGGCATTCGCATGTTCAAGATGAGAAGGTAGCATACTCACTGAAATAGTCCTCGCTGCTCAAAATTCCTTACCGCGTCTACCGCCGGACTGAACAATCCACTTTTCGGAAATCAGATCATCACTCTGACGAACCATCATGTGTCTCGCTTTTGGGTTGTTACTCAATCATAAGAAGAAGAATCAGAAGCCAGGTGCTGGAAATAATCCAAGGCCGCGCCCATCTCAGCCTCATCCGAATCACCACTCGACGCCGCCACCCTACCCAAATTCAGCGACGGGGCCTTCACGATAGAAACACGGACATATTATTGATAAACAGCCCTCTTGTTGCTTGGACGGTATTTGCGTGGTTTTATGAAAGAATTGGTCTCCCATACTGCTGTTGTTGTGTCTTTGCTGTCTATTTCGGAAAGCGGATGTTTTGTTTTTTCTAAGCTCTGTATGCACCTGAGAAAATTCTATGGCCTTGCGCTGTCAATAATTTAGTTTTCTATATGTTATTTTATGACACCCCATAAGAGTGCGGAAGATGCAATGTCTTGATTTCTGTAATCATTTTAATTTGTCCAGACCATGCCCCGCGGCTCATCATCACTATTTAGGGGGTTAGCCTCTTGGGGAAATTCTTTTCCGCTTTAGGCAAAGTGCAAGCAATGTGGTCAGGCCATGCACAGTGATCTCCTGTCAGCCTTGAGATTTGCACAGTTGGCGCAAGACAGAAAGGCTTAGCCCATAAGTGTCTTGGCAACTGAATACACCCGATCGAGCAAAGATATTTATGTACCATACAAAGCTCATGGCGATTTTTGGCGCCATCTGGGGCCAACTGTGGTGTGTTTATACGAGGCATTGGCCCCATGTGTACACGTATACGGCCCGAGTATCGAGCAGCTATCGCGGGTGAGCGATCCATCATAATCCTCATACTATGTTCCTTTCTCCAATCAAAAGTCGTCCGAAATGGCTTTCCTCGTAAAAGTCCTCAGAATGGGCCCCATCCACGCCGCCCGCGATCGGCCATCATCATCCAATCAACCATCTTTAATGTCCCCAGCCCCCTATACAACAAGCTACCGATACTACTACGAATACCGTTCAGGCCACCGTTAAAGCCCCGGCGCAGACCGAGCATTTCATCGACCGTAACATCAGGCACCAGCAGAGCAATGCGCCCCAGCCCGCGAGAGACCCTCCAGACTATCTGAAAGACTATGACCAGGACGAGGCTATCTGGCAACTCGACGACGTGGCCGAATCTGTGAGATCACGAACACAGATGCACGACGAGACGATGGTGGCTGCAATGGCCGAGGAGACTCCGCCGGATGCACCGACTCCCGAACAAGAGGAAGCAGAGGAGCAAAAGATCAAACAGAGAGAAGCATTGGGTCGTGACCTTCTCACCATGGCGGGATCAGTTTCCGATTCAACACAGCGTCTTCCTTGCCCCGTCGTCCTTTCGTGCGTGCGTACACACCTGCGTTGGACGATTGTGGTACCAGCCAGGATGTGTTTCTGCGGTTCTTAGAATACTTGGATGTAGTTAATCATGTTCGTTTGGCCCGCGTTTGATAATCAGAGCTATTGGCATTGACCACATGTAGGCGTCAGCGTGGATCGACGTGGTCTTTGTCGCTGCTCAAATCGTAGGTTCCATCTCATCTTCCGCAGCCATGGTTGCCGGTGCGACAGTCGCAATAGTTGCCGGGGCTGCTCGCGAGTTACAAAAACGTACTCGCGCGAACACCTTTCTTGAAATGGTTAATCGGGATTTGTTCATGCCGCGTGGCCTGTTTGCCGTAGTGATGGCGTTCAAGCCTGAAGTTCCGAGTTCGCAACAGGGGCCACTAGGTAATGTGGCTGACTCTGTCAATAATTCTCTCTTTAGGAAGGAGAAACTCGATATCAACCAGACAGTTGAGAAGTGGAGCAATACTGATCCAAACAAGTCAAAGTTCAAAAAGGGGCTGGAAATTGGGTCAATGACTATATGGATAGAAGAGCAGCAGCTTTCCACGTGAGTCAAACTTATATCGCCCATTATCACACCGTTAGCTAACAAAGAAAAAGAGAAACGCAAAACCATGAAATCACAATTCAACGACCCCAACCATCCAGCAAACAGCGAATCAATCATCTCGCTATTTACCGGCGGTCATTTCCATGTTCCAGGGTTAAATAGATTACATGAAAAGAGGAATGAAACATTGGGAATCAACCGCCCTCTCAAACTGTCTGCAGACCCTTCATGAGACGGTCGACTGGTCTCTGACACAGGTAGGCAGTTAGCTAAGGAAAAGTTGCATAAAAATGTGCTATACCTTCTGATAGTTAATCTACCCACGGAGAAGGAGGAGAGGGAGACCAGAGAGCTGGATGCTCAGCATAGATACGCTGGCCGGCCACCTCATCCCGGGCCATATCAAAGTATTAAATCCGAATATTGATTTAAATAGTCTAAAGATGGTTGTCACTGGAAATGTGAGAGTGGTCCACAAGTCTTCCTTGTAGATGCCTCTGCAGATAGTTCTTTCTAAGAAAGAGAATGAATAACTTCAAGAATGCTGTACAATACATTTGTGGCTATAATTATCAATAGATCTTAGATTTCTAAAGAAAAATCATGGTTTTGAGGCACTGGTTGATGAACCTGGCAATTCTATATTCAGCTGGTCAGGATTACTACGGTCAATGTGAAACTTAGACAACTGGGAAAGAGGAGAGAATTACACTTTCAATCACTACTTGTAAAGCCAAGATCCTGCCACAGAGGCTGGGACATGTACACAAAGCGCACTTGTGAAGAAAACAACAGCGGCGAGGTGAACCGGTGGGGTTAATTGAACCTACTCTGCATGAAAGTACGGGTATATATTCCGGGGTCTAAGCTCAATGTATTCGGCCCGACAATTGGCTACGCTGTTGACTTTTCAATTGATGGCCCTATTATGAGACCAAGATGATAAGCCCGGCGTTCGGAAAGTCCAATCATAGTCTGCCATCGGTCCTATATGGAGCCGATTAGAATCAAACTACGTAAATGTGCTATGGGCTATTGGTCAATGGAATCGAACCGTCATGATAGGGTTAGTGGTCGGCTTTTCCTGAGCTCAAACCAGATTCTTCGTTTTCTGCTCTCGGCAAATTCTGTCTTTGGTTGATTTGAGATGTCCACTCAATTATCTTCATTGATCAGCATAGCCTTTATTTTGACTAATTATCTAGTTATTTGTATCTCGTCATTTTGCCGCAGCATCGACCACACTTTGATTCTGGCAGAGAGATGAGCTCCACCAAAGACTACAGACTTCAAGGCCGAATTGATAGCCGATCTTGCTTCCTTCGCTACATCCGTTCACTTTTACCAGTCCTGTGCAAATGAGGAAGGGCACCCCGGTCACTGCATTTCTAGCGAGCCCATACTCAATAAGAATAAATCAGTATCGAGAGACTCCAGCCTGTCTGTCTAGCTGAGTATCGAACGCTGGAAGAGTGTGGTCTGAGAATAGGGTTTTTAGAACGCAGGTGAGTTTGCGTTCATATCTTAGGTTCTCTCTATATTTCGATGGTTCTAAGTTGATGAGATATATCTGGTCAAATGCAGCTTTCAAAAGTCGGGGCAAAAAGCCGTGTTCAATGGCTCACTAAGATTCCATACAATGCTGCTCACGGAATGTAAGGGTGTAATGGAAAATCCTGCCTTACTTTCATACCATTCATGGCTAACAGGGATTAATAGTAATGGGCCTTGGATTCATGCGGTGCTCCGTCTTGAACTTCTTTCCTTTGTATCCGCCTTCCTTGTGTTTTTGGCCTTGTGGGATTGTAGGAGCTGGGTATTTCCTCCAGCATAGTGAGCTATAGATAGGTTAGCTAGATCGTGTATAAATGCTACTAATACTACTATTACTGCACTGCAATCATAATAGAGGCCATGAAAGGCAACAAGAAATGCTGACCATATCCAGCGCTATAAACACCCATTAAGTCCGTATGTCCATCTTGGATATTAGGAAAGGTAAGATGTGGCGGAAACGAGAAGTTATTCCGCGCCTCGTTGATTCTGTTCCCCAGGATTGGAAGATCAACGCTTACAAACAGCGCCTTGTATCCGGCCTCTGTTAGACCTTTTACAGCCTAAATTTCTAGATCCTCGATGGTAAGAATCTAAGAATCTTCGAATTGTCTTTAGTTTGTATATTCTCCATGGTGGGCTTGGGTTTGGGGATTCGTTCCTGTATAGAGGCGGGCACTGTGGGAGGAGGGAGTGCACGAAATATATAACGGACGATGGATCTACATATCTGGAATGACCACCCAAAGTAACCTAAACTGAAAAGTATATAAAAGATACAGTCCATGAGATATTTCTCTAGAGTAAGAAAATAGAGTATAAAGTGTGATATTACATTGTGGTGCGTGTTCTCTAAGATGTAGTTGTCCGCGGGGCGCCGTTCTTATTTGAACCTCAACTCGACCTCAACTTCACTTCACCAGGATACAACCACTCGTCAGTTATCCCTCCTATGCTAACCAACGTAGAATTAGAGATCAAGGCAGCTAGCATGTCTTGGGCATTCACCGTCATATTCTCTCGCTCAGTCGGACATGTCTTGAGACCGGGCCCCCCCTGTTGGGAGAAAGAAAGGAACAAGAATAGCGACAACAAAGAACCCGGCGCTACATTGTCCTACGCATTAACCATTTAGAGACTTCATTGGAGATTCACTTTCCTTCGGCGCTTAGACATGGCAAGACCGACAACAAAGGATTGGACAACAATGCGAATTCCTAAGCGCCCGGCCGGAGCCTCCATCTATATCTGGGATCAGCGTTCTGCAGAGATCAGTTCCGCGCTAAATGAAACGGGTTTCTGCAGAATGTTAGCATCGGATTTGATAGATGGGTTTATTTTTGGACATTGGGGTTGAGTGAAGCGCTGTCTCTGGGGGTGTTTGCTGGGCTTCAGAATGTCGCGCTTTTTCTTTTCTGGGCTGTTTTCCTTTTATTCTTTTCTTTCCTTGTCTTTTCTTCATTGTGTGATTTATTTTCATTCGCTTTGTTTCCGCGGGCTCGGATGGTATATTATTGAAGCATTGTTCTGCCTGTCCTTTGCTGCAGTCGTTCATTCACCGTAATAGACTCGATTTTGGGCATGCTTTCTCAATAGAGTGATTCCTATTGTCTAATCTATTCTATTGAACCATTGTTGCTGGTCAACAATCTTTATTCTCTTTCTGGATTTTGGATAGATACTGCCCGAGAACTGAGCTTGCTACTTCTCCTGTCGAAAACATCCTCAGCCTTTACCACCTTCGATAATTACACCTTCTACATCACATCCGTTTACAGCCACGAACCATGGGACGAACAATCTTCCCCCTCCTCCCGCCATATGGCGCCCAAGATCCCAACCACGGACACATCATCCCCCTAAACCCCGACGGCATCACACCATATCTCGGTCTGAAATCTCGTCTATCCCAAGTATGGCTGAACCGATGGACCATACTGCTCCTGCTTGTCCTGGCCCGAGTCCTCATTGCCGTTGGCGGACTAGAGACGGACATGGGCTCTGCCAAGCGTGAAGCATTGTCAGCTTGCACATCCGTGGAGTCGATGGGAAGCGCAATGGCGTCAATGCCGCATTATTCGTCCCGGGGAATTAACGAGCTCACGGCGTCGACCGTCGAGGCTGCGGTTCGGGGGCTTAAGTCCACATTGATGCTTATGGTGACTGGGGTTGAGGAGATAATCCTCTTTATCATCAATGTGATGTACCAAACCTACCTGTGTCTCATCACCATGGCCGTCCGAGGCACCGTGGACGTCGGAGTCGGTCTACTAAAAGACGCTACGGGCTTCCTAAACTCCACCGTCAAAGAAGTCGGCCACGACATCGCAAGCGCAGTCGACACCTTCGAAGACGGCCTGAACAAATTCCTCGACACAGTCAACTCCGTCGCCAGCGCTTTTGGCGGCAGCGTCCCAGACCTCAACATCTCAAGTTCCATCGACAAGCTTGAAAATGTTCAACTCCCATCTTCTATCAATGAGGGTCTCGACAAAGTCAACAACTCTATTCCCACCTTCTCCGAGGTGCAAAATTTCACGGAAAACGTCCTCCGCTGGCCCTTTGAAGAAGTCAAAAAACTCATGAACGAATCCCTCGGAACCTACGAATTCAACCGCTCCGTCCTCCCCATCCCAGCAAAAGAGAAAATGCATTTCTGCGATGGCAACGACGGTATTAACTCCTTCTTCGACGGCATCGGCGACCTAGCCACGACAGCCAAAAAGATCTTCATCGCCGTGCTCGTCATACTAGCCGTCATTTTCTGCGTCCCAGTCGCATGGTCTGAAATCCGCCGCTGGCGCACAATGAAAGACCGCTCCCAGCTCGTCCGCAAAGAAGCCCACGACCCAATGGACGTCGTCTACATCGTCTCCCGCCCTTACACAGCAGGCGCCGGTATCAAAGCAGCAAGCTGGTCCAGTAACAGCCGTCGGCAGACGTTAGTCCGCTGGGCCGTCGCCTATGCAACATCCACACCAGCTCTCTTCGTCCTCTGCCTAGGTATCGCGGGTCTCTTCTCCTGCCTCTGCCAGTTCCTTCTCCTCCGCGCTGTGCAAAAGACTGTCCCCGAGTTGACCTCTGAAGTCGGCGACTTCGCAGGTGAAGTCGTCGACTCGCTCCAAAACACCTCAGCGTCATGGGCCAACGACGCCAACGGCGCTATTTTAGATGTTAACTCAGACATCAACAGTGACGTCTTCGGCTGGGTGAACACCAGCACAACAGCCGTAAACGATACACTCAACACCTTCGTCGACAAAACCACGGGAGTCCTAAACGATACCTTCGGCGACACCCTCCTCTACGAACCCATTATGGACGTCTACAATTGCCTCATCGGCCTGAAAGTCGCAGGTATCCAAAAGGGTCTTACATGGGTTCATGACCACGCGCATATCGACTTCCCGCTCCTTCCCAATGACACGCTCTCCCGCGGCGCACAGGAAAGTATCGACTCAGGCGACTCGGGGGATAGTTTCCTCATAGACGCAGGCGACGACACAGCCGATAAAATCACCTCGGTGGTCGCGCGGGTTGTCAAGAAGATCGAAGAGGGGATTAAAACGGAAGCGATTATCTCCGCTGTCGTCGTGCTGATTTGGGTGCTTATTGCGTTGATGGGTATCTTCCGCGCGGTATTCTTGTTTTTCATGCGTGATAAGAATCGCGGTGAGGGTGGTGGATTGCCGTCGTTGAGCCTGGGTTCTAATCCGAAACCGAATGCGGGGATGGGACCGGGGCCGGATGGGTTCTTTGATGTGCCGTTGACGGCGATGCCGAATTTGAGTGCGAATGGGGGTGCGAATGGTGCCGGCACTGGGAGTAGGGAGGTTGATCCGGTTGGTAGGGATTATGGTGCTGGCCAGCCCGCGCCGAGGTATGAGGCTAGTGTGGGTGTAGGTGCGGGTGCGAAGGGGGCGTCTGCTGGGGTTGCGGTTGTGGATGAGGATGTGTATCCGGATGAGAAGCTTGATAAGTCGTATGGTTTGCGGTGATAAGAATCTGGGAGTATGTGGAGCGTTGATCGCTTTTCTCAGCGTTGATGTTGTATTTCTAACTTGTGAGACTGGGTCTCAATTTCTCAATTTGCATTGCGTTATGTGTTGTTTCGTACTTGGAAATACCCTTTGGATATAGTTTAATGTTGTGGTCTTGGTTAAAAATGGATATGTTCGGTATCAATGCTACTCAAAACTCGATCAAGAAAAAGCATTATTCCCACGAGAAACAAAATGCAAAACTTAAATGCCAAAATGGATGCTAAATCTCAACAAAAAAACTCTTCTCCCCCGCCTCCGGCACAACCCTCACCCTCTCAATTATCGGATCCGCACAGCTAACCCTAATCCTCTCCGGCGTCGCCGGACTCCTCAACCTCAACACCTCACTAACCCCCCACTCCCTCCTTGCCGCCTTAAGCGCATCCCTAATCGCGAAGAAAACCGCACTACCCATGAATAGCGGCGGCTCTCCAACACCCCGCGAACGCTGGATCGTCCGCAGATTCTCCCACTGCACGTCCTTGAGCAGACTCACATTGAATACCTGCGGGATATCACGGAAGCCTGGGATTTTGTAGTTCCCGGGGCCCTTGGTTGCGATTTGCCCAGTTGCTCTGTGCCAGAGGCTTTCTTCTGTTGTGAAGAGGCCCTGGCCTTGGACGAAGGCGCCTTCGATTTGGCCGTAGTCGACGGCGGGGTTGATGGATTGACCGACGTCCATTTTGATATCTGCGCGGAGGACTGTCCAGTCGCCTGTTAGAGTGTCGATTTGGACTTCTGCGGCTGTGACGCCTTGGGTGAAGTAGAAGAACATTTGGCCTATATTTTCGCCCCAGATGTAGCCGATGTCAGGGGTGCGGTAGTAGCCTTGTGCAGAGAGGTTGACGCGGTCGAAGTAGGCGGCGTTGGCGAGGTCTTTCAGGCTGGCGTTGGGCATTTTTTCACGGTAGGGTTGGAGGCGTTCGTTTAGTTGTTCACAGGCGTTGAAGATGGCGTAGCCGTTTAGGTCGGAGCTGGCGGAGGCGGCTGTGGCAGATGTGTTGGCAACTGTGTTTGTAGCGGTTTCTGAGATGAAGACGTCGGATTGGGGCACTTGGAGGGCCTCTGCTGCTATCATTGTCATTTTTGTGTGTAGGCCCTGTCCCATTTCGACGCCGCCGTGGGCAACAAGTACGCTTCCATCGCGGTAGATGTGTACCAGTGCTCCTGCCTGGTTTAGGAATATAGCAGTGAAGGAAATTCCAAATTTGGTTGGGATGATAGCCATGCCGCGCTTAGACCATTTGTGAATTTTGTTATATTCTTCCACGGCTTTCCGACGTTCTTTGTAGGAACTTTCTTCCAGGACTTGCTTGTACATAAGCGGAACATGCCAATCTTTCAGCTCCTGGTTGAAATGAGTCTTGTCGCCAGGTCGATACATGTTCTTTTCTCGCAACTGTTCCACTGGAATATTTAGATGATCCGCAACCTCTTCCACAATGCATTCCGCGAAAAACAAGCCTTGGGGACCTCCGAACCCACGGAATGCAGTGTTGGATACCGTATTGGTCTTGCAAATGCGACCCCGAACATTGACATTCGGAAAGTTGTAAACGTTGTCAATATGTGACAAACTTCTGTCCACAACAGCGGCGGAGAGATCTTGCGTATTACCACCGTTGGCAAAGACATCCGCGTCAAGTGCAAGAAGCTTTCCTTCTTTGGTCACTCCAACTTTCCATTGACAGAGAAATGGATGCCGCTGGCCCGAGACGGCAATATCTTCATCGCGGTTGAGCATGCATCGGACTGGTCGTCTGGCTTTTGCAGCTGCTGTGGCGCATATACCAGCGAGCAGGACGGAGCGCGATTCTTTACCGCCGAATCCACCACCAAGTCGCTTGACTCTGGAAACGATTTTATTTTCAGCAACGCCGGTGACCTGAGCAACGTATGCTTGTCTATGAGATTTTTAGCTTGTTTCGATTGTAAGAGCTGGGCGTAAACTTACGTCTCGGTAGGGTTCTGAGTACTACTCCAAACTTCCATTTCTCCATCCTCGAGCTTCGGAATGGCCACACAAGCCTGTGTTTCCAGATAAAAATGCTCCTGGCCACCCATCCTCGACACCCCTGTAAAGACATAGTCCGATTGTTTAAAAGCAGAATCGGTATAACCATTTTTAATGGAATGGTCATGGCCAAAGAATGATTTCGCTTCAATTGCCTCCTCAATGGTCAGGACTGCCGGCAAATCCTCGTATTCGACTTTGACAGCCCTGGAAGCATCTTCAGCAGCCTTCGCTGAGCTTGCAAGAATCATGCCGATAGGCTGGCCGGCGGTAGTAACCTTGTCCACTGCAAAGAACTGTTCGTCGGATACTGGAGCGCCCCACCAATTGGCTTCTGGGCTGGGCAAGTCCTTATGAGTGACGAAATCGTGGACACCTGGCAGATCCAAAGCCGCGGATGCATTGACATTAAGAATCTTAGCGTGAGCTTTAGCAGAGATGACAAGACAGCCGTATAGCTCGTTCTGCTGCGCAGGGATGTCGTCGGTATATTGAGCCTCACCAGTGGCTTGTTTCATCGCCGAGACATGAGGTGTAGATTTTCCAAGAGTGTTTTGTTCATAAGCAACTGATGACTCCTGATCCTTCTTCCCAGAAGAAATAGCTCTCTCGATTTCAGCGACCACGTCCTCATCAACATCAGCGGCACCGACATTGAGCTCGCGGAGGACCTCATGGTAGAATCGGTAAAAGAAACCCAAAGCAAGAGACTTGCGGTACGTAGCCATACCACCTGGCACTCCAAACTTCAGATCAAAGTCTTTCTCTAGGGCAATCATTGTACCCTCCAAGGTAGCAGGGCTGGTAAACCTTTTCCCGTTTAGAAAAGCTTCTGCATTCTTCGCAGAGACAGTCATCGGGGCTAGACCTCCGAAAACAAAGTTCACGCTTGTGACATTGTTCGTGGGCGAGAGCGATACGCGTAGAGCGGCGTTGACAATGGCAATATCATCATCCTTTCTCTTTGACTGTTTGTAAGCACGGATGTATTCACCCTGCTCCTGCGAAATCGGGATACATAGACTTGCAATGATAGCGTCTGCGGGAAGTGCTGTTGTTCTATAACCCTTAAAAAACTCGCTCATGGGTATCTCTGTCTCCTTTCCAAGTGACTGGGCCGTCAAGACTGTGTTTGTCGCCATAAACACCGGGTTTAGATCTGATATGGGCGATGCGGTAGCCAGGTTTCCAGCCGGTGATGCGACATTCCGAATCTGCCTCCCGGCAAAATAACGAAGTTGCTTCTTGATGGCGTTGAAAGGCTGGCCCCGCACAGGGCCATATCTTTCCAAGGCTTCTTCGCAGATATCCTCGAGGTCGGTCAGAGAAACGTTGGCGCCGATCTCCAAGTGATCGTCTTTGAAGGAGTACTGGCGTAATTCGATAATATCGCCTACGTAGACAGATGGATTATACCGCAAAGCCTTGAACTTGGTTTCGATTTGGGTCTCGGTGCTCCCGCCGATGAGCTTCGCTGCAGGATGAACGCTCTTTATTTCCAGGAGCTGTTCCAAGGTAGCAGGTCGATACCACTTTTTTCGTTTGTTGCCCAATGCCAGTGGTCGAAATTCATGTTTCCGCAGAGCTGACGGAAATATCAATTCTGTATCTGGGCTGTAAGAGATGAAATCTGGTGGTGTGAATTGCACCGAACTGCCGTTTTCGCCGTCGGCTTCGGGGCGCTCTTTGCAGCATGAACCGTTCTGTTTCCCCATACAACAACCGCCTCCGCCATTTGAAGTCGCCTTCCCACAAGCATTCGATGTATTGAAGCTCTGGGCTGCGTCCAAGATAGGCCGGTATCCGGTGCACCGGCAAAGGTTTCCATCAAAAGCTTCTTCAATGGCGAGTTCCGACGGCTTTGAGTTGTTGCGCAGGAGGGCATATAGACTCTATACGTGTGTGAGCAAACCGTTCGTCCTATGAAACACCAGATTTATGGATAGCGCACCATGGCAATTCCCGGCGTACAAAACCCGCACTGACTTCCATTCCCCACCGCGATCCGTTGCTGCACAGCATGAGGGTTCTTGACACTCCCAATTCCCTCAATTGTTATAACATGTTTCCCATCAACACTAACCAAAGGTGCAAGACAAGCGTTGACGGAGGCATGGTAGATTTTCTTGGTCGTTGGGTTGAAATGCGAGACCACCTGTTTCGATCCTTAGCTGGGTGCTCCCTTCTTCCAGGGACAGCGTAGATGGACATACCACAGTGCATGCTCCACATCCTCCCTCCGCACAGCCTAACTTGGTGCCCTTCAGCCCAATGCCTCTCAGATATTCGAGTAGTGTAACTTCGGGATCGATCGAGTCTAGCGTGACTTTCGTGCCGTTTATGTAGAATCGGAGGGTGTCGTCCCATTCCTCGGTGAGATGAGTAAGGGTTGTGGCTTTACTGGGGATTACAGTCTCTGTGATTCCGGGAGCCATGGCGATAGAAGTGTTATTCAACGTTGGTGCTGATAGTGATAAGTATTCAGATGAAGCTGCTAACTAGCAGTGACAGCGCTATCCTTTCGACCATGGGCCTCTTTGGATGATAGATGATAGTAGCAAGAAGTCAGAAAGAAGTCGACAGCGAACAGGCAAGAAACGTAGCATGTTGTCCACATCACGCGAGAGGGGCTTATATACAGACACTGATAAGGCTTATCGCCTCCTTCCCCGCAAAGATCACGGGGATCGCCACTATCCGACGGCCAACGACGGTCCACCGATATAAGCACCAGATTTATGTAGTATTGTATTCCCAGATCAAGATAACGCCGGCCCATATGCAAATAGCAAGACTACACAGAAATAGCAGAATAAACCCCGAAAAAGGTGATAAATGTATAAATACGCCATAGCAACGGGAGGATGCAATGTCTACTCTTTCAACCTAGCTCCTACAAAGTCCTTTTCTTCATCCTCCCACCGCCTGCGTTCAACAACGCTTCGGGCCCTGTACATCTGATTAGCAAAAGTCTTTGTTTGAAACGCAATAGGATACGAACCGGTATGCCCGCACAAACCGCCACACCTCGGTGTCCGCCAGGTTCCATGCTTCAGCCATGTCCTTGATATGCACTCGGTTGTTCTTCTTGTCCTTAATAGCATCACGGGCCTTCTGGAGAAGATCGTATTCACGCTCGATTCCCTGTTCGCTCGGGTTCGCGTGCTGCATGGATTCCTTGGCTTTGCCTTCGTTCTTCTGATCGACATTCCCATCGCGGGGAATCTTGAATCCGAGTTGCCATTCGAATTCATCCAAAAGTGCGGACGGAAGAGCCTGGCCAGCCTCCGCTGGCAGAGATTCGACCGTCATCCAGAGCGAGGAGCCGATCGCGGAATCACCTGCGACGGCTTCTTTCAAGATCACTGCCCTTGAAGAGCCTCCAAGCTCGCTGTCCGCAACGGTACTGGTAACTTCCTTCAGCCACGCGTCACGTTCGGTCTCGCGGCGAATATACCGGCTCGTGACCTCTTCGGTGTTGTTCTGTAGGCTGACAAGGGTATACGGATGAGGAAGAGTGCCGATTGTGAATAGCTGGGATGTGTTCTTGTACATAGAAGGCTGGGTAATAACCAGCGACTTGTCTGGACTGCACGGGTGGCACTTCTGATTGCTTGGGGGACATGAAGACGGCATCGGAGAGGTGGAACATTGGGCGAGGGCTTTCGCCAGTCGCAAGGAGGGCTCAACGAGGGCTGTCGTATATTTGGGGAACGGCTTCAGAACAGCGATTCCTGCCGGGAAGGTGTTTTGGAACGTGTTGTGCAGGTGGGAGTTTATCAGCTCGACAAGCGCCAGTCGTCCAGCGGTGGGAGATCTGACAATTTTCTCTGCAATTTCTGGGTAATGGTTCGTAATCGAAGTGGAGCTGTAGTAGGCCAAGGCAGTCGGTTGTTCGACCCTAAACAATTCCGGGGAAATTATTTCCAGCATCGACTTCGCTTGGGTATTTTCCTTCTGGATCGCATCCTGAATGGCATCATTGATGCGCACCTTGTCACCTGCAAACAGAGCACTTCCGATGTGGTCGAAGCGCGATATTTGAGTAGGATCAACGCCCCGGCGCAGATAAGACAACAACGCGTCATCGACCCGAGCCATTGGGAAACAGTGAACATCCGCGAGCAAGCCGGTGCCCATGTTACCCCACGCCAACCATCTAAACATATCCGCTTCGAGGTCCGGGTTGAGTTTCATTCGCTGAACGGCTTCGTACATCGGGTTGTTCATGGCCTCGCCGTGGCCCAAGATAATGGGACGGAAGCCTTGAGCATACCAAGCCCTGCGCCATGCGAGCAGCAGCTGACCGTCCGCATTCTCCTCTTTATTATTCTTTTCACTGCTCGCATCGTAGTAGGTGTAGATGAATGGCCGGTCCGCTAGGGGAGGAAGGACGGAACGACCCTCGTCAAGGGTGATGGAGGACGAGAATGGGTTGATCCATTCCCAATGGCTGTACCACTTCGACTCGCCGCTCGTGCTGTTCTTTTGCTCCGGAGGTTCATGCGCAGCCGGCCTAAACATGGGTAAATGGAAATTGCTCAGTTTTGGGACATATTTGGCAGGACCGGTCACTTCTTCCTCGCCCGTCAAAGGGTCGGTAGTCGGACTAGGCGAAGAGGAAAAGATGACCAAGAGAAGGGCAACGAAGACGACAATAGAAATGAGCGCCGTGCTCCGATGAGGAATCATCTTTCCTCGACACACGCGCTGCACGAAATAACGATGATTTGTCTTGGAAGAAGAAAAAAAGGAGTGAAAGAAGCGAATCGAGGTCGCGGTTAAGGGTGGACTGTTTGTCCCCTGATCATCCGAGAGTGTCCACAGGAGAGATTCAATAGAGATAAACGTTTATCAGGTTATAATGAATGGCGATAGAGAGCGAATATTAAAGGAACGAAAGCATCACATCACGTTGAAATATCCAGATAGGCTTTGCTTGTTGTTGGATGTATGAGCATCGTATTCGTATGGGAATCTCGTGATTTCTGCCATATTTCCGAGGCAGCGAATACTTTCTGCCTCAGGTCACCTACCCCTCGTCAAACTGGCCGGAGTAAGAATGATCCGCGATAAGGGCCTCTTGACTCACTTTGGATAGCCTAATTCTTGCGCCAGAGTCCAACGAAGCATGTCACATAATTGGTGTGGAATCAGCCTTCTTGCACGAGCGCCTTGAGCTATGGGCTCAACAGCTACAAAGTCTTACCGTTTCCCCTCTTACCAGGGATTATCCCGATAACCAGCAGCCCGAGCAGGCCATTCGAGTGAAGACGGTCGTCCGTTCGTCCTGCGAGTCTCAATTGACTCTTCGGATACCTTCCTCGGGCTCTACAACAAGGTGGAAAGGTGTGTATACACATTTAGACTTATCTGGAGTGCTCGACTAACCCATTGCTCGCTTAGGCTTACAGCGAAGGCGCTGCCGACATCGTACCCTTGGGCAACCTCCGCAACTACACCCAAGAGAAGTCCAACTCTGAACAACCGCCAATTTTCTTCCGCTTTGCTGCCTACGAAGCCCCTGCGACCTCCCAAGACTACCCAGCGAATACCTTTGAAACGACCGACTTGGTGCTCAACCTCGCTCCGGGCAATGCCTCTGGGGAGACGGAACTGGGCGCATACTACAACCAACGTTTGGTCTCGAGTGCTAGGGTTGCTACAATCCTCAGGTAGCTTTCACAGCTCGTTAGCAACGCTACTACTGACCCTGAACAAGCCATTAGTCGCATTGATTTCATGACCGAGGTGCAACGCGCGCTACTTCCGGACCCTACTGCAAACCTAAACTAGTCTAAATTCCGTGGAGCCATCCATGACATCTTCGCCGAGAATGCTGAGAAACACCCGGACAGACCATGTGTGGTCGAGACCAAACCCGGCAGCTTCCCTCACCGCGAGTTTACCTACCGACAAATCAATGAGGCATCGAACATCCTGGCGCATCACCTCGTGCAGTCGGGTATCCAACGGGGAGAGGTTGTCATGGCCTATGCGTACCGTGGAGTCGATCTCATGGTGGCTGTGATGGGTATCCTCAAGGCCGGTGCGACTTTCTTCGTCATCGACCCTGCTTATCCGCCCGAGAGACAGAACATCTATCTTGATGTCGCTCGCCCTCGGGCACTCGTTGTTATTGAGAAGGCTACCCGGGACGCTGGTGAGCTATCGGAGACGGTTCGCACATTCATCCGCGAAAACCTGGAACTTTGGACGGAAGTGCCTGCACTGTCTCTCCGCGATGATGGCTCGCTCCTGGGAAGTTCAGTAGATGGCAAGGACGTCTTCGCTGACCAGGTGTGCTTGAAATCTAAGCCTGTCGGCGTCGTTGTGGGACCAGACTCTATTCCTACTCTTTCGTTCACCTCCGGCTCGGAGGGAAGACCCAAGGATGTACGGGGTCGTCACTTCTCCTTGGCTTATTACTTCCCATGGATGGCCGAAAACTTTAGCCTTTCAAACAATGACAAGTTCACCATGCTCAGAGCACCTGTGCAACAAGCTCTCTGCGTACGCCGTTCCGGCCGTCTTCATTCCTCTGCGACGTATGCCGCTGAACCCCAACGGCAAGATCGACAAGCCTGCTCTGCTCTTCCCCGACACTGTTGAGCTCAGTGCTGTGGCCCCGCTCCGCAGGTCGTCTGTGTTGCAAGCCCTTTCTGAGACCGAGCAGGCGCTTGCTCAGATCTGGGCTTCGCGGATCCCCAACGTTACGGCTAATATGATCGGACCTGACGACTCGTTCTTCGATCTGGGAGGCCACAGTATCCTAGCGCAGCAAATGTTCTTCGATCTCCGCCGCAAATGGCGTGGAATCAACTTCAACATGAGCGCTATTTTCCGTAGCCCCACACTCCGGGGGTTTGCTGCTGAGATTGGCCATCTCGTGAACTTTGAACAATTTGCCAGCAACGACGACAAGGGCACTGCTGGTGCGGCCTCTGGAGCCTCCAACGAGCCCGACGATGCTTACTCGAAGGACGCCAGGGCGCTGGTCGACTCTCTGCTTGCTTCATTCCCTGAACGTACCGAGTCGATCCTCTCCAGCGAACCGATCATCTTCCTCAACGGTGCTACTGGTTTCCTGGGAGCACATATCCTCCGCGATCTCCTTACTCGCAAGTCCCCCGAGGCTCGTGTTGTGACCTTTGTCCGCAGCACGTCCGAAGACCAAGCCCTAGAACGTATCCGCTCCACCTGCCGCGCCTACGGCTTCTGGAACGGTGCCTGGACTAGCAGACTGCAGTGTGTCTGTGGTGACCTTGGCAAACCGCAGTTCGGCCTTTCTGAGTCGCTGTGGGAAAATCTCACCAACCGTCTGGGTGCCGTGATTCACAACGGAGCGCTCGTTCACTGGGTGTACCCTTACTCGACTCCCAAGCCGGCTAACGTCCTGGGAACGATTGATGCGTTGAAGTTGTGCGGCAGCGGAAAGGCCAAGCAATTCTGCTTCGTCAGTTCGACCAGTGCCCTGGACATGGAGCATTACGTGCAGGAGTCTGAAAATGCCCTGGTTGCTGGCAAGGCCGGTATCAGCGAGGAAGATGATCTCGAGGGCAGCGCCGTCGGCCTTGGAACCGGCTACGGTCAGAGCAAGTGGGCTGACGAATACCTTGTCCGCGAGGTTGGTCGTAGAGGATTGAAGGGAACCATTGTCCGTCCTGGACACGTGTTGGGTGACTCGACCACAGGAAGTACGTGCCTAACCATCCACCTCCCAAAAAATCACATACTAACAAAACAGCCACCAACACCGACGACTTCCTCATCCGCATGCTCAAGGGCTGCACCCAACTCAACTCCCGTCCCAACATCAACAACACCGTCAACATGCTCCCCGTCGACCACGTCGCCCGCGTCATCGTCGCCTCCGCCTTCCAACCCCCGCGCACTCCCATCAGCGTCGCCCAAGTCACCGGCCACCCGCGTCTACGGTTCAACCAGTTCCTCGGCGCGCTGCAGTTGTACCGGGTACAGCGTGCCGCAGGTGGATTACATGCCGTGGTCGTTGGCGTTGGAGGGATATGTGAATGATGGTCAGCATGATGATCCGGGTTCGCAGCATGCACTGTAAGCCCCCTTTACCCCTTCTCCTCCCCACTTCCATTTCTATCTAGACTTTTATACTAATATGCGGTGAAGGATGCCGCTCTACCACTTCGTAACCTCCGACCTCCCTTCCAACACCAAAGCCCCCGAACTCGACGACGCCAACGCCGCAGCCGCCCTCCGCGCCGACGCAGCCTGGTCCGGCATCAACGCCTCCGCCGGCACAGGCGAAGCTTAGTGGGGATCAGAAGAATCAGAAGAATGCGTTGGTGAGTGTTGGTGGTCATGGGGGTGCTTCGTAGGGAGTACAGTATAGTACGAGGGAGTGGTATTAGCGATCTTTTTGGATATTGGATTTTGTGGTCTATGTGTTATGGATATGAAAAATGTGTGAATGTCGATATGTATGCCATGTCATGTCAAAAGTGAATTGAATAAGTATTTTAGATGTATTTTCGATGATGATTCCTATGCAGCATCGTACTACGGCTTACAAAACTCACCGATCAGGCCATACTTAAGTGACCAAAAGCACGCTCAACATCTCAACGGTTGAGGCGTTCGGGGGTAACTCGGCATTCGGCACCCCGTGGGATTTTACCGCAAACGACTTGCCAAGGACAACCGCTCCAGTTCACCGGCCGGTCAAGCATCTCATCCCCTCTTGACTTCTCCTTATAACCATATCGCAGCCTTCAGAAGAGGAATCAAGAACATATAAATACCAGCTTTTGTATAGCGACCTTGTGTATAGCGACAACATCGTCAAGTCAATTCAGCCACAACCATGCCAGGTACGTTGGCCAACTGGAGTTCAGCTAGTCTTGGCGTCTTCCAGTGTTGCATTCCCAGTCGTTTTTCTCCATATCCCATGACCCCATAATTCTTCAAGTTTCTGTACCGGTTGATTTTGTTCGTTTCTGGTGTTGGTGTTGTTGGGTTTTTGTTGCGGTTCATTTTGGACTTTGTCGCGGGCGCACAGTGTTCCTGGAAACTTTTTTTCTCTTCCCTTCCTCCACTACCCGTTCTTCAATCCCACCACAAAACATTTTCTTCTCCTTCTTCATCCACCACAATGAGTATCGCAAGGCTGTTTCCGCGATCGAGCTTTTCTCGCTTCCTGACCGGGATGCGAGAAGTTCAAAGTCGCCGGCCAGTGACTCATACCCCAGCACCACCCTCGATTCATCGCACATTTTCCACGACACCAGCATCGCTCTGCTCAGCAGATGCTAACCAAAACCCAGACCGATACTTCGCCGCCCTAACCCAGAACAAAGAATGGGCCGCCAAAACCGCCCGTGAGGAACCCGACCTCCTCGCCAGTCTCGCGGTCGGCCAGCGTCCCGAAATCCTCTGGATCGGCTGCTCCGACTCTCGCTGCCCCGAGACCACCATCCTGGGCCTCAAGCCCGGCGATGTCTTTGTCCACCGTAACATCGCCAACATCCTGCACGCGGCGGACCTGAGCTCGTCTGCGGTCATCGAATATGCCGTCCGTCACCTGCGCGTCAAGCACATCGTTCTGAGCGGCCACACCAGCTGTGGAGGTGTTGCTGCGGCGCTGGGTAACAAGCAGCTTGGTATCCTTGACCCGTGGTTGGTGCCGCTGCGCCAAATCCGCGAACAGAACTTGGAGGCTCTCCAGTCGCTGTCGGCCGACGAGGCCAACACCCTGATGGGGGAGCTGAATGTGCGCGAGGGAGTCAAGACGCTCAAGCAGAAGAGCGTTGTTTTGGAAGCCATTGAGGAGCGGGGATTGACGATTCACGGGGTCATGTATGAGGTTGGCAGTGGTGTGCTTCGGGAGTTGGACACCAACGACACGCAGGAGCAGCTCAAGGCTCGGTTGGTCACGTACAAGACGGAGGCATAGGCTGTCATCGGGGGGGGGAAGAGGTTCTGGTTATATCTGTCATTTAAGCGTTAATTTGCATTTTCATAAACACTCCAGCTGTGGATTCCCTGGAGTTAGTAAGCGATTTTGGTAAATATCATGAATATATCGTCGTCGTATGTTTCATTGTGTCTCAACACTTAAGAAGAGCAAAAAGTGAGAAATGAAGAGAAAAGAGGAAGGCATTTGTATTAGTGTTGCTTCCAAAAGACTCACTCTTTTCGCTCCCCTCTCGGTGCCTTCCGTTTTGGGTATGGTCCCGGCCGAAGCGGCTTTCTGTCGGACCACTTTCTGCCTTGGGAGTTAGGCCACTGTTAGTAGTTACCTCAGGCAGTAACTAACTAGTTAGTTATGCAGTCAGCTCATCTCTTCTCGTCCATCATTGTCGTCTCTTTCAATCCACTCTTCGTTGCTTTTCAATAAGACCCAATATGATCATAACTTCGATTGACTAGACCACTTGGTGTGTCTAGCGAACTCTTCGCTCAATGGCAATCTGGAGCAGTGAGATGCGAACAGGTAATTGTCCTGCTCTAGTTACCTCTATCGTCCGGAGTGCGTCCGGAGTGTTCTACGAAGACAGACTCTTACAATAAATAAAGACTACCTATGTCCTAAAGGTCCTTACTCTGTACGGTCCTCATTACCATCATAATGAAGCCCTCCAGTTCCCCAATCCCTCACCCCCCCCCCCCCCCCGGCATCAGGCGACCTCAGCAGATCGGACACTAGTAAATCATGCCGAAGATCAAGCCGGTGTTCTGGCCCGAAGCCGGAGAGACTGGAGAAGGCTATTCGGTTAGGAATCGGTTGCTGGAGTTTATCGCTTCAGAATCTCGGCAGATAACAACGTCATTCCGGACGCTTAATAATGGTGGAGGGGTCCAGCATTTATAGCTGTGCAGCTGTTCTCTCATGGTATTGAGTTGACTACTGTGTTCTATATCACTCTGAATTGTGAGTTCAATTGAGCTTTTTCTTCGTACGAGATTTGATTACTGACTGGTCATACAGAAGCGTCACGAATCATGGCGAACGAAATGGAATTCACCCGGTATGCGATACCCCACGACGAATTCAAAAGGCATAGGCTAATTTCTCAGTCTTGGAAACTCGGGTCTCAAGATCTCCAAGGTCATCCTGGGTGCCATGTCCTACGGTACCAAGGACTGGCAAGACTGGGTTCTCAACGAGGACGAGGCGCTTCCTCTGGTTGAGCACGCCTACAAGCGTGGTATCAACACCTGGGATACTGTACGTTCTTGCCATATACCATCCCTAATTTCAAAGCTAACGATCAGGCCGACGTCTACTCCCACGGCCAATCCGAAGAAATCCTCGGCAAGGCCCTCAAGAAATACAACATCCCCCGCAACCGCGTTGTCCTCCTCACCAAGTGCTTCTTCGGTGTTGACGACGAAGGCAAGATGCCCCCGATCTCCGCCTCGGGAGTCAACGACGGCGAATTCGTCAACCGCGTCGGTCTCTCCCGCAAGCACATCTTCGACGCCGTCGACGCCAGTGTCGAGCGCTTGGGTACCTACATCGACGTCCTCCAGATCCACCGCCTGGACCGCAACACCCCCCGCGAGGAAATCATGAAGGCCCTCAACGACGTCGTCGACAGCGGCAAGGTCCGCTACATCGGCGCCAGCACAATGGCCGCCTGGGAATTCCAAACCCTCCAGAACATCGCCGAGCGCAACGGCTGGCACAAGTTCATCTCCATGCAGAACTACCACAACCTCATCGCCCGTGAGGAAGAGCGCGAAATGATCCCCTACTGCGTCGACACCGGCGTCGGCGTCATCCCCTGGTCTCCCATGGCCCGTGGTGTCCTCGCTCGTCCCTGGGGCTCCCGCTCTACCACCCGTGAGGCAACCGACGGTGCTCTCAAGATGCTTATCCGCAGCCGTGAAACCGAAACCGACAAGGCCATCGTCGACCGCGTGGAGGAACTCGCCAAGAAGAAGGGCGTCAGCATGGCCCAAGTGGCTATTGCTTGGTCGTTGCAGAACCCCAACGAGAACCCTATTCTGGGATTGAACAGCAAGGAGCGCATTGATGAGGCTGTTGGTGCTATCAAGGTTAAGCTCACTCCTGAGGAGGCTAAATACTTGGAGGAGCCATATCTTCCTAAGACTCTTTCCGCGCTTGAGCGGTAATGTACATACGAATTTCTAGCAATGGTATATACTCGAACAGTGGCTGTATTTCACATAGCAAACATTATCCTTGTCAAGCGCCGCATTATCCAATCAGATGTCGCGTAACTCCATCCAGCGTATAGCAAGCGCCGGAAAGCCTCGCCGGCAAATGTATCCCTTCACCTCCTGTACATCACATCACCCCATCGCAATGGACGGACCACTCCACCCAAGATGCCCCTACAAACCCGGCACCACAACCACCCTCCAACTAAACCCACCAACCCACCAGACAGACAACAAAAGCAATAATAACCCACCTCTTCGAACCCTTCACCCTCTCCTCAACAATGCTCGACCACATATCCCCCTCCTCTGACACTCAGTCTCAACCGGAATTCAACAATCCCGTGGTCCTCAAACTCTTCGACCAACGATACGCAACACAACTCAGACGAGATCAGAGGGTTGATCCGTGGACAATGGATATCGAGCAGCAGTATCGGCGGTTTGTTTTCGATGGACATGCATCGGAGTTCGTCGATAAGCTTCATTCGAACGACAATCCGGCTGGTGAGGAAGGGGATACGTGGGATGGTGCTCAGAATGAGGCGCTTCTCTGTGATTATATGGGGGATTTGTATGAGACTGAGGTTGAGGTTTATGATACCTTGAAGGAATTACAGGGGCAGGATGTTCCTAGGCTATTTGCATGCGTTACTGTGCCTGGGCGTGACATCTCATCTCGAGATACATTGGCTACTAAATACATGGATATCCCGGGAATCCTTTTACCGTACATCGACGGCTTTCCCTTAACTAGTATAGCCAACCACGCCCCAAAACAAACCTGGTAGTCTCTCTGTGACAATGTAATCCGCATCATCCACCAAATCAGCGCCCACGAAATCCTAAACGCCGACGTGAATACACGAAGTTTCATCGTCCATAAGCACCCAAGCCCAGAACCAGGGGGGTATAAAGGATTCATGATCGACTTCGCACTATGCAGTTTCCGACGAGAATATGGCGATGAAACCGACTGGAGAGAATGGAAAGCAATACAAGATGAAGAGGGTGCTGTGGGGTTTGTTATGCAGCGGTATTTGGGAGGGTGGGTTTGTTTATTGTCGCTCAGATATATACAGAAGACTGGATGAAGAGTTTAGGAGTGATGCTTGATTGCTCTCTATTTAAAATGACCAAAATTATCGAAATCAACTTTCTTCTTCTTCTTCTTCTTCTCCCTCCTGAACCTGAATCTCAGTTAACAGTCCAGGCCCCAGATCTACTTTTCGCAATTCACCCTGTGTAATTGCGTTTATTGCTCTTAGACTAGTTTTATCAGCATAGATTCGATTTTTATTTGAAGGGTGTGCATACGTCGTAGTCTCAACAGGCGGCTGTTCATCATTAGCACTGAAAGGCTTCACTGCCCGAGCACCTTTTGAAATAAACCTAAGATTCACTCTGTTCATTATTAGATGCCATGATATCGCAAATCGTACCAAGTGGACGGGGGAGGTAAATACATATGAAGAAGAACCTTAGAATACGTATCATAGGCTTTTTCATTCTCATAGCGAACTGATAGTTTCTAAACATAATGACTCGGTTAGCAACATGTCTATTTCGAGGGGTTGAAAAGCAACAAACGTAATCAGCCATTGTGAAGGATGTCTCAGCTGAAGGAAAAGAGATCTCGGCGCTTATATATCTCAGATCTGGTACCCGGGTTAAGGGGTAAGATTAAATGAAATGGATTATGCAGCGCTAATGCATGGTCCTCAGGGTTTGGCGCGGCTAGATTGGATCTTGCATGTTTGTTAACAAATAAGCCTAAATAAATACTCGATCACGCCCTGACAGTGACATAAATAAGCATGGAGTACTCTACGATACAACAGAGATGTAAATAGGAAGAATACGTTATTACTACTGTATGTTCTACTTCTACTGTTTTATGGAGTGAATTGTAGGGCACCTGGTATGTGTAGGAGGTCATCTGTGATTTATAACCACAACAATTCAGCGGATTTCCCACACAATTCAAAAACCTTCAAAATCACAACTTTTTACTATCCATAACGTCTATTTTTCTATTTTTTCAATATAATTAAACTACCTTACCACTTCAATAGGCCTGTGTATTCATTTTGCGACTGGTAATTTATCACATCTAAATACATCAAAAATGTTCAAAGACGTGTTGGTATTTCCCGAGTCGGAGCGACCGTTCTTGGAGCCTTACCTACAGCCGCACAATGTCAAAATCAAGAATGCCAGCTTGCCCTTTGTGACTCTTACCTTTGCTACCTCGCTGGACTCGTCTCTTAGCATTGCGTCTGGAGCTCGCACCGTTCTTTCAGGCCCCCAGTCCAAGGCCATGACACATTACCTCCGATCTCGCCATGATGCTATCTTAATTGGAGTGGGCAGACAATCCCGGCTTGAACTGCCAAATTGAAGGCGTTGGGAGGTATGGTGGCGGCGACAAAAACCTTCAGGGACAGCCCAGACCCATCATCATTGATCCTACAGCTCGGTGGGACTTGACAGAGGAGGCCCAGATTTTTCAACTTGTTAGGGGTGGCTGTGAGCCTGTGGACGTGCTCCCTTTATTTTGACGCAGAACCCATCACCTCCTACCAAGCAAAAACAGATTCATGAGGAACATGGCGGGAAGTTTGTTACTCTCAATATCACTACACCCGAAGGTGAAACTAGCCATGATCTCGTTTGGACCGCCGTGCTGGAGACCTTGAAGAAGGAAGGCCTCAACAGTGTTATGATTGAAGGTGGCAGTGGTGTGATCAATACCCTGCTGGAGCCGTCGTCCCAAGCGTTGATTGACAATATGATCATTACCATTACGCCAACATGACTAGGCCAGGGTAGAGTAGTTATATCACCGAAACGATGATTCGATGCAGGTGGTAATATGATCCCGGCCTCACGGCTTGCCAATATGAAATGGCACCCATTTAGTGAAGATATGGTGCTCTATAGGAGGATCAACCCTTGAAATCGTAGGCTTTTCACGCTGCCTACTGAGAAAACAGGGCTACAGACCTGTAGGCGACTGCACACTGATATATTCCTTTATCCTATCGGATAACTTCTCTTCCTCTTCTTCTTCCTCTCCACATTCAATATTTTCGTCATATGGCTACCTAGTTTCAATAAGAATATCATTTGTTATTATCTACCAGATGGAGCCGTGGCATAAGGGAAAAAGGAGTTCACTGTTCTCGTGTCGAGTCATTTAACAGGAGGTGGAGGGAGGGGGGGGGGGGGGGGGTCTTTTTGTGGCTATGTGCAGATACTAAGTAGTTTAGTGTTTGAATTTGGAAGACAACAGCCAATAACTAATTAGTGGCTGTAGCATGCTGGTGGATTTCACGCGGCGCTGCGCAATGAGACATCTAGTCCCCATCGGCTGTCTGGTCCCCTATCATTGCCACTCAAGAGAACCCAGCTAGTCAATATGGAGAACCAATACCGACTGCAGTCTTCCTATGAGCATAAACCGAGAGATTTCCAGTAGGATTACATAAGAAATACATAAGGGCTTAAGTACACTTCCTCTACGCCAACCTGGCATGGCGCCACCAGCAAGGACTCAAGCCCTTCAGTCATGTCATGTAACAATATGTGGAATAATGGCCCCACGGTCTCACCACACACCACGTCCTTAAGTGTTGACTTCCGTATATGCCGGACGTCATACTGAGCAACGTAGTTAGCACCTACACACTACAAACGAGAAAAAAAACAGCAGAAGCACACACAGTCAACTCAGCAAATACCACATGAAGGTGGTTTAAATGTTAAGGGGGTCTCACAGCTAACCTATCATGCACAACTATATAATGCTCTGCCATCCAGTACCCTCTTTTTGAATAGATATTAGAAGATAATAGAGAGTAGAATAAGTACAAAGTGTAACAGCTCAACGGCTCAACGCCAGACAAACAGCGCCAACATATCAAACGATGCCATACAAGCAATATGGGCAAACAAGGGCTTAAGCCGCACCACACAAATGTCTATAAAGACCGTTCATCGCCTATATAGATTTCCTTTTCTTCTTCTTCCCCAGATTCGATATTCTCGTCGTTAGGCTACCTAGTCTAGATATGAATATTATTCGTTATATCTGCTAGTTTCCGAGCCCGTGACACTATGGGTTCTGTAACCGCGGTCAGCAAAATCTGGGGTGGCAGATTGCGTGTTCCAGTACGCTCAAAGCGCCCTGAAGCAACCGTCTTTCCGTAGTCATAGTTATTGCACGACTCCTGGTAGAAGCCCGGTCGGATATCATTCTGCGACGAGGGAGCACCGCCTCCAATGCCTACCATCATGCCAAACCGTATACAAGGAAAGGTCGACAGCACCTGCACTGCAACCACCGCAGCTGAAGTGGTGCCATAGATACCATACGGTAAGGAAACGATTGCAACGTTGTGGCCAGCAACATTCCCTAAGGCAGAGCTGTTGTGATCGTGAGATGACTGCAGGAGTTTCGGGTGGGTTTCGTCAAGCATGGCTTTCGCAGCGGCCATCTCGAGTGGGAGAGCACAAATCCATCCCACGGTGTAGCCATCATGCGATAGTTCTCGGGTTGAGGACATTTCCCATCAACTGGTGAGTTTCTCATCGTCGAGCGTCCCCTGGGGATGAAGAAAATGGAGTTGACAAAGATCATGTGACATGGAAGAATTCATTTTTGCTTATTCTGATATCATGGACAACTGAATACTTGTAAAGATCATGAGAAGAGCATGGCTCGCCTTCAATCAGGTGGACACCAAGGGTTATTCCGAAGTCCTCTAGATATAGGGCTTCTCCGGCATCGAATAATTGCTGGGACGCCTTGTTTATGACATCTGATGGGTTTTGTAAGGCTCCTATTCGGCGTGGATAAGAGAAACAACTGGTATAGAAGTATATTCCTCCCTACTTGGAGAACCCCCCAGTGCGCATTACCAGATGTGGAAGGATCGGATCGTCGAGTGGTCAGAGATAACACCCCGCAAAAAGGATCGGGACGACGAATCAGAAATGAAATAGATAATAACGTCCCTCTTATCGAGATAAAACACCCTATCTATTATCCAGAGGCAAAGAGAGCATTAGCCGACTACTGTGCGGGGATATACCATTTTTCTCCGGTGTTTTTTGCTTCTCATACAAGTGAGCACCTCCCACTTCTATCATGTCTGTCATGCAAGTTAACAGAGGGATGCCATCCTATCAACCATTTCAGTGCCTTGTCTGTCAAAGTCGCTTCACCCGCCATGAGAACCTTAAGCGACATGCTGCGCTTCATAATCGCTCTCAGAAAGAAGCCTCGCTTCCTTGTGACTTTTGCCACGCTACTTTCTCCCGCCTCGATCTACGCCATCGCCATATGAAGAGAAAACACCCGGAGCACGAGCAGAGAAGGACCACACAGAGACCATATCGCGAGAGAAGTGGTGGATGGAGACCTCAAGGCAAGGTAGATTCTGCATCGCCCACAGAGAGCCAAGATGGCCCACACCTTGAGCACCTGGGCAACGAAGGCGAACTAGAGATGGACAGGGAGATCTGGCAGGCTGCATTGCGGTATGCACAGCAGCAAATCGACCATGACAACGCCGACAGCACCAATCTTGCAACCAACGCTCCTATAAACGTCGGAGGAGATAGCACTCACCTGAACACAGACTCACTACCGCAGCAGCCATCCATGAACGAGTTGAATGATCTTGACCAGATTGTGCAAAATGCGACGGATCTGGAGCGAAGCCTGTTAGTGGGAACGTCCTCTCTCAACCCAGCCCAGCACCTTGATACCCAAATTCAACAGACCATCCCACAGTCTGCTCCGTTTGATACAAATATGACCGGATTCAACTTCAACCAAGGTCTCCCGGATAGTTTGCTGTTTATGGACTCACTGCGACTGCAAGACGATTGGTTCCCATCCTCCCTGCAGCTTACACGAGGCCGCGAGCTCTTCTTTGCTCATGTTTCGCCATTCATCCCTTTCCTTCACCAATCAACGTTCGATGTCACTCAAACCGCTCCTCTCTTGGCTCTGAGCATGCTCTGTCTTGGCTATCAGTATGGCGATGATCCGGAATGCGGTGATCAAGCAGGCTCAGGCGTGGGCCTGTCAACACGTTGCTTTCATCGAGCTCGTGCTTTGATTTCATTTTCCTCTGATGAGGCACCAGCAGATGGCCTGACAAACAATGTCATGATAGTTCAATCGCACTTGCTACTCCAAATCTGCGCCATGATGTATCTCTGCGGTGACGATTCAGCATACGGCCTCAAGATCCATTCTAACATGATATCCCTCGTCCGGACCGGAGGACTAATGGCACCAGCAACAAACGCATCCGCCACCACCGAAGATCTCGAGTCGCTATGGCGAGAATTCATCAAAACCGAATCACATAAACGAACAGCCTTCGCCGTTCACCAGATCGATGCACTGTGGTATCAGTTTTTATCCATCCCTCGCTCGATATCCCATTTAGAAATCAAGCACGAACTACCCAGCCCAGAAGACTACTGGACGGCATCATCATCCGTCGAATGGGCGCATCGACAGCTCGTTTCTCGGCATTCGGGCCCTTCGGTACAATACACCGATGCCGTTCGACAATTTCTCTCGTCCGATGCGGATCTCACCTCCATTTCACGATTTGATCCTTACGGAGCCATCAACATCACGCAATTTCTTTTGTCCAGTGCCCGTGAGATATCAGGCTGGTCAGCCATGACGGGAATGCTCAGTATGGACAGGTTCAGTGCGCTTCGGTCATCTCTCGTTGCTCTCAGCCGCTTCATCTGCCCAGAACAACAACCAATGCCATCAGCAAAAGCAACAACACACACCGCAGCCGTGTCCCGCGCGGCAGAGGCAACATGGGAAACCGCCATGATAGAGCTACACATGTGGTCCCCATCACACACCGGCGGCATCGTGGAAGCAAGCATAGACGCCGTACTGAACCAGTTAACAACCTACCTGGGCCCGTCTTGTGGAATCCTCGAGTCTACGACTGCCAAGGCCATCCAACCACACGTCAACTGGTTTCTGCGCTATCTCGACATGACACTTTTGCCGGACTCAGAAGCGCCGTGGATTGCGTTCTATGCGTATAAAGCGTTTTTGATTGCATGGCAGCTTATGCATGGGAGGGTAGCGGGTGCGATGCAGGTCGTTGGCGTGAGGGATGGGGACGTAGAGGGGGCGTTGGGGTGGGCGAGGAAGGTGTTTGAACGTAGAAGGAGATGGCAGCTTGGGAGGCTTATTCTTGCATGTTTGGATGAGTTGGGGGAATAAGTGCTCTAATTTATATTTGACTATGTAACTACTATGACCTAAGTTAAGCATCATTGTTATGATTATTATAATGCACACGATTATTTATGAAGAATATTTCTTCCAGTGTAAGCTAGTTAGATCCTTATAGTGACTTGAGTTAGTACATCTCATAACGCCAATTAAGCTGCACCATCTCCTCCGTAACACCCCCCTTAACGACCTTCGCAATCAACCCCGGATCACCCGAATCCAAACGCCTATTCTCACGCAGCACAAGCCACCGATAAACAGTCATAGTACAAGCCAGCAAAACCGCACACCCCATCAACGTCCCAAAAGCAGCAAAGAAATGCGGCGGCGCATAATACAGATATGACGCCCAGATGTTCGACGTCCCGCCAATGGCATTGACCAAGGCCGAGGCGGCCGCACGTTTCGATACAGGCCGTGCGAGATGGAGATTGATTGTTTTGAATAGGAGGAGCTGTGGACCGACGGACGCAGTGGGCAGGATCATCATGGAGAAGTAGCGCGCGCCCACGTTGGCTGTTGCCATTGGGATGATGTACATGATGATTGCGACGGCCGCGCATATGAGGATGATTGGGTAGACGGTGTTCTTGCGGTCGGAGTAGTACATGATACAGTAGTAGATTGCGCCGGCTAGGATGTATGGCGGCGCTGTGAGAAGCAAGCTGATCATGTTGGAGAAGTTGAGTGACTCGACGAGCGTGGGGAAGTAGTTTGCAATAGAGCCCTGCGTCTGCGAAACCATGTTCGCGAAGATCAGGAGTAGCAGCTTGGGATCGGATAGGGCGCTTGAGAAACCGCGCAGGGCGCTCTCGTTCTCGTTGTTCTCTGCTTCGCTGCTGCCCTCTGCGGCACCGGCTTCGGCCTCGATGCGCCACACGGCGAGGTCGCGCTCTACCGGTGAGAGTATGCGACTGTTGTGGGGGAACTCGGGCATTATGCACGCGCAGATCATACCAATGCCCACCGTCGCACTTCCCTCGATGATAAACAGCCACTGCCAGCCGGCGATGCCATGAGCGCCGTCTAGCTTGAGGACGGCGGCCGCGAAGAGCCCGCCAAAGGCGTTGCCAACTTGCTGCGCAATGTACAGCGCCGCGATGCGCTTCCCCAGCTCCGTTTTTGTGTACCAGGCTGAGAGGAAGTAGATGGCGCCTGGGAAGAAGACTGCCTCGGCGGCCCCCAGGATGGCCCGTACGGCGAGCAGTTGGCCGTAGCTCTTGACTGCCGCCGTCGCGGCCGAGATGCAGCCCCAGATCGCCACGGCGCAGCAGATGTACATGCCCGGGCGCGAGATCTTGGTCATGATGAGGTTGCTGGGGATTTGGAAAGGTAGGTATCCCACGAAGAGGATCGAAACTGCAGTTGCAAATTGCTGGATGGACATGTTGAGATCCTCCATGATGCCTTGGAGCTTTGCTGCGGCCAGATTCTGGCGGTCGATGTAGTTCAGAATGTACAGGATGCCGATGGTTGGGAGGACGAGGAGGTCAACCTTACGGACGACCTTTTGGTTGAGCTTCCTTAGCTCATCGTCGCTGAGGTCGCGGAGGGTCTCTGGCATTCGTTGATATGCCGCGCTGGTGATATCGACTTGGCCTTCTGCGGAGGAGACATTGTCGTCCACAAAGGACGACTCCAAAGGTTTTTTGGTGTCCATGGCCGAAGAATAGGAGGCAATCCAATTGTGTTCAGTGTTTGATGGGCGATAGTGAACACGTCTACATTGCGGTTTTTGAGAGACTATATGACTCTGATGTAGTCTCTTTCAAAAGCCGACCTGTACGATAAAGACTCGAATGAGTATCCTATCTTGCTTGTTATCATGAAAATGCCGACTTGACTATATGGTGGTCATAGCCTCTGATAAACAGGCGTGACTCTTGATTATCGCGGGTCCTTCAAGATGCTAATAGATAAGCACAAGGAGGAGCGCACCCGCGCGATTAGGCCAATTGGAACCATTTCCCAGACGGATAGAGGATCTGGGGTACATGAGGCGTAGCTTTTGTTTGTGGGAGGAGTAAATGGGTGAAATTTGAGGAGCTCCTCCCAGCTGCATCTCACCCCGCTTCAGATGCCGCGATGGGAGTTGAGATGTCTTGTTTTCAAGATAGAAAAGGCAACTGTTAGCCCAATGTAGAACAGAATAAACCACTCTCTGCTACTTAAATTGCAACCTGAATTACTCCCTGAGTCCCCTCACGCCCCGACAACCACCTTCATCATGACAATCACCCACTATCCCACCCCCCTCACAACCCAGATCGAGAACCCTCGACTGAGGCTCCTCAACAAGCTCAAAACTGGCGACTTCCCACTGTTAACATTCATGGCCATCCCCTCCGTCCGCATGGCCCAAATCGTCGCACTGACAGGCCTCGACGGCATCATAATCGACTGCGAGCACGGCCACATCGGAGATGATGCGATGCATAATTCCGTCGCCGCCATCTCATCCCTCGGAGTATCGCCCATAATCCGCATCCGCGGCCCCGCCCACGACATCATCAAGCGTGCACTTGACACCGGCGCGCATGGCATCATGGTCCCGCAGATCAACAACGCCGAGGAAGCGCGGCAGATTGTTGCTTCGTCCAAGTTTCCGCCACAGGGTGTGCGTGGGCAGGGTTCTGCTTTTCCAGCTATTGGTCATGGTCTCACAACGCCTGAGTATATGCGGTCTGCGAATGAGACGATTGTTACCATGATTCAGATTGAGACTCGTGCGGGTGTGGAGAATGTCGAGGATATTTGTGCTGTGCCGGGTGTGGACCTCGTGTTTATCGGTCCTAATGATTTGGCGCAGTCTTTGTTGGGATACACGCCTGCGCGCGGAGACGAGCTTGAGTTTGTCGATGCTGTGGACAAGATTATTACTGCGGCACGGAAGCACGGCAAGTGGGCGGGTCGTATGGTCAATAATGGCGGTATGGCGAAGGAGGCTAGGAAGAGATATGATATGGTCGCCATTACGGGCGACACAAAGGCAATCCAAAATTGGTATATGGCCGAGTTTGATATCGCGCGGTCATGAGAAGGAAGTGTAATTATCATGTAATTTTGAGATAGAATAAGATGCTCATAAAATTGATGTTCAATGGATGGTTATTCTCGATATATAATTGTAGAGCTTAGATTCAGATCGTGGTGGCACGCATCCTAGCCACAACCTTGAGAACGTACTACATAGGGGCTTTGTGACGAAATGGATCTCGAGCATCATAGTCCACGTTACTTAATTGCCGATCTGAAACTCGGTGGTCTGCCAAGTCATACTCTGAACTGGCTCTTCGTGTCGTAGAGTTCCTCCCAACAAGATTTCTAGATTGTGTAAGAACACATACTGCGAGGGTATGTAATACCATAATGGAACGATCGAGATTGAGCAGTCGGTCCCTTCCTATTACCGTCTACGTTCCTACCTTCACGGGAACACTCACGTCACGTCGTGATACATGGAATGATAGTAGGAGATACAGGTCTTTCATTGGTTTATATTCTATCTAATTTGGCGGGATCTAGACCAACCTCAAGCCTGCGCAATGCATTCAATCTCAATGGATGTTCCCTCGCCCGGAGCAAGCGCCTGAAGACATGAGCGAGACGGCATCGGCTTTGGCAAAAAGTCAATGTACACCTCATTCATTGCCGCAAAATCCTTCATGTCGGCTAGATAGACATTGTATTTAACCACTTGTTCCAGCGACGATCCCGAAAGCTCGAGGACTTCCTTGAGGTTTTGCAAAACGGTTCTCTGTGTGAGAAACAGGGGTCAGTGGATGGCTCGTAGAGAGTGTTTGTACGAAAAGGCGCTTACTGTTGCTTGCTTGATCTCTCCCGTGGCTGTTTGGCCGGCGCAGAAGACAAGACCTGGAACCTTGGTCGCAGGGCCTGCGAGGGTCAGTAAACAATCGACTCGGAAAGCATATGCCTAACACTCACAGTTGTGGGGCTTAAGGGGGAATTTCTCGCTCGAAATGAGTTGCCGGGGCATTTTTGCTGGATAATTGTGGAGGAATTTAAAGCTCAATATGCCAAGGGAGTTTGAAGTTTAGTCTGATCAAATGAATGGCCGTTGAAAGTGGCCGTTTAAATCATACATGCGCCCCCTTATACACTCTCTCATGCTATTATCTCTGCGACTGCGGATCAAAATGAGGGGGAGTGTTTCGTTCCTCGACGGAGGAGCTCCCAACTTGGGCATTAGGGTCCTTCGCAATGCCAAGCCCATATCTCAGCCCTAGGCGGGAGGAGCTCCTCCCAAACGATCCGCCATGCATTTTCCCTTCGAGGTTAGCGCAAAGTAGTCAATCAAGGTTCTCGATAGGACGACAACTCTGCCATCTGTTTGCACCAAAGCAGAGAATATCATGAGATATAGGAAGAGAGGAGCTGGCGGAGGGGAGGGTTGGCTCACCCAACATATCGGTTATTCCGGTCAATATGCGATAATGCTCACGCGCATGGGGGAAGCGAGTAAGACAGGGAGAGGAAGAAATTATCCGACCATGGAGCTCGCCGGAGGGACGAAGAAGGCACAATTGACAGCTTCTGTGGCGCCTCCTCACAATCCATATAGAGGCATCGCTATATAACTACACCTAGGAAGTATCTTCAATGGCAACCACAACCACAACTACAACCATAACCACGTCCATCCTATACACTCACTAACTGAATTATGGCACCCGCAGCCCCATTCAACCCACCTTCAGCCGACCTGCCTGGCAAGCCCTTCGTGCCACAGTGGGACCCTCCGCCAGTCACCAAGGAGAAGCACAACTTTGCCGAGCTCAAGTCTATTGATCTCTCTTTGCTGGACTCGGAGGACCCAGCCGTCGTTGATGAGCTTATCCAGAAGGTCAAGTTTGCCATTCGCCATGACGGCTTTTTGTTCCTCGAGAACTATGGAGTTTCTCTTGAGCAGGTGAGGCATAAGTCGCAAAGTCGAAGTTGATAAAGAATCCAGCGCACTAATCATATTCATTTTTGCAGCTTCACCGTCAATTCTCTCTCGCTCAGTATCTCTACAGCAACATCAGCGTTGAAGACAAGGAACGCCTTCTTTTCCACCCTGATACCGGTCTCTGGTCTGGCTACAAGCATCCTTATGGATTCAAGGTGAGGAAATTGTCACCCGGCTTATTTCTAAAACCCAATCTAATTTTCCGTTCAACGTCCAGCGACACCGTGGACCCCTCGATGGCATTGAGCAATTTAACTGGTACAAACAAGACTGGGAAGACATCAACCGCGTGCCCAAGTGTCTGCACCCATTTATGGACGAGATCGAGGCGTTCTCCAACTACCTCACGAAATCCGTCAACCGACGACTCCTGACCCTCTTTTCCCGCGTCCTGGAGCTCCCAGACGACTATCTTTTCGAAAACGTCCAATCTCAAGGGAGCCCGACCGGTGAAGGCTACTTCCGCCACGCACTTTTCAGACCCGTCCAGAAAGAAACCGAACAGGCATCGAAGGGCCTGCGCATGCACGGCCATACAGACTTTGGTCTGACCACATTGCTCTTCTCCGTTCCCATCTCCTGTCTGCAAATCTGGGGCCGCGACGAACAGTGGTACTACGTCCCTTACAAGCCGGGGGCGCTGGTCGTCAACATCGGCGATACCTTGGAGATTGTCTCTGGTGGGCATTTCAAGGCCACTCGTCACCGTGTTTTTAAGCCACCGATTGATCAATTGCACGAGGAGCGTCTGTCAATCGTGTTGTTCAACAGCTCTGTCGGAGATTTGCGTATGGGGCCTGCACAAGGTAAGTGTATTCAAACCCGACGCGCGATGTGCATGATTTCCTGCTCACACTCAACAGAATCACCACTTATCCAGCGAGAGGGCTGCGTCGAGGAACAGGGCATCTACAAAGAGTTCAAGAATCTAACATCTCACGGAAAGCTTGTGCCCACTAATCAGCAATGGCGCGAGATCCAGATTGCGACGGTGACGGATCCAACGGACACAGTGCGCAACCGCGTCGGTGCGGATCAGGTGCTTATAGACGGCAAGATCATGCATCAGCGAGAATACATGGGTGTCAAAGTTGTCCTTCCTGTTTGAGGTATTGCGCAAGCGGAAGATGGTACGGCCGTGTGCTGCGATTGATCTATAGTCTAGAGACCTCTATGCAAGATGTATACAGTGTTATGTTCTGCTTTCTTTCAATTCAAGTATCTATTTCAAAGTACAAGATCTTTTCAACCTTAATCAGTAAAGGCTAGATCATCAATTTAGGACATTATTGTTATTCATATAACTTGAAAGGGTTCAATAATGGCAGCGTGATAGCTCTATGCAAATCAAAACATACATGGCCATTTTCTGATTGAGCCCCAGTGCAATCTCTGCGTGTATGGAATAATATCTTATCCCTTTTGGAATACTGGGACCTGCTACCAATGTTACAAAATGTCAGTGGTATAGTCCACTTAGTGTTAGGTGCTCAATTGTGCCTAGATAGCTTCGTAATCGACCAGCAGCCTGCACCCCCGATAGTGAATCAATAGCCGACGGCAATTGAAATATATTCGGAGATATGATAAGGAGATAACAGCTGATTTCCTCTTTCTAATTGTCGTGCAAATTCTATATAACCCTCGAGTGATAAGGAAATCAGTAGTGGACTTCTGTCTTCTTGGATACTCGAATTTTGAATTTTGAATTTTGAGTCATCGTTTGCCATATCAACTCTGTATCCTTATGTCTCTGTAAAGAAACAAAAACATGTCCTTCAACGAGATACGTGGCCGACTAGCCCTAGTCACTGGCGCATCGGGAGGGTAAGTTTGACATGGCTTTACCCAATTCTTAATAGATACCAAGCCGATAAAGCTCCCAAAAAGTAACAGTTTCGCTGACGATGATCTGTATAATGATATAGAATCGGTGCAGCATGCGCACACCAGCTCGCACAACACGGGGTCCACCTCGCGCTAACATACTCGACGAACCTAACATCAACAAACAACCTCGTCTCAGGTTTACAATCCAAATACAGTGGCAACAAGCTCCGCATCTCAATTCACCAAGTCGATGTCGCATCCACCGACCAAATCCAGGCCATGTTCCAGCAGATCGAGACCGAGCACGGCCAACTACCCGACATCCTAATCTCGAACGCCGGATACGGAAAACGAGTGCCCAATGTACTTGACATCACGCTTGACGAGTTTGATTACATGTTGAATGTCAACCTCCGCGCGTCTTTTATCCTAGTCAAGGGCGTGGTAGAGCACATGATGAATCAGCGATGGGGACGCATTGTGTTTGTGTCTTCGATTGCTGCTTATGGAGGGGGCATTAATGGATGTCGTGAGTCTTACTTCTTTTGTAATATATTATTCCTATCACATTCTGTGAATTATGTCTAACGAACGCTTTGTTATAGACTACGCAGCTTCCAAGGGTGGACTAACCGGCATGATGAAGAACCTCTCGACCCGTCTAGCAGAGTACAACATAAGCGTCAACGACGTCGCCCCCGCCATGATTGGTAGCACGGGCATGATCCCTTCTACCATGATGATGGACGATGTGGTCGCGAATATACCACTGCGGAGACTAGGCACGCCCGAGGAGATGGCCAACTCTGTCACCATGTTAGTGACAACAGGGTATATGACGGGTCAGAGTCTTCTGCTGGCTGGGGGGTTGAGATAGCAAGTCAGTGGCTTTTGGAGATTTACACAAATATCAGTACATTCATAAGCCATTCAATGGAATATAATAGTCTCGATTTAAGAACGATTACTCGCCGTTTTAGGCTCAAATGCTGGCATTGACTAGTCTGATAGAGAAACATAGATAGGAATTCAAGCTGGATCCTCAAACTGCGAAAACACCTCCCTCTGCGCTTGCTCAAACTCTTTCATAATATTTTCCCTTCGAGCCTCCGACCTTGACGCAATCCGACGCTCAAAGTCCTTCGCAAAAACCAAGAACACCTCACTATACCCCGTCTCCGGATCAATATTCGGCTCTACATGCTTCCCATTCTCATCCAACCTAGGCTCAATATCGAAACCCCAGATAATCTTCGCAATCCCCACGAACAAGTTCCGTTCAGCCACATGAATGCCCGGGCAAATTCGACGGCCGGTGCCATAACCATAATGGTCACGGGTGTTGTAGTCTGCAGCTGCTGCTAGCTCTGGGGAAAGCGCTGTCCGTCCTTTATAGTGGTCTGGGTCGAAGACGTCTGGGTTCGGGAAACGGGCTTTGTCGTGGTGGAGGCCCCAGCCGTTGACGATGACGGTGGAGCCTTTGGGGATGAAGTGGCCGTCGATCCAGTCATCTATCATTAGCCAGTGAGACTCAAGCCGAGACAGGATGAAAGAGGTATGTTCTTACCCTCCGCAGCGGCATGAGGAAATGCCAAAGGCACAACCGGCCGCCACCGCATGGCCTCCTTAACCACAGCCGCAACATACGGAAGACGTTCATAATCAGCCCAAACCGGCGTCCTATCCTCTCCTACCACAGCATCAATCTCAGCTTGAGCTTTCTTGAGAACACCCTCCCACTTTGTCATAGCATGCAGGAAAGCAAGGATAATCGAGCTCGAGGTATCCGACCCCCCTTCCATCAGAATACCACCCAGAAAGTATAATTGATGACGGCTGAGCACGAGTTTCTCGTTCTGGTCCAGGACAATATCCATGAAGGAGCCGGTGCTACCCGCTTCCTTGCGGCGCTGTTCAACACGGTTGAGGTATTCAGCGTATAACTCGTTCATCTCGGCGCTGACGCCTTGTGCGCGACCAATCCAGTTACCGAGGAATCGCTGGGGAATGTAGTGGAGGAAGGAGTAGATGTCGACGGGAGGAGTGTTACCGGGCTCCATGGCTTTGGACCATGTTTCCTGTCATGTATCAGCTGAACTGTCACGGTTGGTTGCTTCTAAGCTTACCATCATGTCATAAAGCTGGATCATGTGTGGTGTATCCACATTGGGTGTTCGAATACCCTATACTTTCACCATCAGCAATCACCATGGATGGCAATTGAATGGGATGGAAGCTTACTCAAGCTCATCGTGATACTATTACTATACCTCTTCGGGTGCAACATATTCTTCTCCGGCCACAAACAGAAATCCCTTACCATCTGCACAGCTTCCGCATTCTGCACCATTATATGACTCTTCTCGACCATACTCTCCATGAAATGCTGATGGACCAGCTTCCGGAACGACCGCCACAGGGTCCCATATTGCATAGCCAGCAGATGGCTGCCGCCGGTGATTGTATGAGCAACATAAGACCCTGGTCTATTGCTGTATTTCGAGCTTTTTCTGTCAACGAGCTCCTTGACGATGCAGCGATCCGTAATTATGGTGGCAGTTCCGGTTCCTAGTTTGAGAGAGTAGAGGCCGCCATATTTCTGGGCCCATTCGGTGAATCTGATGGTCAGTCAGCATTTGTCCTAGAAGGTGGAGTGGCATGCGTACTTGATGTAGGAGCCTTTTCGTGTGATCTGGTGGAGGTTTCCCAGAATTGGTAACGTAGGTGGACCTGAAGTGGATGTCAATGCAATTTATCCGGGGATATGTATTTATACTACAAACCTGGTGGAAGGCTCTTTTCTCTGCGACCTTTGGTGAAGATCAGATACAGCGATCCAAGAAAAATAGCAACAACAAGTACAGGAAGAGACTGCATAGTTGTACAGTCAAAATGAGATCGGAGTATGAATTGAAATCAATAATTGGTCTGGCTGTACTTATATCTTGAATGCTAACTAGAGTTTCCCAGACTGAATACCCCGGATTTACTCCACAAGTTCCAACCCCTCCTGAATGAAGAGCTGGAGCAAATTCGCTATAATTTGTAGGTTGATAGTCGAATCCTTCCGAGAATTATACTTTCTATCACCCCGGAATGCTACCATGATTACTCCACGCACGAACTCGGACGAATTACTCCAGAAATCCCTCCGGCAAATCAGGGCCTGTTGTCGATGTCAGATGCGGATCTTCAAATGCAAAGGTTCACAGAAAGGATAACTTACCCCAAATGTGCAGGTTGTTAGGCGAGGCCAGCGAGCGATTCGTCAGCTGAGTTTCGTCAAGCAAGTCTCCGTCGATATAATGCTCGATAATAAATCCAGATGGATCAAACCTAAGGATTCTCATTAGTATATTAGCATCCAATGGAGGGAAATGGCGCACCAATAATCAAAAATCTGACTGCCCATAATATGCCGACCAACACCCCAGCAATTCTTATACCCTTGTTGCCGGAGCCAATGGTGTCCCAACAACTGGGTATCAAAGTCATGCGTCTCGAACGACGAATGGTGCACATGTGACTTAGGTCCTTCGAACATGAAGAAGCAATGATGATCCACCAGCTCGCTTCCCCGGTCTAGATGGAGAAAGACGGTGATATCTTTGCCAGTTTCGTCGTGGATGAGCTGGTCCGTCAGTATTTGCAGATTTCCCAGCGGGTGTTATTACTTACATCACTGCCCTTGAAGTTGAATCTCGTGGTATAGAATGAGTACGCTCTGGCAAAGTCTGTCACGCACATTCCGAAATGGCCAAGTTTGTGCACTGGTGCCGGACCTATCCATTGTTAGCATTATACTCGTGTGGCTGTGATAGGCAGCGTACCTGGTTGAAACCTCTGTGCGCTGTTGGTCGATCGGTGCTTCTCCGTGGGCTTTAACCAGTTAGCTTCTCGTTATCCCCATTCTCCGTGTCAGAATGCATACATAATTATACCTGAGCTGCGGCAAAGCCCTCGTTTTATCCGCAATCTCTTGCCCATATACCAAATGAAATGGGAACCCATCGACCGGATCCCTAAAAGTCACACATAGACCTCCACCCGGAGCATCCGCAGGCTCGTACACATCACTAGTTCCAGGCAGAGTCTGCGATGCATACTCGAGGTCCTCACGGGACTCCACAACAAACGCCGCGCCGCCGAATTCATCGACATCGCCTTCTCGCGCACAATATACGAATGGCTCGGGGCCGGTTCCGCGGTAGTAAATCGTCTTCTTATCCTTGGTAATGGTTTTGGCTTCCTGGAAGCCGAAGTCATTCAGGAATTGGGAGGCTTTGGTGATGTCCTTGTGGGTGTAGTAGACGTGGGCCAGGCGGACGAGGCGGATTTGGCGGTGGTCGGTAGTTGAGCCCATGATGTGCTATAATGTTTGATGCTGCTCTGAATATAGTGCATAATGTTTTGAGACGGAACTCTACGTTCTTAATGTAGTGCTTCTCTATCCAGTGTGAATGAGTTCATTTCGCGGTGCAATATCGGCATGATACTTCGGACCATCTTCGGACGAATTCATTAACGCTCCGATATGCATGAATACGGACGCATCGATATAAGTTACAGTGATGAAGGAACAGCTGCAGCTTGGAAAATTAATCCAATAGCGGTGAGTCGAGAAAAAAAAAACAGAATATATCACCCACACGGTCCTTTCAGACGCAGCTTCAACTTCAATTCAACAAAGTTGAGCAAAGATGGCACCGTCAATAAGCGACCTTCCTATATCACCAAATGGTCAAACACACCATGAAACAACCACAGATTGCATCGTTGATACCGAATTCTTAATCGTCGGCGCGGGACCTGCAGGCGCTGCACTGGCTTGTTTCCTCGGTTCATATGGTAAGTCGATATCCGAAACCTCACTTATCAATTGCTAAAAGCACACAGGTCTCAAAGGAATCATGATTAGTGCCGCCCCCGGCACAGCCAATACACCCCGAGCCCATATCACCAACATGGCAGCATTAGAATGTCTCCGTGATATTGGCCTCGACCAGGAAATCAACAAGGTCGCGTGCAGTGGTGATCAACATATGGTGCATACCAGGTGGTGTCATAGTATGGCTGGTGAAGAGTATGCAAGGATTCATTCTTGGGGTAATGATCCTAAGCGAAAGGGTGACTATGAAATGGCCAGTCCTTGTTCTCCGGTCGATCTTCCGCAGACACTATTGGAGCCCATTCTAGTTCGCCATGCAATCTGTAAAGGATTTACTACTCGATTTGATACCACGTTTTTCTCTTTTATCGAGGATGCTGGTGTTATTACAGCCAATCTCTGCGATAATCTCTCCAAGCACGAGTACCAAATCCGAACCAAGTATCTCTTCGGCGCAGACGGAGCCCGCAGCCAAGTCGTCAAGCAACTCAATCTTCCCCTGGCAGTGAAACCAGGTCAAGGCCTTGCAATCAATGTTCTCGTGCGTGCCGATCTGTCGCACCTCGTCGAGCATCGCAAGGGCAACCTGCACTGGGTTATGCAACCGGATCGCGAGCATCCGGAATTTGGCTGGATGGCGATCGTACGGATGGTCAAGCCTTGGAACGAGTGGATGTTTATTTTATTTCCGACGAAAGATTTTGATCCGCGAGCGAATCCGTCGAAGGAGGAGTATCTGCAGCGGGTAAGAGAGTTTATCGGGGATGAGACGCCAGCGGGGATTATTGATGTCTCAAAGTGGAATATCAATGAGACTGTGGCGGACGAGTACTCCCGGGGGAATATGTAAGTGCATCCACCTCCTATTATGGCACTAGTATATATTTACTAAATGGGACAGATTCTGCCTTGGTGACGCCGTCCATCGCCATCCACCACTGAATGGTCTAGGCTCAAATACCTGCATCCAAGATGCATTCAACCTCGCCTGGAAAATCGCCTACGTCCACCAGGGCCTTGCATCTCCATCCCTCCTATCAAGTTACTCAACGGAACGCCAACCAGTGGGCCACTCGATTATCACGCGCGCAAATCAGGCATTCCGCGACCACGCAAGCATCTGGAATGCATTGGGGATGTTAAACGAAGACCTCGAGAGCCGGAAAGCTATACTCGAGGAATTGTCTGCGGTGACTACAAACGGGCAGAAGTGGCGTCGCGCTCTACGGGAGGCTATTTCGCATACGTGCCATGAGTTTCATGGGTTGGGTGTTGAGATGAATCAACACTACTCTGGGTCGGGGATTTACGATGCGGACGAAAAAGAAATATATGCCCTTCATGGAAAAGCCGCTGAAGATCCGGTTTTGTACCACGAACCCAGTACATATCCAGGGAGTCGGCTGCCGCATGTTTGGCTCAATCGGGCTGTTCCGGGGAAACCGGTTTCTACAATTGACCTAGCGGGTCATGGGGCGTATACGCTTTTCACGGGTATTGGAGGTGATTCCTGGAAGGTAGCTGCTGAAGCTGTCTCTAAGGAATTGGGAGTTCCGCTAAAAGCGCACTCGATTGGGTTCCGGCAAGACTGGGAGGATATGTATTATGACTGGGAACGGGTAAGGGGCGTGGATGAGTCTGGAGTTGTTCTGGTAAGACCAGATCGATTTGTAGCTTGGAGAATGCTTGAAGTGCTGGAACGTGCAGAGATGTGTGGAAGGAAGTTGGGTGAGGTATTGAGATCGATTTTGGCTTATTGATCTTTAAATGTACAGATAAGAATGTCTAGAAAAGAACATCCGATAATTAATTTGGCAACTGTAAAAAACTCCAATCAATCTCCCCATCCATTGCTCTACTATTCTCGATCCATGGTCCTTGTGACTGCGTACTCCCAAAGAGAAACATTGGGTCAATTAGCGTGGCGGACGGGATCATCTGATCTGCGATGAAATGAGCGTCCACTGATGGTACAGATAACATATCAACCATCGATGCGTTTCGTATGTCTTCAGTCGGAATTCCAGCGTGCCAGTCGGTTTGGTAGAAGCTGCTGCTTGATGGTGGTGTTGGGATGACTGGTGTGGCTATGTCATTTGAAATCGTATTTGGTACGGATAGGGTTGGATCATAGTCAAGATCCGGCCTTTGAGACGAATGTTCCCAACCAGCCGGTGAGGATAATGCATGATTCCGTTCTGTTCTGCACTTCTTCTTGGACTGCTGCCACGCCTCCAGTTGGTCCTCGAGAGTTTCCAAATTCTGCTGGACAGCGGTATGCATATCCCAAAACCTCACACACCTCTTGTAAGTCAAGTGCAAAACCTCATATCGCGACTTGACAGCCGACTTAACTGCTCCCGGTCTGCACAGTTGACTACGCATCAAGTGCACAGCTGATGCCAGCCAGATAGTGTTCGAGAGGAAGGGATTGATGTACCGAATATGATCGTCGCAGCTGCGGTGGATGATGGTGAGCATGTCATCGGCGGCTTCAAAGTATTCATTAACGGCTAGACGTTCTGTCTTCCCCTTCGCATTTATGTGGGGGTTGTCATGATTAACATCAGATTCACGGGTAGGAAGCGCTACACGGAACCGGCCTTTGAAGACATCGTAGCGGTAGATCATGAGTCTTGCTAGTTGGATCATCATGTAGATATTGTATATAGAGCAATGTATTTGTCGCAAGGACAAGACCTCGCCAGGGATACGAGCATCAAAGCTCAGATGTTGCTGCTGGTATTTGAGGTGACTTGGAAGGGCTAGTTGGAAGCAGTGCACGGCGTTAGCAATGACCTCGAGTCGCTGGCGAGCCTCGTCCATCCTGTCCGAAGATGGGCCATTTCCGTTCGGAATACCTCTAGGGCTGGATATTCGCTGGGCCTCTTTCATCAGGGAGTTTATAACAATAAACCACGCTTTTGGTGACTGGTTTCCGCTGTTTACGAGCGCCTTCCACCGAAGAATCGGGTCTTGCTGGAGAAAGCAACTCCGCGTAGGCTTAGACTCGAACCAATGCTCGTCGTCAACCGGGAGCAAAGTCTCCAGCTGAGACCAGTCCACAGCTGTAGGTGTCCGTCGAATAGTTGTAGCGAAAACATCCATTTCCCAGATGGCCCACCAAGCACGGCGCTTCTCCTCGCCTTCACGCCATCGTTTGCTGTTCAGGGCATATTCCGCGCCACGAGCATCAACGAGATGCAGGTTCATTTCATATGCTAGCCGGACACATGTACCTAGCGTCCGCCATGCTCTTCCCAGAACACCCTGCGTCAATTGACCATGAGAGACAAGGATAAACGCCTGGAGCAGACACAATGGCGGAGTACGATCATCACACTCTTTCAATGCATCGTTGCTATAGTCCGATGCAAGATTCAGAAAATGTGCTGCTCGTCTATGCGTGTTTCCCTCGGTTTCCACACCATTTCCGGCTGACTGGAACCGCACAGAGAAGGCTATCATGGCCGCCAGCAAGGCAGTGACCTCTGTTGGAGACGCGGTACGACTTAACTTATCATAGAAGCTAGGTTGGTGAAATAGGTTTATAGCCACCATGTTGTCAAAATACGTCTCGATCCTGGTATTATTTAGTAACGTGAAGCTTTGCACGGTGATCTAACCACTCACAACTTCTCTACCTCTGACCATGTTAATTTTATAACAGAACAGGCTTTGTCCAAGGAAGCCCTTCGCTGAATATCCCCAGACAATTGTTGCTCAGGAATAGGCTCCTCTCTCGACCCCGGACTTTCATGCGATGGGTGCAGGATAAAAGCGAGGTCGGGTACTTTTCCCTTCACCGTCGCCGGGGCGTCGTGACTCTCGGTCAACAAAGACACCTCCCGCTCAGCAGCGGAATTTAAGCTGAGTGAATCCGGTGCAAGAGCTGTGGTCTCGTCTTCAGACTCGAGTCTGGGTCTTGTAGTATGTCTATCTTCCTCGCCATCGTCCTTATCGTTTTCATTCAAGGAACGCTTCCGTTGGCGCAGGGAGCCTATTTTCGGACCTGGCTTTAATGGTCCCGTAGGATATGAGCAATCTTGTGATGTCTTCTCGCATACCAGACAAGTAGGAAACCTCCGATCACTAGGACTGTTAGTGCTGCTTTCCTTTGTGGTGAGTGTCAACCAACCATTTCACTTTACGGCTACGACATGATCGACAGGAAATGGACGAACGACGAGTATCGTGCCATTGGACCATTTTGTAGCTCTGTTGTGATGAATGAAGATATTGAAAATATGGAAAGACAGATCGACAAGTATACAAGCAGATATCCCCGCATTTTCCCTGGGTCTCACATGATCCGCGCTGAAGTTTGTATTTTACCGTTTTTGGTATTTGTCCGAAGTCCATCCGAGGAGTTTACTATCTATGCATATTCATGCTATTTACAAAATTATTCATAGTAAACCTTGTTCACCAAGGTTCCAATGTTCTCAATCGCAACGCGCATGTCATCGCCGTCGTTCAATACAACCTTCGGATCACGCATAGCGCCAATTCCAGGACCGGTACCGGTCATAATCACCGTTCCTCTTTCCAGGGTCGTTCCTTGGGACAAGAACGAGATGGTCTTGGGGATATCGAAAATCATTTCACTGTTCCGCCATTAGTTCTCGATTGTATCTAATGATGGTGCATTGCACCTACCGAGTGTTCGAGTCTTGCACAACAGAGCCGTTGTGAATCGCCTTGATATCAAGGTTATGCGGGTCAATGGCCGACGGGGCCACCAGCACCGGGCCCAATGGGCAGGAACCATCAAAGCCTATATCATTCTTTCAGAAGTGTCCAAGGTCCTATCTTATTTGTCCACGTACCCTTCGAAAAACTCCATTGGCTGTTCTTAAACTGCTGCGCACGAGCACTAACATCGTTACTCGCAGTAAAACCCAGAACATGGTTCATGGCCTCGGACTCAGGAATGTCACGACCGGACTTGCCAATGATAAACGACAATTCCGCTTCGTAGTCACTGGTTCCGTCCTGGGCGATCTTGGGCACATTGATCTTGGCCGGGTAGGGACCATTCAGTGCAGTCCGGGGCTTGATGAAGAGAACGGGCACGTCCGGGATGGGCATGCTGGCTTCCCGGGCGTGGTCGCGGTAGTTAAGACCCATGCATCGGATGATGGGGACATTCTCTATCTCGATTGGGGACAGAAGCTGAACAAGTTGGTTAGTAAAGGCAACAAGTCCGGATGTTTTGTGGACCTACCTGAGCAACCTGTAGCTGCTTTTCTGTCACTGTACCATCAAAGATAGATCCGGTAACCAGTTTTGCCGTGACTTTCTCCTTGTTCAACAATGCAAGACCAACATCTTGGTTGGCGTCTACCTCGCCCAGGTGAACCTGGCCATCTTCTTCGGCAATGAACCGGATCAGCCGCGTCCAATTGGGTGCCATTTTGTATTCGATCGTGAGTTTGAGTAGAATTCCAAGCAAGAGCTGCTATAATTGCTATGTGTGTGTTTTATAGTACCCCTCATAACAATGCCCCGCAGAGAATCTGACTAATTCGTATCAATTTCGGGGTAACTGTCGGACTAATTCCGCCATGGTTCCACGGTGCGACATCATTTCTTATCATTAGGTCTACAGAAGCAAGTCAGCGGCAAACAGCAAATTAATTCATTGCTAAAACTCCCAAAACTGGTCGTAGTAGCGCATAATGGTTGTGGTTGAAAATTGAATATGTGAGGGTGTGGACGGTGAAGTAAATATATATCCATCGATCAGCCTTCACTACAATCAGTGAATGGAAATTAACACCTACTTTCTTTTCAAGCGTGGGACTAAATATCTCAGAGAAGAGCCACGCCACTATCACTGGTGACTCTCGAACGACATTTTCTACATGGACTCATTCCCACCCGAGGACCATTTGGCTCCTACGCCCTATTATAGTGGCTAATAGTCAGACGCAACCTTTCTTAATGAGATAGGAGTGGATATGAATGAATGGACTGTCAGCTAATAGACAACCCAATTACATACAACACCGAGAAGAGAAGAAGATATTTGGTAACCGGTTGGACAAAAAGAGGCACCCAGAGAGATACTAAAGTGGCTCTTCCCGTCGAGCTTGCCCTTCACGGAGATATATAGGAGATATATATCACAAGTGTTGCGATTTTATGCCGACTTAATTCGCTTTAGCACACGATACCAAATATTGTGTGAGAATGTTGGCAGATGACATACAAGAGCGTGAGTTCAGCGCCCTCTTTTCCTTCTTCATCTACAGGGGTATAGAGATGCTAACACACAGCAGGACCGGCTACGTGGACGATTTCGCTGTAATCTCACTTGCCATTGGGATAGACATATACCGGCAACTGTCAGGGAGGATGCTCCTATTCTCGAGACAATCTGCGCAGCCTTCTATTATAGATACGGTGAGAACGGGATCCACTAGGAACACCCAGTAATCCGTGGTTGCCGAGAACTCCAGTTATGTTCAACTCGCAAACGTCTAAAATGAGAAAGCTCACTGTCAGTTGACTGGCCTAAGTGGTCTACAGAACTATACAACTTGAATGCTGGGCTCCAGAATTCAATTACAGACTACTGGTAAGTTATCATACTTCTACTTTTGTCCTCTGAAACCGCTAAAAAAAAAAGTACAGATGCCTTTGTTTGTTGTACGAAGTCGTCAATGAAATTTTCGATGCTAAAGGCTCTTTCCAGCAGCCCATTCCTTTTCCATCCCGGTGATTGATGGAAGACAGCTTCCTTCACCACCACGGCCATGAGCACAATGACAACTGCACCAGTAACGCGGATGTCATCGCACTCCTCGACGCACTCCAGATCTCACTTTGCGTATGGTACGAGCCGTTTCGGGGCTGTTCCTTGGAGACAACCACCCCTATCAAAAGCGTCTGTGACTCATGCATGTTTATCGGCTCATACAGTTTCTTCCAGAAGACTGCATACACTACGGGAAAGTTTCTTAAGGAACATGTTCCACAAATATCACAAATGCCACGAACGTGGAAGAGGTTACTGTTTCCCTGAAGGCTCAATATCCTAGAGCATTCACATTCATTATTCCGTCCAACAATTGTTGGTGCGTCAGTGGCGCGTTTGACGATATTCGATCCTCTGCGTGTCATAGTAATCATGCTTGGGATGGTCTTTCAAATCTGCGCTGCTATTGTACATCAAAAATGATGTGATAACTAGTCAACCAGGATGCATTATTGACAGACCCACCAGAAAGAACAAACGCAGACAAAGATCGATCTCCAGGAGTCTCACACAACCAAGAGAACTGTCGATCCGCCTTCGACGTTCTCACCTAGCTGGCCAATCTGATTGGAATCGGTCAGGCTAAAGCAAACAAAGAGCCAAACCGGGTGGTCCTCATGTGTTTGGCATTTATGGCCTGTCGGGATTAATCTCAGCGAGACTCGTTATTTCTGGTTCTCATCATCAAGCAACATTTACAAGACGATCTGACCTGGAATAGACCTGAAGTATTATGAACGGCGAAGCCAGACTCGAGGGCCTAAATAATACTCGCACCGCCAACTACTGTTAATAATTTGCGGCAGCAGAGATTCGCCGTTGATAGAGACATGTCACACTTGGCCATTAAGATATATACTCGCAGGAACAACCCCGTTTCGAGGCAGTGGGCAGCAAAAGTATCATGGCTGCTTGAATATACGTTCACGAACCTCAAGTACAAGAAGATACATGAGAGAAAGCATCGCAGCAATGATGGTAGTGATTAGAACGAATGCAGTATTATGTACAAACAAACAACAAAGCTCAATAACATAAAGCTGCTCCATCTATGTACTCGAATCGTTTGGTCGTATGCTCGACAAGCCATAAACCAATGCCTTCTTTTTTATGTTTGCTTTTCATCAACTTCAGTGCTATACCCCCCGAATCATGACTTGTCCTTCATTTTTCAGCGTAACATCATTAAAGGAAGATGAGAGCATTGTATACAGCTCAACCCCTCGTGTTGTATCGTTCATTGAACGCATTCACCGCTGCGAGAGCATTAGCTTCGAATCCTAAGAACTATAATGGCAATCAAAACTCACCAATTCCAATCTGCCTATACAACCAATTCCTCGAACTCTCATCCTGCACCGGAATGAACGGGCCATTGGCACCTCCCTTAAGTGTGATACTCATTCCAGTCCGCTCCTTCGAGATTGTTTGAATGTCCGTCAATCGAATATCCCATTCGCTCCGGAGTCGCTTGGTGCGGACGAGCATGATCCGGTCATAGGTCAACATGACCAGTATATCTCTACCCGGAAGCTCCAGATGCGCGATGTAGTCCTGGTTGAAATATTTGCCGTCATCGGTGGTCTTGAGCCAGAACTGACCCAGTGCTTCGCGCTGAGAGTATGGTCGTACAATGCCCTCTGTTCCGATGAAACGGGTCAGACGAACACGGTCCAGACCTTCCGCGTCAAACACGGTAGTTGTGTTCCGAACACCCTCAGCAAGGTCTATCACATAGTTAGCATTCAAGGTACTTCCCGCGTATTTGTTGATGTCACATACTTGAGGCAAGATCAAAAGCACCAATGGCAGGCTTAGTAGCCAAACCAAGCACACCCTTTCCAACACCCTTGAAGAATCCCTGCAGTCCTTCCTTCTCAGCACCTTGGAGCGGATGACGCGCAAGTCCTCCGATACCACTCGCCAAACTGTTGGCAAACGCATTTCCACCAGCAGTGATACCGTACAGCGCATGCTTCGGGCGATTTCGAGATTTCGACATCCGACGCTGGTCTTGGAATTCCTTGTCCAAAGTGGCAGCCGCAAGACCCTTGGACATACTTCCAGTGAACTTGGCCATACTATCGGAGAAACCAAAAACGGATTTCTTGACAAAGCTCGTGGCTCCCTTGGCAATTCCGTAACCCAGTTCCTGAGGCCTGTCCGTCATGACGAGACCCTGGTATGGCTCGTAGAAGATAGCAGCAACACCAGAGCTGACGTTGTTGAACAGACCAACGGGGTTTCCGAGGAAATCTGCAGACCCAAGAACAATATGAACTTGACGAAGGAACTCCTGGGCGTAGTGCCTCTGGATATTGCTGGCAAGGACACCAAAAGAAACACGGGCATTCTCCAGCATCAAAGCGTTCAGTCGAACAGGAGCGTCATTGATGTTACCAATAGACATGGTCATGACGTTGACAAAGAACATCAACGGGTTGGATGGCTGCATCGTATCTTCGACGTTCACGCGCTCAGTACGCATAAACGAGATATCCAGTTGCATGGGCTGCAGGTGCAGAAGCTCGAAGTACACATCCTGTTCAGCACCTTCATGCCGCGGTTCCGGAATTCGGAGATCTTCGTCGCAAAGCGCTCCTTCTTGTTCTTCGGACCAGGAAGCACCCGGCACCTTGATGAAGTCAAGCAGAGCCAGAACAAAGTCCTCGTCAAGTTCAAGCGTCATTTGCTGCAGGAGCACCGTGGCATACTTAATGTACAGAACACCATAAGAGTCATCCTTCACGCGCGTAACCATGGCGTGGAAGATCGGGTGGGCTTCCATCTCCTTTCCAGTCTTGGGAACAACACTGGGATACAGCAGAATGGGGAAGATACCTCCATAAAGTTGGTTGTCGATCTGAATCCACTTGATCGTAGTGTTCAGCGTCTGGTACACCCTCGACTCTCTGTACTTGATGTCGATCTCGCGGAAGGTGAGGTAGAGGAGCTCCTTCAGATTCTGGTTGACCAAAGAGATACCAATACCGCCAAGGCGAAGCTGAGCCTTGAAGTTGACATCCGAGTTTAACTCCTTGACCTCGAAACCAGCGCTCAAGCTCGCTTGAGAGGACTGTCCCCTCTGCTGCCTGTACATACTCTTCGACTGCTTGAAGTTCGACAAAACAAGCGTCTGCGTCGGGCCGTTGGCAACAATGTTGATGTCGATGATCCTCTGGGGTTCGCCGTGTTGCGTTGGGGGTATCCTCATGGGGATCAAGTTTCCGATTTCGGCGAGCTTGATGTGCCGTTCCTTGCCGTTACTTGTCACCACAAGGGACTTGTTCTTCGTGGCCGGGTAGTCCCAAGCATAAGGCATAATGCTCCGAGGCGGGAGGCGATACCGGATCGGCCGCCAACCACTTGTCCGGTCATCCTCGTCATCTTCAACATTTGGATTCTGTAAAGAAATACCAGTCAGCATATATTATAGAAATCATAGACAGTGGGTGAGGTCATACGGCTTGGTAGAAGATGAATTCCAAATCACTCTCATTCCGCATAGAGAACGGCCAGTTGCGAGTCTCAATGTTGAAGTGCAAGAAGAGCGTGGCACCCTCCAGGATGATATCAACCTTGATTAATCTCTGTCGCTGGTTCTCCTTGGCCAATTTCACATGTACAGTTCCGACATCCGCGATGTTAAACGGCGACGACCACTGGTTGTTCACGCCAGGGAAGCACAGACAAAGCTGTTTCTCCGCAACCTGGCGCAGGAAGTGAAGAGGGAGAAGCTCGCCACTCTGTATGGTCAAAACGTTGGGCGAGCCAGGCTCACGAACCATAATGTCCTCGCTTAGCTTGTTTTTCATGATGAAACGAGGTGAAATGGTGACGACCTTGGTCATCTTGTATTTGCCTTCGCCTTCAGCGACAGACACACCCGAGTGGAACTCTGAGCGACCAGCCCGGTCCGGTAACATCACTTCGAAAGTGCTTCCAATAGCTTCGAAACTTTGGGGCTTGCACCAGGCGGATTCGCCGATCTTGATCATCGACCGGTTCTTCTGGTCATCAGTCGGGTAAGAGTACATGTACGGAAGCGTACGGCCGCCATGTCTCGCGTCAGCCCTCAAGCCCTGTCCAGCTGCTGACCGTGCTGACTGCATGAACGCCTTGCTCTGGATCTCCATGGGAAGACCAGTCTTGTTCAGGATCAGGTATGGACTGTAGATCGAAACCTTGAAGGCACCTCCGCTATCCGGCACGTTGAAGTAGTGAAGTTTCAACATCAGCTGGATGCCTCGGTCGTCTTTCAGTGGTAGCGTGTGCTCTCTCCGGAAGTCCTGGGCATTTCCGTTAATAATGGCGAATTCACTTTGCTTGAAGACAGTGTCCTGGAGGTCAATGCTGAGCAGCAGCAGATGGGAAAGCTCGACAACATGGACTGGGCTAACGCCACCCTTGCGCAAAAAGTTCGTCCAGTCTTTCTTGGTGTCCTTGTCATAGATGCGATACTTGAAGTCGTATGGGAGCAAGTTCTGGATCTCAATGGGAGCAAAGATCCTAACCCGCATGTAAGGATAGGCGCTTGTCAAAGAGTCCTTCGAATCGAAAGCGGCGTGCATCTGGAAATAGAATGGAGGAGACTGTTGTCCATTTTCGCTGAGACACTTGATTGTCCGCGTCGGCCGTTTCAAGAGATCCTTCCAGTACAGCTGCTCATTTGACCAGTCATATCCGAAACCTTGGTCGGGACGAACCACGACGGAATGCATATATGCTGCTCCAACAGGCGCAGGGCGAGCGTCTCCAGGAAGAATCTTCTCGATCTTTAGCAGGTGGCCGTCGTTCGGGTTGTAGATGCCCAACTCGACAGGGATCTGCGTGTTGTTCTCTATAAGAAGCGGCGAGCGGAAAGTGATGTACTTGACATTGTCGGCACCCAGTTTGACTTCAACGAGAAGTCTATGGAGGATATTATCTTTCTTGGGCTTCAAGCTGTACAGAATTTCGCCTTCACGCACGACAGGGATGCGACCCACGCTCTCGAAGCCACTGCCCTCGAGCTTGACGCCCACAAGACCGGCATGACCTTCAGGAGCCAAGGTCTCACGAACCGCGGTCGAGTCTTCGAATCGCCAAGGGTATTCCTCGCCATCGACAAGCTTAGCCGCTGGTCCATCTTCGTCAGCGCTGACATCAGCCCAAACGCGGAGATCGAAACCAGTGTAGTTGCGGATTCGGTACGGTGCGTCAGCTCCTCTCGGTTTCGACAGAACATCCTCATCAGTGTTAAGCATCTGGAACGACTTGGACGCCAAAGCGATTGTAGCAGAAGTAATGGTAAGTTCCATCGTCTTGTGAGAGTAAACGTCGAGGGAGAGAACTTCGGGCTCTACTTCTCTCGCCATGTGGAAGCCCAACTGCCATGGCTCAAAGAGAGGCTCCCATGCCGACTTGGAGAAATTGTAGATGTTAACAAAGGTGTCGAAGCTTGTGTCGGCATTCAACGCGGATGACCAGTCACGAATGTCAATAGAGAACTTCTTGACACTCCAGTCGAGCAACGGCAGATCGTGCAAGTCACCAATAAGAATGACTCTAACACCATCAATCTGCGCCTTCAACTCTTCTCGCTTCAGAATAGCGGAGCGTTGCGGGACAATTCTGCGATCTGACGACGAGTAACCGGGTTCACTGCCCTCTCGCCGTGTCCTGGTGGTAGCGGTAGAAGCTGACTTGCCAGCCGATCTCCTTCTTGGCCTGCCGCCTTTGCTGTCCAAGATCTTCTTCGTTTGGTTGCCTTCAACCTCCTGCGAAGGTTTGGCGGTCATCTCAGAAGCCTTGTTCACAATCTGAGTGGCCATCAGAATATCACGGAGCGAGAGACGGAGAACCAAGGGCTCAAGGTGGACATCAATGGAAGTAAGAGACGAGCCTCGCTCCTGAGCACGACTATCCATAGACAACTCAAGTGTGAAATCGTCCAGAATCCGAAGCCTGCTCGTTTCAAACTTGTCCATACGGCAGAGGAACATCCCAACCTTGGTGATTTGCAATGTAGAGACGTTCTGGTGCGAAAAGAGCACTTGCTTTGTGCCGAGGACAATAGCTTCGGTATGGTTGATGGCAGGGTTTGCAAGCATGATCACCTGAGCATCAACGAGGTTCACTCTGAACGAGACGGTCGTCTGCCCGGCCGGGGCTGGTGGATTGTTGTTTCCACTCGATGACACAATGGCGGATCTGTCGTTGTATGCGCTGTCACCGACGCTGGATCGGGGAGTTGACTCGTCTGGGGACTCTTCACCATCCTCTTCCACAACAGGCTGTTCAGTCGCAAATGCTGAATTGGCGAAGGACTGCAGCGCAAAAAGATAGTCGAGAGCAAGAATTATACGAGGGCTATCGATCGTCAACATTGCGATGACATGCTTGTCCGGCCCTGGAGACATGGAGAGGCTCGCCATGAATTGCTGTTGGACGTCATTGTTGATCAATGACATGATCTTCCTGAACTTGTTCGAGTCGTTGTTGCGGTTATCGCGAATCGAAAGGGAGTGAATCAGGAGTTCGGATTCCAATGATCCATCATTCAGCATCCGTAGCTGAACTCGAGTATCATTAAGAGCGAATTTCGACAAGCTGGAATCCTCTAAGCTCCCGATCGGCTCGTCGTCCTTCCCAAGGATGAGTTCCAAGCCAACACTGTCCACCTTGAAGACCATGTCGAGTCGCACCCATGTTTCCGAGCTGGGCTCGCTCTGCTTTCCCGTATCTTCAGAACTCTTGACGTTCTGCAAAGCCTTTGAAGTCTCTTCCTTCTTCACCGACGAAGGAAGAGCCTCCATCGCCTCAAGCTCTTGCTGTTCGACGTCCGTCGCGAAGGCAGCAGGGACCGTTTTCGAAAGTTCCATCAGGAATTTGAACTGATTTTGCGAGATGCGCAGATTGATGGGAGACATAGTACCCTCAATTTCCATATCCGGGCGGGGGTTGTCCGGCTGATGCTCGAGATAGCATATGCTAAAGTCGAGATTCACCTTCTGGATCATCTCAAGCTCTTCCACTGCTCCGTCGTCGAAGTTGAATTTGGAAGTCAGGCGGATATTGCGGATGCCACTGGAGATCACGTTGACAGCAGGGCTATCTTCCTTTTCGTCATCTAGAGGAATAAAGGTGTTCTTGGCGTAGATTTCTCCAAGATGCGCAGTGATCGTATCCTGCGGACGGTTCTCTTTCACCATGGCTCTTGGGAAGACCACAATCGGAGTCTTCACCACGACGTCGAATCTCATACGCGAGGCATTCTGCTGCATTTGGTTGGCTTGGTTGGCCGCAGCCTGACGAGCGGCATTAAAGATAGCCTGCATCTTGCCAAACTTGACCAAAAAGTTGATGATCTTGCGGTATGGATCCTCCAGGAAATTGATCTTGATCGAACCAGACCGCAGGAATACTTCCGAATCATAACCAGGGTAGTCCGCACCCTCGGGGTCGAAAGTCTCGTATTTGAAATCCGCAAAGTTTTCGCCCTCGATAGTCAAAAGCCTCCGGATGTCAGAATCCTCCGGGGCTCCTGTGTTCATATCATCTACCAGGGTCAAGCTTCCAATGCGGGACTGGATGAGCATCGCACGGCCCACGAGGAAGACTCCAACATCAGCAGTATTCAGACTCAAAGTAGCAAGCCTGACACCATCGTTGTTGAGGATAAGAGCGACACTCTTCAAGTCTGCCTTGATGCGAATCTTCCCAGCTTGTTGTCGCTTCTGAGCGACTTCGGCATCACTTTGTACCGCTCGGTCCTTCTGCGTATCTTGATTACTGGGTTGTTCGGGATTTGTAAAAGTGAGCAGGACAAAGTCAAGAAGAGTCAGGAGCGTTCTCCTAGTGACCACGAGGTTTATAGTGGAGACGGACATGTCCAGGTTCATCGCTACGCCTTCGTACGTTGATTCAAATTCGGGGGATTCCGGCTTGACACGGACAAATTTCAACTGGAAGAGATCTTTGTCCTCATCTGCATTGAAGCCCTTGGAGGAGATGATCCTTTTGAACTCTGGAACGTTTTGTTCGATGTGGTCATCGACACTAAGGGACTTCAGAATTACTTCCGCAACCATATCATACGGACGCATGTAGAAGTCCAATTCAAACCCTTCAGCGACCAGTTCGATTAGAAGACGGTCACGTTGTGAGTCGTGTGCATCTGATCGGAACATGGAGCCACGAAGACGACCAACGGTGAACTTCAATTCAAAGTCACGGCGATGGATGTTGGAAGGCCTGTCCAAGCCCTTACTGGGCTTCTTCTCCTCTTTGGACTCGGCATCAGAATCCTCGTCTACAACCGGCAGCTGCCGGTTGGATGCTTGGAGAGAGGACGATCGTGCTCGGTTGCCAGACAAAGGTTTCTCCTCCTTTTTCTTTTGCTTGGACGCATCACTTTGTTCGTCCTCGTCGAAGCGTGGGATGGCAATATCAATCAGTTTCATCAGGCTCTTGTACTTGGCGTCAGAGATAGATGCGTGCAATTCCGGAAGGTGTCCAGAAATTCGAGTTCTGGTCAGTTCGGTGACCTTGGGCACGATACACAGTTCGATAACGAAATCAACGTTTATCCGATCAATGATGTGCAGGTTCATGGAAGTGTCGCCGGAATCGAGCTGCGACTTCGTAGCGTCGATGCCAGGGCCAATCAAGACCTGAGTCGAATCGAGCTTGAGCAAGAACCTGTCGTATAGCAAATGTTCGAGCTCTTTGTAGTCTCCCTCATCATATTGACGCTTCTGTTTGGCTTGGAGATCTCGCATTGTTTCCCGATCTACCAGCTCGCTGTTGACACTGATATGACCGGCATCGAGGATCAAGCAAAGAGAACTCTCCTGGGTGATGCTTTCCGGGACAATAATCAGAGGTGCGTTGATATCAAAATGGACGTCAACCTTCTTATGCTCCTCCAAAGCAAACTCAAGTCCAGCTCGAGTTTGCTGCCGGATTTCTTGCACTGTGGCTCCTGCGCTGTCCAAAATAGCTCCAATCGATTCCATGTGACGTTCGGGGGGTTCGAAGAATTTGACAACCTCAACAAGAAATGTGGGGTTATAGATGACCTCTATACTCCTTAGCTTGACCTTCACTATGGAATCGGCGTCGCTCTCAAGAGGGTTCTTCTCAAGCTGGAAGCGGAACAGGCTTTCTTCGTCTTCAGTGCCATCTGCGCTCTCCTCAGAGGCCAGTTCATCGTTATCGGTGATACGCGGTCCACTGTTCGATTCTGGGACGGAGTCTTTGACCTTGACAATCTGGGGGTAAAGACTGCCTTCGGTTGTTCCGTCATATACCCTCAGGCCTCCCAGTCCGACATCCACGAAGAACGAGTCAGGACGTTGTAGAGCGTTGGCCCGGAATTCATCAAACACCAACTTCATAATTTCATTTGCCTTTCCATGAGGGTCACGTTTCAACGTGAAACTTCCTGCCCTCAGGCCCGAATGGACTTGGAACTTGACCCATTCCCTTGGCACGTCCACGCTCTCGGCAATGGCTTTTTTCTCGTCCCAGTCGATGGCGTTGTAAAGCTCCTGTCGCTGCTCCTCTGTCATGGAGGCATCCTCTGATTCCTCTTGCTTCGTACCCCAGAACCACTCACCCCACGTTTGCTGTTGAGCAGGCTTCTTGACACCAACGTTCTCCTTTCGCAGTTGGTTTCTTGCCAATGATCGCCAGAACCGAAGGTCTTCGTAGCTGTACTTCGATTCCAGACGATCTAACTCTGTGGATTCATCTAGAGATAGAGGTTCATCGCGCTTTTTCTTCTTGAACACCTGAATATAGGATATTCTGTCGTCCCTCCGTTCTTTTATGTAGTCCCAAGACCATCTCCGATTTCGCTCGTGAATCTTGCTTAGCACAGCATTGCCAGCAAATTTCAGCCAGGCTCGAGGGTCCTCCTTTGGACGGCACTTGGGCTGGTACTTCTTGTATTCTTGGTGGCGAATGTAGTAATGGAAGAGGTCCACAAGCATCAGTGCATCTCGGTACTGGTGATCGTCCAAGACGAAACCAAGCTCATCGAATAGAAGTCGGGTCTTGATTGCGGGTCTGTCGTGTTTTCCAGATTTGTCCAATTCCAACCCAGCGCGTCCGCTGACCGGACGAAGCATGAATTGGTTGGCCTCGTCATTGTCAATGGCATCCTTGAGCTTTTGCATCAGCTCCGCATGACTCGATCCCTGCGCTTCAGCGCCGACATCAGAGCCTCGGCCAGTGCCTAGGAGCTCTGAGTCAGTGTTCCAGTAGACTGACAAGGCACCCAAGACAGCTAGCTTATGGGTGGTGCTAGATGTCGACTGGATGAAGGTGGGGTTCCATTCCGCGTCCGTGCTGACCGCGCTGAGTTCCTTTAGGGTTATTCCGACGGAAAACGGGTGACCGGGGGAAGCAACCGAGTCTTCGTAGCGGAAATGGACGTTCTTGATCGAGATCTGCAGGTTGTCGACAACAGCTGTGATCATACTCTGGGTGAAGCTCTGGTTCCGGCGCTGTTCTTCCTGACTCATTCCTTCAGAGTTCCGTTCTTTGATAATCTCCGCACTCTCGATCTTCTCCATCTTGAGAGCATGTGCCCTCCGTTCCTCTTCCTCAGCATCGTAGTCGGCATCTTCCTTGGGGGCGGCGAGGAGAAACACGTCTTCGATATCGACTCTAACCGGTTTCCCTCTCAAATTCGACCAGGGGATCGACAGTGTGAGTTCGCCCAGGTGACCTTCGACGACGTTCAGAGGCAGGTGTAATTGATCGAGGGCCTCGCGGCGTAGTTCCAGATTCCGCAGTTTGACATCGCCAGACCAGATACCAATGTTAAGCTGCTTAGCGTCGAAGTTCTTGACATAGATGCCCAGGAAGCGGTTGAGCAGATTGGCAACTAAACCCTCTAACATGGTGTCGAGATGCGGCCGTGACCCAGGTCCGAGGGAGGTTTATCGACAAAAGCGGGGTTATTTGATGAGCGGTGGTGCCTGTCTGTCTATGAGAGCAGTCGTCAGTATCAGGTTGAGAAAATGAAGTTGGGATGAAAAGGCGGACGTTACTCACCTCGCGGGGCCACGCGAGCTCTAGACACACTCGCAGGTCGGGGAAACAATAGCCATGCAGAAAATTGACCACACGTCAGCTATGCAGATTGTCAGCACCCAAATAAACGAGTTGAAATGTCTGGTGGTTGAAATAAGAAAAAAATAACGATGTCAAACAGATGACCGGGGAAGGACGAAAATGGTATCTGATAGATAACGAGACCAAAACGGAAGCAACAGAAAGAGGTTGGGTACCAAGACTGAGGCGGCTTACCCAATTGCGTAATGTGTCTCCCGGCAACCCTCCAATTGGATGATTTGAGAGTCGAAAGGCTGTTGTTGGCGGCTTGCCTAAGGTTTGTCCAACAAAAGCAACCGGACGAGATAATCGGAGGGAAAGAGGAGGTACGAGAGACACCGAAAGAGGGAGGGCGGCAGGAAGTGACGTCGGTCCCCTGGGGTTTCGTCCAAAATGGGAATAGCGTTTGCTTGTAGGGTACCAACCCTGATTCAGGGTCTTGGCTCTGTTGCCTGATGCGGTGCTGTTAATGCCTGAGGCTTGGATCTAGCACGTGTGAGCAGCTGCATAGTTGGTGTTTGCAGTATGCCCGAGCCAGCAGATGACCGCACCTCAGCAAGTTATCACGGCAATGATCTCAAGATTCGTTTGACCTCGACCACCAAATCTCCACTCCTACGAGTCGCTACTCGAGTCAATTGCTGGGTAAGAGACATCTTCCATGCTCCCCTGTGTGCCTTCTCCATATTCTACCAAGTCGATCGGGTTCTATTTCCGCTGTTTATGCCTCTCCGAGCGTTCCAGAGATTCTAACTCGGCATTCAAAAACTAGCAGAAGCAAATCCCGCCATGCTCTACAGAACGACCGCTGCTCGCTCTGCCCTCAGGGCCCTCTCGAGCTCCAATATCTCGGTGGCTCGCTCGGCTGTCGCCAACAATGTGTTCAAGGCGCAGTTGACATCCTCCGCGCGTTATCCCGCTCGGCCGATGCCGTCGCCCACCATGGCGCTGGCTGCTCGCAAGCCTGTGACCACTGCGCTTATCCGCCACGCCTCTTCTGCTTCAGGTAGCGGCAACGTTAGTGAAGCTATTGTCGCATTGGTGCGGGTGAATCGCTGATCAATATGTATAGGAAGAGGATGACCCCGACATGATGGCTGGTATGAAGTCCGACGCGGTACGTTAGCTTGCTACCTTGAAGCTCCCATTGGACTACGCAAGCTAACGTGGGATCGTGTTTAGAAAGTCATCAAGGACACCTTCAGCCTTGAGGGCGTTCCCAAGGAGGCTATGTTCCTCGGCTTGGCTGGTGTGATCCCCTACCTTGCTACCTCTCTCCAGACCGTCTACCTCTCGTACGAAATCAACCGGGCCACCACTACTGGTGACGGTCTCCTCCTCTCCGGCGACACCGCTGAGTTGTTGCTGCACTTGCTCGAGCCTGTGCAGGTCGGCTACGGTGCTGTGGTGAGTAGACAAATTAAGGTTTAAACTTTATGGACAGCAAGGAATTGACATCAGGAACCATGATTAGATCCTTTCTTTCCTCGGAGCCATCCACTGGGGTCTCGAGTGGGCCAGCTACGGCGGCAAGATCGGCTACAAGCGCTATGCGGCCGGTGTTCTGGCACCTGCCGTGGCCTGGCCGACTCTGCTGCTCCCCGTTGAGCACGCACTGATCAGCCAGTTCCTTGCGTTTACCTTCCTGTACTACAGCGACGCCCGTGCTGCGGCGCGTGGCCACGCTCCCTCGTGGTACGGCATGTACCGGTTCGTGCTGACCTTTGTGGTCGGTGCCAGCATTGTGGCCACTCTGATTGGCCGTGAGCAGATCGTCAACACCATCACCTCGGAGCACACCATCAAGGACAAGATTAACGCTCTTCTGTTCCTGCAGAAGAAGGAGAAGGAGGAGGCTGAGGCCCGTCGCCGGGCCGAGCTTGGCCAGGAGGAGGAAGAGTAAGGGCGTGCATCCGCATTGAGAGAAGTGGATTTTGTAGTTTAAAAGATATGCGTGTGATAATTGTAGATTATGCGATCGACCGCCGCTAATTTCATTTGTTGATGCCACTCTAGTATATGGATTATGTAGTATAACGGAGATATATATATATATCGTACCTTATCATTGGCCATTCAACGACAAGACAATAGACGTGCACAGATCAGTATACTCGCACAGGCATAATAGCCCAGGCACAAGCATAACGCCAAAATAACCACTAACTTCAATGGAACATTCGATAACACTTCTCCCAACCCAACCCCAACCCCGAACCTCATCCTCCGAACAATCCCCCGTCCTCCGGAGAAGCACTGACCAAGACCTCTCCGACCAGTGCCAATAAATGGGGACTCCACAGTCCATCATCTGACCCAAATCCCTCTGCCCAAGTGAACAAAACCGGAATAAGCACACAGATTTTGATACATAAGCACGGCTCCACCTGCAGATCAACGTCGTCAGATGACCACTGGTTATGATACAGGGAGTAAGCAGGTTGAGTACTCTGTAGGAGTGGGAATGAATGTATAGTACATAGTATAGCAATGCGCCAAGATAGGATTGACTTCCAAGAACATGCCTACAGCAATTGAGTCGGATCCGAGGAGTACCTGACACTACAAATAAAGGGAACCGAAAACGGGAAGTGAATACAAACACGTAAAAACTAGATGATCCCGTGACAAGCCAACTGGACCCGAGCCCGCGGGACTAAGCTCAATTCACTAAAATATCTCCGTAAATCGGGGGCTCATGACCAGAAAAAAAAGAAGGAAAAAAGAAAAATAGCCGGGTCTAGATCGAACTCCTGGGATTGCATTCTGGCCAGGGACCAGTCCCGTAAGGGCCAACGGGGAAGTCATGTGCTTGATCGGCTTGCATACATGTTCCAGGGAGTTCTGTGCATACTCTATTCTATACCAGGGCTTCTATTATTTCTATTATTCTACGAGTGAGTACTCAATTGCATCGGTATAAGATGATATGATAATTGTCTCTTATAATCGTGAATAAGCACTCTATACTTGTACTACTCCGTACTCCGTACTGTCCCCAGACTCCAAACCGTGGATGGGTCCAGATGATGGATGTCATGTGGGCAGTCGGAGCCACCGCCAACTATTCAGGGATACCCGATACCCTGTACGATACTCGTACAGGTCCTTGTACTCGGTTTCATTCCATAGAAATTTCTACAATTTTGATAGCAATTCTATATAAATAACAGATAGCATCTATCATTTACTCTGTACATAGTACTGGTAATCTGTAAAATAAAAAGCAAGGGGAAGGGGCTGGTGCTGACGAAGGTCACCGGGTCAGATGACCAGAAAAAAAAAAAAAAAAAAAGACGAGCCAAGGACAGTAGTGGGAATAGTGATAATGATAGAATCGATGATTCCCCCACGCACCCACTTGTATCTGTACATAGTAGTATATGTTCATGTACGTGTCTCTACGGAGTACAGGCTACTCTTAAACCCGCTGTCTCTTCACTTTTCTCTTCTTGTTCTCTCAATTTTCTTCTCTCCTTCTCCCCGTCTGTTCTTCTATCCGTCTATCTGTCCCTTGGTACCTTTCTACTTGTCGCCGCCGCCGTGACCTCATAGTTCCTATCACCACCAGTATCCTCCGTACACAGAAGTACCAGTACAGGACCAGTACCAGGATAAACTGCCAGGATCCACGAATTTCACCGAAGACACGAAATAATTCCAGAAATCTGTGTTCTTTCTTCACAGTTGCACGTCACGCACTATACTAGGATACTAGGACTGCTGCCCTGTTGTCCCCCGACCCTCCGATCTCCAGTCACTGGTACGTCACTCTGGCCCAGTTTGGAGGGACCATTATTTGACTGGGCACTCAACAAGGACACACACGCACTCGCAGTTGGGTTCGTGTCATCATATCTTGTCTTTTCCCTTCTTTTTTTTCTTCTCCCCTTCTTCTCTTCTTCTTCTTTTTCTCTTCTTCCTCTCCTCTTCCCTCAATTATCTCCCACTCCTTGATCCGCTCGATTCCTCTACTCGGCTTCTCTCCACGGTGCCCTTTGCCCGCATCCGTAAATTCCTCCTTCCACCACGTCTACTGCTTGTGATCACCGCCTCTTTTCTATCTCCCTTCCTCCTCATTTCACTCTCTTTTTGTAATATTCGGGTCTCTACACACACACCGTCACAATGAGAAACCCCTTTGATATGTCCGAAATCGACAATGCTCTCGAAGAGCAGCAACTCCAATCCCAAGTCGATATCCACGCCTACCAGACCTACGACGGCAATCGCTCGCTGCTTCAAGATGAAAACCGTCGTCCCGATGATCTTAAAAACCGTTTCATCGGTGCTATCGACCAGGGTACCACCAGTTCTCGTTTTATCATCTTCGATTGTACCGGTGTGCCCGTGGCCAAGTACCAGGTTGAATTTCACCAGATCCATGAGCTCCCTGGGTAGGTCTTCTTCATTGCTGTTATTATTCTAGAGAAATGAAACTAACGACACTAGCTGGCACGAACAGGATCCCCTCGAAATGGTCGACTCCGTTTTCACCTGTATCGAAGAAGCCATGAATACCTTCCTCGCCCTGGGTCACTCCGCCTCTGACATCGAAGCCATCGGGATTACCAGTCAGCGGGAAACCACACTATGCTGGGATTGGGAAACCGGTGAGCCCTTGCATAATGCCATTGCCTGGCCCGATACCCGAACAAAGAACCTGGTTCGCGACCTCAAGGAAAGGCCCGGGGCTGATGATCTCGTCAAGCTCTGTGGACTGCCCCTCTCCACCTACCCCTCCTCTGTTACATTAGTCTGGATGCTGGAAAACCTGCCCGAAGTCAAAAAGGCCTACGATGAGGGTCGTCTGGCCTTTGGTACCGTAGACACCTGGTTGCTCTACAACCTCAACGGCGGCCCCGAGGGGAATGTTCATGTCACTGACGTCAGCAATGCCTCTCGGACTATGTTCATGAACCTTGAGACCCTTGACTATGATGACCGCCTCCTTAACTTCTTTGGCATCGATCGCAACAAAATCCGCCTTCCCAACATTCTTCCTTCCTCCGACCGCGATGGCTTTGGCTGCGTCCACTCCGGTCCCTTGGATGGTGTCCCCATCACTAGCTGTCTGGGTGACCAGTCCTCTGCCCTGGTTGGCCACTGTGCCTTTACTCCCGGTATGGCCAAGAACACCTACGGTACCGGTTGTTTCATGCTCTACAATGTTGGTGACAAGCCCGTCGTCTCGAACCACGGTCTGCTCGCCACCGTCGGTTTTCAGATGGGCAAGGGACGCAAACCTGTCTATGCCCTCGAGGGTAGCGTTGCCGTCGCCGGTAGTGGTGTCTCCTTCCTGATGAACAATTTGGGTTTCTTCCGTGATTCGCGCAAGGTCAGTGATCTGGCTGGTAGCGTTCCAGACAGCGGTGGTTGTATCTTTGTCACGGCCTTCAGTGGTCTCTTCGCCCCGTACTGGATTGATGATGCGCGTGGAACTATCTGTACGTTTCCCTCTTTATTCCGCTTTTTTTTTTTTTTTTTTTTTTTTTTTAAACGTTTTTTCTAACTTTCGCAGTCGGTATTACACAACACACTCAGCGTGGTCATATTGCCCGCGCGACAATGGAAGCCGCTTGCTACCAGACCAAGGCCATTCTCGATGCGATGGAAAAGGACAGTGGGCATAAGTTGGCCGATCTGGCTGTGGACGGTGGTATGAGTAACTCGGATATCTGTATGCAGGTATGTCGCACGTCCCATTTACCTTACATTGCATCTACGATCAAATTAACTAACTCAACGGTCTGACAGACCCAAGCCGACCTTATCCAAATGCCCGTGCAACGTCCCTCGATGCACGAAACCACGGCTCTTGGCGCCGCCATTGCGGCTGGATTCGCCATTGACATCTGGAAGGACTACTCGGAACTCAAGGACATGGACCGTGCCAACCGGACAACCTTTACCCCGCACGTTTCCGAGGCCCAGAGTGCGCGACTGTACAAGCGCTGGACCAAAGCGGTTGACATGGCGCGTGGTTGGATGAACCCAGTGGACGGTGAATAAACAATCCAACCACTACAGAACGAAAGGAAAGAAAAGCAAAAGCAAAAAAAAAAAAAAAAGTCCTGCATGGATGATCCGTCGTGTTTCCCCATCCTTCGAATGAGTTGATGGCATTTGAGCGTTTTTATTCCCGTTTATTTTACTTGTGTTCGTGTTTCGGGGTTATGGGTTTCTTCCGGTCATTCAAGATGGGGGGAGGTCTCTTTTGGATACCCGGTGTAATGTCATGTCATCCGACAGATGCTGAAGAGTGCGTTTTACTTGTGTAAATATATTCATACATACAATTTATAGATAGACATGCATACTTTCTCACTCTCGGTTCGTCGTAGCTGTACAGGGATTATATTCATGACGTCATAGCCCCGCCACGAGACCAGCCCCACGGACGCCACAATCAAGTACATAACTAGTTATCAAGGGCTTCCATTATTAATAGATTTGGCATCGGGGAGATCATGACACCATTTTTCTATTTCGGTGCACTGACGTTTACCAAGGGTTATCAGATGAATTGGTAGAGAACATGGGATGTTAGGTTTGTATGTCTCCAGGGTGGTACAATATATACTTTTGAACATAGCTATTGTGCTAAAGTAAAAGTAAAATATATAATAAGCTCAAGAGCTGGCATTGTATTTTACACGAGAAAGGCCAAACCAAACAAGCAAAAGTCTTCTCTATTCGAAAAGAGTCTCGATAAACATATAAAAACAAGCTATGTAGATCTAATCCAATCCAATGAACAAGCCAACCAACCACATCATGCCATGAGCGTCACAAAAGGAAAAATTTGATATCGAAAAGGCAAAAGGAAGAGATCATAAAAAATGAACACGAAGAAAATTCACACAAGAAAAGAGAAAAGAAACAAACTATGCCCCATCAGCAGCCTCGCCCGTACCCGTTGTCGACCCAGGCCCAGGAGGATGATGAGTATTTGACAACCCAGGGGCCGCCTGTAAACTCTCCGGCAACATAAGTGGAGCCGACGGCGTGGACTCGAGTTTATCTAGCTTCTCGCCCTTCAGGACACGTTCCATTTCCTCCTTGGTGAGGGTTTCGTATTCTATGAGGGCTTTGGTGAGGACTTCGAGTTCGTGGCGCTTTTGGGTGAGGATGGTTGTGGCGCGGGCGCGGCCTTCTTCAACGAGGCGGCGGACTTCGCCTTCGATTTCTTGCTTTGTTTCCGAGGAGAGGCGGTCGTAGTTGCTAGAGAGGTCAACGTTGCCGAGTTTCTTAGAGTAGCCGAAGCGGGTTACGAGGTTGAAGGCCGTGTTGGTGGCATTTTGGATGTCCTGTTGAGATTATTAGCATGGTTCAATCTTCTATCAAAGAGGTGGGGGGACGTACTGATGAGATTCCGCTGGTCACCTTGTCGGCTCCATAGATCAGCTCTTCTGCCGCTCTACCACCCATCGACACATCGATATCGGTCAGGTATTCCGTGTAGTTTCGAGAAACCGTGTCCATCTCCGGCAAGAAGTGCGTAATACCCAGAGCCATGCCACGGGGAACAATGGTAATCTTGTACAGTGGCATAGACGAATGTGTGAAGTACGCAACAAGCGCATGGCCGGCCTCGTGGTATGCCGTCGAGAGCTTGTCCTTGTCCTGAACAACCCGGCTGCGAGCTTCCGCACCCATCATGATCTTGTCCTTGGCCCAGTCAAAGTCCCTTGGCCCAACCTTGTTCTTGTGATCCCGGCTGGCCTTGATAGCAGCCTGGTTGACCAAGTTCTCCAGTTCCGCACCAGAGAAACCGGGAGTACCGCGAGCGAGAACTGCCAGGTCGACATCCGTGCCAATTTGTACGTCCTTCATGTGGTGTCTCAGAATATCAATCCGCCCGCGCACATCCGGAAGATCCACGACGACCTTGCGGTCGAACCGACCAGGTCGAGTCAAGGCCTTGTCCAGTAGCTGAGGATAGTTGGTCGCACCAATGATGATCACGCCTTCAGTTTGCGAAAACCCGTCGAGCTCGGTAAGCAGTTGGTTCAGAGTCTGTTTCACGTATGCCGCATCCCGTTCGTTTCTCTTGGCACCAATGGCATCCAGTTCGTCAATGAAGATGATAGCAGGTGACTTGGTCCGCGCCTGAGAGAAGAGTTCTCGCACACGCTTAGCACCAACACCCACGTACACTTCGTCAAATTCAGATCCAGACATGTAGAAAAATGGGACGCCAGCTTCACCAGCGACAGCACGAGCAAGCAAAGTCTTTCCGGTTCCAGGAGGTCCAACGAGAAGAACACCCTTAGGCAGCTTACCACCAAGCGAAGAGAATCGTTCCGGGTTCTGCAAAAATTCAACCAGTTCCTGAAGATCATCCTTGGCTTCGTCACATCCATGCACATCACTAAACCGGACATTCTGCTCCTGAGGCTGTGCTTCGTTGTTCTGCGGACCCTTGATGTTCTTCAGAACCCCAGTAGTTTCAACCAGAATGGCGACCAAGATGAGAGACATGTACGTGAGAAAACCGAACCAGAACAAAAACTTGATCCAGCGGAAAACAGCACTTCCCAGCGACTCCTCGACCACAACGTACAACGGAGATTCTTTCGCTCCGGTGCCGCCTTGTTTGGCCGCGAGTCCAATTTGTCCACCGTGACTGTTCCGTGCCGCGACTGCTTGTCCGATTGCCTGAAGCTGTTCCGGGTTGACATTCTGATTCTGGCCTGCGAATGACCCTGCCGCAACGTCTCCGCCCATGCTCTGCGTAGCCTTGAGGAAAATCGAGTCGGTCACGGGGTTGGTGGCAAAGTTACCACTGCGATAGCGTTCGACGATGATAGCCGGCATGTTAGCCTGAAGCAAAGCCTGGTAGAAAGTAGCCTGCGCATTTGCACTGTTCGGATTGTTGTTCGCGGTCTTTTCCTTTTGCGCCAATAGATTGTGGGACGGTCCTCCAAATAGAAACCTTTGTTGTATCCTCGAAATGGAATTGACCTTGGGTAGCTGACGGAAACGATTCAAACTGAGCGGAGTTAACGACGAGTAAGGACGGGAGACGAGAGAGCCGTTCTGGAACGGTTTAGTCGGAAGAGGAGAGATGCGCTCGAGCTTCCTCCATGGTGAAGCAGTGAGGAAGGTTGACATCAAAGGCCAGACCCCCGACGTAGTAGCGGCTGCAAAGTTCTGTTTGGTAAAGCCAAGCTTGTCAGTATACAGAAAGTACCGCAGTGAAGAGAGCATGAAGGTAATCCTTACCGGCCTGAGAACCGGGGCTTGGAGAGCCATTGTCGTCTGAAGCAGAGCGGCGCTTGGCCGCGGCAATCGATGGAAATGTACCGCTTCGGAGAAGACCCCAGAAGAGATTGTAGGAAGAGAATGTGTCAATCAGTCAAGAAAGAACGAACCTGCCATCGCAAAAAACCTCACGATGACAATAACAGCGCTTGACAGAGACAAGACAGGGAGGATGGAGTGGGCTGCAGGCGACAATGGGCTGTCTTGGTCTCCGCGGTGGCCTCAATTCGGGTGTTGCGGATTAGTCATAGGGCGGGATTTGCCACTGTGGCTCGCGGCACTCGCCGTAGGCCACGTTAATATCACGTGTTAATTCCTTAGGCAACTATAGAATCGTCCAGAACAAACGACTCGCTTTGGACGACACCTTTGGTGTAGCACAACTTGGCTTTTGGGGCTTTGGGGGCTTTTGGGGCTTTTGCACGATAATACGGACGGCGGGATACAATGGGATGCCTTCGAGTAAGTGCAACTGTGGCTCAGCCGGGTCCTGACTACTGTTCCTGGGTTCCGTGGTACTAACGAAAAATCAGTAGGCCTGGTTGCGATGATATGACACTGACGAATGCAAGAAACATATCGTCGTCTGTGTCATAATCGAATCAAAGGACCACGAAAAGGCTCAGTTACTTAATGGCCTCTTGGCTATATATTTGCTTCCCTAAGCATGTCCACGAGGGTCATTCTTCTCATGGGAGCTCCCACATTCAAAAGCCTACAGTGGGATGAAGACAAGCTCCTCAATACCCCAGTATCCCCATTCCACGGCCCCGACAGCCATCTTCAGGAAACCTGGCCTTTCCCAGACGACCATCCGATAAAATGGCGCCTGTTGCAGCAAACCCCTGCAAAGGAACAGGCACATGATGATACTGAATCGGAACCGAATTGCAATGCGATGTTTTTCACAACGGAAGGTCTTACAGACACAGCGGGGACGTATTCAGTTCTCTCCCAGTTCTATGACCATTCTTTTGTCGTCCATGAAACTTCCGAAGTTTCCGTACCAATGTCTTTCTCGCAGAACTTTTCTCTCCAAGAGAGTGGTCTCTGGGTAGACAGTACCATGACTTCTAGCGCATCGAGTTCCAGTAGTAAGCAAGATGGTTCGGGACAACCGTCTTTTATACCCATCCAGGGACATGTCGGCGATCTCCAGGACATCCCCAGCGCAAGCTACCTACGTTCTATTGTACCTCAGACAGTGACGGTGAATCTCATTGTGGGAATCATTACAATCCACCCACCTCGTCGCGTGATTACCCGGCAATGGAAACGAGAAGTGGACATTGTCGAAATGGTGGTCGGGGATGAAACACGCAGTGGCTTTGGTGTCACGTTCTGGGTTCCTCCCGAATCTGGGCGTACTGGCAATAACAACAGCAAGAATGACGGGCTGGGACAATCTTTGGCTGGTCTGCGGCCGCGTGATATTGTACTTCTCCGCATGGTCGGATTGAGTTCATTCCGGGAACGGGTGTACGGACAGAGCCTACGCAAGGGGGTTACCCAAATCGATCTGCTCCACCGCCAACGGGTAGATGCTACAGACGCAGGAGGGATCTATGGCCTGCGACGTCTGCTTGACACCGGCCACGACGGAGAAGACCCGGTGGTAGTCAAGGCCCGCCGCGTGCGGGAGTGGATCCAACGCTTTGTATTGGCGCCGGAACCAGCAGGCGGTGATGAGGCTGGGGGGATGCGTCGCATGAAACGTGGCCAGACACTGCCTCCGGATACGCCAGAAATGGTATAACGGCCCCGGAGTATATATAACTGCATCGCTTTGGTTTCCTTTTCTTCTGTTCGGCAGGGGGGCTTGGTGTGCATGTGAGTCATGATGTGCAATAGATGAGGTGGGATGACATCGACAGCATGCAATGACGGTCCGGTCACTTGAGACGGGCATTATGCCATCTTACATACGTTGGGCATCGTCACTAGCAATTGCAGAGAGCTGTTGTTGAATGTATGAAGTAGTGGTGTATTTGTATAGATCGCATAGAGATACTGTATGCGGGAGTCGGCGGGCTGCAGACCATGAAACAACACAAAAACCAACCATGGAGTTATATAGAATTTAAAGATCAAGTAGACGGAAAAATGAGATTCAATGCAAGACAAGACAATCCTTCTCCAGGGGTGGCGCGAATGCAAACGTGTAGCCTGGCCCAATAATAGCTGTAACAGAAAATTAAAGAGACCACCTAATATCTCTTCCTCGGATGCCCGTTTCCCCTTTCTCTCTCTCCTCTCTCTCACTTCCTTTTCTCCATTCCACCTTTCTGCACTTCATTTATTCATCCTTTTTTTCTCTCTATCAATCAATTAATTGTTTATTGTGTTATACCATCGTCAATTGTCTACCGGTTCTCTCCCGTTTCCTGTAGCGCTTCTTTAACCTGTCGCTCGTTCCTGGCAACACCTCATACAACAAACCCCTCCTCCTTCGCCTCATACCAACTGCTATACTTAATATTCACCCCATTTTAATACTATCAATATGAAGGGTACGTGCTATTCACGTCTTCCTGGTCATTGCGCCGCTAACGCCACTTCTATAGCTCTCATTCTTGTCGGAGGTTTTGGAACCCGTCTGCGCCCTTTGGTATTGTTCCCCGCCGAGAATAAACTGATGCCTGCGCCCGTGCTAATCGTACTCGTCGAATTAGACCCTGACGCTCCCCAAACCCCTGGTCGAGTTCGGAAACCGGCCTATGATTCTGCACCAAGTCGAGAGCTTGGCTGCTGCAGGTGTGACCGATATTGTGTTGGCTGTCAACTACCGTCCGGATGTTATGGTCTCGACCCTCAAGAAGGTGCGCTTTCTATTCTTTACGTTCTTACAACCAACATGCGCTGACTGCTTTCTCAGTATGAGGAACAATACAACGTCCGTATCGAATTCTCTGTCGAATCCGAACCCCTGGGCACCGCTGGCCCCCTGAAATTGGCCGAGAAGATCCTGGGCAAGGACGACTCGCCGTTCTTCGTCCTCAACTCCGATATCATTTGTGACTTTCCCTTCAAGGATCTCGCAGAATTCCACAAGCGTCATGGTGATGAGGGAACCATCGTCGTCACCAAGGTGGATGAGCCCTCCAAGTACGGTGTCGTCGTCCACAAGCCTCACCACCCATCGCGCATCGACCGTTTTGTCGAGAAGCCGGTTGAGTTCGTCGGTAACCGAATCAACGCCGGTATCTACCTCCTGAACCCCAGCGTTCTCAACCGCATCGAACTGCGCCCGACCTCCATCGAACAAGAAACCTTCCCAGCCATCTGCAAGGACGGTCAACTCCACTCCTTCGACCTCGAAGGTTTCTGGATGGACGTTGGCCAACCTAAGGACTTCCTTAGTGGTACCTGCTTGTACCTCAGCTCCCTCGCCAAGCGCAATCCCAAGCTGCTCGCATCCAACTCCGAGCCTTATGTTTTCGGAGGCAATGTTATGGTGGACCCGACCGCCAAGATTGGCAAGAACTGCCGCATTGGGCCGAACGTGACAGTTGGACCGAATGTCGTGGTGGGTGATGGCGTGCGTCTGCAGCGCTGTGTACTCCTGGAGAACAGCAAGGTCAAGGACCACGCTTGGGTCAAGTCGACCATTGTTGGCTGGAACAGCTCCGTAGGCAAGTGGTCTCGCTTGGAGAATGTCACTGTTCTCGGTGACGATGTCACCATCGCGGACGAAGTCTATGTCAACGGTGGTTCCATCTTGCCGCACAAGAGCATCAAGCAGAACATTGATGGTGAGTTGTCTTCGTTACTATGGCTATATTGACAGCCGCTAACCCGAATCCAGTTCCTGCCATTATCATGTAAAACCCCCTCACTCTCACGCCGCCACGTCCTCCGAATACTTCACCTCAATTCAGCTTCCCTATACCTCTCTCGACAGTCCTGATGCATGGAACCGGAGTCCGTTATTTCTATTATTATCTATTATTACCTATTATCTTCGTTTCGATTCGTCGCCTTCCTCGCGCCTTCGCAAGTCTTGATGATCATGGGGGTGTGCGTGCATGTGGATTGACGTCTTTTCTCCTAAGCCTTTTTAGTAGTCATTTAAAACATACGTTTCCCCTTTGCCCTAGTTCTATCTGTTACCACTGGCATTCAGCCAACTTCCTATATTCATTACTATTCTCTCTCCCCTCTGACATGGCAGCTCGATGCTGTTCAATATGGCGAGAATTGTCTTATTGCGCTTGTTTGTCACTTTGCGTTTGTCTTCTTGAATGCTGTGGGCAAGTTGATATCGCACTACTGTTTCCTTTTAATGATGTACGCTGGTATGGGGTTTTGGAATGTAAAACGAGGACTTATGAATTCATATTCCTTTGACTTTCATTCTTCGATTGGTAGTAAAATGACCTGCTGTTTTAGAAAACTGGGCGCTTATTTCAATCCCCACGGAACCATATAACAAAGCATCGAACACACCTAGCAGTGGCTGGGTGTATACCGCTAACCCTCGAGCATGAAGCTGTATACACAACGTCTCATTATTTACCACATTAGATATCAGAAGGCCAGATTGACCCAAGAATTGCCTCGTCCGTTACAGGTTTATCAACGTCAAACTTGGCAGTCATTAATACTTCCTGCAACGCCCCATTGAAAAGCCGCCTGTGCGCAGCTTTAGTCCCCTCCCACTCCTCTGGCGGCACCCATCCATCAGTCGCAGTATCAAGCAAGCCCGATAGGTCCCGTCTCAGATCCTGCGCTGCTACAAAGAGCCTATACTCCTTCTCATGATCCACGAGTTTCTTTGACGAAGGTAAAAGTAAAGCGAATAGACATCCTCCTGCAAACCCCAGTTGTTTCCAACGTTGAGCAGTCTCAATCAACTCGTGACGTAGGGCTACAGCGCCATCCTTCCACATTCTGTAGCTGTAACGAAAGGGTCGAAGAAGATTCTCGTCCATCAGTCTAGGTCCGGAGACGGTGGGTGTGTGGAATTGGGAGCAGAGATTGAATGCGTGAGCGTATATCTCGTCTCCTGTTGCGAAATCCGGTATCTCGTCGCTATACCAGAACGCCGGTTCGATGCTGGCGGATTGCCAGTCGATGATGGCTGTGATTGTGGAGAGGGGTCGTCTTCTGAGACGAAGATATTTCTTTTGTAGAGGTCTGGGTGGGATAATGCTGGTGTTGCGGAGGCTTTTATTCGGGGATCTACCATATTTAGGGTAAGCACCAAAAATATATATATAGATATAAATAAAAAATTGGGGACTATGAAGGTGCTGGTCAGAGAAACGCATGGTGATCCACATCAGGTGGCAGGTATTCTTCGGGATGCGATGCTGTGCTCCCTTTTAAGTCAGCCAGTCCTAACTTTGTGAAGGCGGGGGGGGGGGGGGGGGGACACCGGGAGATCTGATTCCTTCTACCATGTCCATAGTATTTTAGAGCGTTTTTTGTTCTTTACAATGTACAGTATATAATCGAACTACAGTATGCCTTAGCCGTTTAAACAAGGTATATTGCTTACCTTACATGGCTACATGACGCATTAGCATCAGTATAGGCATGGAAAACTTGTGAAAATGAGACAAGAGCACGACTTGAAGTCAGCGCTGGGTTCCACAGAGTGATGCCCTAGAAGGACGCAATTTGTACTGTTGACAATTCTAGGCCATAGCTGTTAGAGTATAGTTGGAGTGTGGACTTATGTATTCATTTGTACCTGTATCTGTAACGACCTGTAGTAGGAATGATATGAAACTAAAGGTGATTGGATTGTTGAGAGGAGCGCTGAGCTCGGCTAATAGTTATAACTAGTAATCTACGTGTACTGTTAAGACGGATGTGAAGAGGATAGCTCGGAGGAATCAGGGAGTTCAATAACCTAACTGCACGAGGCTATAGTGATAGGAGAATTTTAGTGCTATATGGAGATGATATTGATTGTCTATCTACCACTGCAATGATAGAACGACTACATAGCCAACTCTCACGTATGGCTATGGAGATTGCTGGCTCGCTAATCGGGCCAACTATTGGTCCGTTGGATATATCAATGATGAGCGACGCCGCACATTTAGATAGACAAGCACTCTGTGGTGTTCTCCGCCTCTGATTGGTTGGCTCAGTTGACTGCTCTGTTTTCTGCTAGTATGCTCTCCGCCTTCCTTTCTGCTGCTACTCTCCCTCTGCTGCAAAGCACCTTGAAGAATCTGACAAGAACAGCACTGGTGCGTGTGCTTTCAATAACATCGGTGATAATCTCATGTTCCAAATTTTGATATCGCTCGGGGCCATATGTGTCGATATAATCTCCCGGTTGAACGCCTGTCGTCTGTTTAAAGAGCACATTGTTGAATTTCCTCCACGACTGGATGAAGTTTTGGTCTCGTTTTGTAGAGTAATGTGTCGATTCTTGTATCTCCGGGAGAGCCCCGTTCGGTCCACGGACAATGGCAGTCAGTTCAAGAACTGGTGATGTCGTAGACTGCATTCACGTACATACTCGAATGTAGACAAAGCGCGGCGTGGAATTGTGGACGGACGAGATCCCAAGCAAAGACCATCTTCTGGTCTTTCCAAGCGCCCTTCCGACTTTAAAACTCGAACGTTTTTGTTATGGCAGATGTTCGAGCCGGTGTAAAATTTGCCAGGTTCCTTATTACCATTGGCCATACTTAATCATTTTCTTAAGCTTCCTGAACTCGTGTAATCAACTCAAACCCAAAGGGAGAAGAAAGCTTTAGAAGAATTATGATAAGCAAGTAAGATAAAGTGAGAAGAAAAAGAAGAGAAGGTAGAATAATTTGAATGAGGATAATAGACTACTTCGAATCGATTTTGAGCCATTTGCTCGCTACGAAAGTCTACAAGGACGAGAAGATGCTCTTTACTGACAATAAATAAATAGGTGACGATGAAGCAGAACAATCACAACTTTCCCATTTAGATGGAGGGATTTGAATGGGCTTACCTGGAGATGTTGATATTCATTATTACTATCTGGTTTGTATATATACGTATTATTGATGCTGTTGACCAATGGATTTTGATGTAATCCCTAGCACGTTGACATCATGAATATAATGACAGACGTTCCATTCAGTTGGTGAGGGTATTCATACTTAAGGCAGGATTCGTATAAATACGCAGAGGGACAGAAAAAAAAGCTAAATTGATTATATTCAGAAATATGAGAGAGGTAGATAAGTAGCTTGACTAGAGTAAAGAACTCGTCTGAAGTTGTGTGTACCAGTCCAAAAACTAGATAATGAACTCAAACTTGACTACCACCTTAATAAGGGCACCGAGAATAGCTAGTAAATCAACCTCAAAGACCCTTCAACAAATCCATACTCAGCGATCGTCGCCCACAGGTATACAAATCACGTCCACGCTTCCAAAGTACGGCCAACTTGGCCTTTGCATCGTCGTTGACCTGGGGAACGACATATTCCAACACCAAGTCAATTGCATTGTTGTCACTAAATGCTTCAAGGATGGACTTCTCTGCCCGCAGATTCACTGGGTCATTCGACCACTCAATGTCTTGAAACATCATTCCAAAAATATGAGCCTTCTCATCAGTATCAAAAAAGGCAATCAGGCCTTTATCTTTGCCACCAGTGATCCATTCTTCAGCACAGAGACACTTGATAGCGTCATGGGCGCGTTTCTTGTCCCAAGTATTGTAGCTTTCCGAAGGGAAGGTGTCGATTTTGAGGGTATCAGGGTTAAAGATCCCGCCAAGGATCTTTTGACTAGTGGCTAGTGTGGACAGAGGTTCAACCACAGAGAGGTACTTGTCGATTTTTTGAATATCGGTCTGGAGCTCACTGGAAATAATATCCTTGAGAGCTTTCTGTATCAGAACTTGAGTTTAGCTGTCATGTACAATTTGGATAGAAAATAAACACTTATAAATGAAGAAAAAAGGGAATTCAAAAAACCTTTTCGTTAACGGCCATTTCCATCCGTTTGACATCGTCGTTCGACATTTTTATTCTTGAGCTCCCAATGACCTCCCTGATTGAGGAGATCCGCATCCCAATTGCTTCTCCATTCTGCACCGACTCCGCTAGCAAGTACACCACAATATCCTTGGTGATGCTAGCAGCCACTGCAGTCTTGGCCTCGGCCGATGGCTTCTCATCCTCCGGGGTGGGATGATAACAATCATCTATATTCTTTTGCAGTACCTCGGTTAATGAAGAGGCACGGTGAGCATGCGCATCCTCAAACTTCCTGGACAGAGCCCGTTCCAACTCAACCCATTTTCCATACTCACCGGGTTGCCAAAGGACCTCTTTGGGAAAAATGGATGGACGCCTTAACTCAGCTTCCACTTTGGAAGAGGCTTCTCGTGCATTTTTTCTTTTTGTGTCCGCAGTGAAATCGTGATTGTTGATCCATTGGCCCATTTTGATTTTGGTTTCGGTTGAAAAAAAGAATTATGTGAATTGCAATCAGTAACAAAGTAGAGTTATTATTTTCACAAGGGATAGTGAAATAAAAGGCGAGCTTTATAGTGCAATCCTGACTGTGTCCAGTAGACAATCTCTCGGGAAGGTTTCTAGGATTGATTGGTCCACGTATAAATAATCAGCTGCATTCCGTTATAGATCATACTATCCACACCGCATTCAGAAAGCCAGTAGTATTTGGTTTAAGTGGGGATCAGTCCAATTCAGCTGAAATGAGTGTACAGTCAGGGATTGTTGGTCGCAGCTCTCTGCATGTTCCCCACTGCAACTAGTTAACTAACGTAATCCACGGCCGAGCCGTCCACACGGCCGTCCCGTCCACTTCCTCCGCAACCACCACGAATTTGAAGCTTTGCAACCACTAACACCATTGAATTAAAATATATAACAGACAAAATATCTAGCTATTTATTAGGGCAGCTTCTTATTGTATGCCCAACAGTCCCACAGCCACTACAGCGTGGTGAAGCGCGTTGACGAGGCATAGGTGTAAGCTCATCAACCTGCTCATTAAGCTGTGTATCAAGCTGCTGTATATGCTCACAGCCTTCTTGTACAGAGATAAATAAATCATTCCCTAGAGAAGCACATTTCCTTGCCTTCTTCTTTATTTTACATTCACCTTCAGCTCGTAGAACCTTGATTTCTTGATGAAGAAATAGATTCATATTCATTGCCACCTGTGCAGCCTTCTCAAGATGTTGAATATGAGAGACTGGACTGCTAGAAAGTGTTCTTTTCTTTTGAAGACTTCTCTGTAGGCTTTGAACCTTGTGATCAATCTGGTGAGGATTTTGAGGTGTTTCAAAAGCAGATGATGTTGAGCCTTCAACAAGTAATGGTGGTGTTGGTGTACAAAGTTGAAAGGTGATTTTCTCAAGAACCCAGTCTTGATCAAGAGGTTTGAGCCCAGCTCCTGCAAAGCCATTGCATATATTCCTTGGGAGAAAGACTGCTTCACGTGCAGGAGGATATAGGTATAGAAAATCCTCCTTATCAATGTGGTTATTTCCAGCAACCATCACCCCCTCAACCAATTTGCCATATGCACATTTGAGTGGTCCAAAAACACCAACATCCAGTGGTTGAAGGAGATGAGATGTATGTAGAGGCATACAAAGACAGATGATTGCATTCTCTTTGCAGAAATCATCAAACTCTGCAGTTT